TGTTGTTGTTGTTGTTGTTGTTGTTGTTGTTGTTGTTGTTGTTGTTGTTGTTGTTGTTGTTGCAACTCTTGGTCACGGGATCTATTTTATTTACATACTAATTACGATGAAAAAGTTTACTGCCGAGCGATAACTAACCGATGCTTGATAAACGTAAACATGAATTAGAACCGCCTCTTTATAATTGATTTTCTATACAAGCACGCACAAAAAAGAAATTTTCCTATTCACCACACGACAATAAACATAGGTACATTAGCTTCATCGATGGTTTTGTAAAATTCAAAAATACATAACAAAAAAATAAATACAAAAAATATTTCAGACATTCTGAAATTGCTGATGGCGCGATTGAAGATTTAAATTGAGCGAGATGAGCGCGCGTTAACGTGACGTATACAAAACTTTGTTTTGAAACCTGCGACTGAAATTAATCGGATATGTGATACGAGCTTTTTATTTGATTAACAAAAAGAAAAGAGGCCTAAAAGTATATAAACGAATAAGCATGCGGCACTTGGTCATGGCTGACCATTAGACACCCTACACCATTTCTCTTAATTAATAATCTTTATTCTTAGGTAAATGCATAAGTTTCGTGAAAAGCCTCATACAGCATACTCCTCATATAGCATACTCCTCGTGCCGTATCAAGGAACTCAAGCATCAGCATATTTTAAATTTAGCAAACTTAATTTACTTGTCAAGGATTTTATTATTTTCCAGTTTCTTCCGTCATAATAAACCACAAATTAGGATCTGCTGTCATAGACGAGTTTGCTTTCATGAGAGCCGCTATATACAGTTGGATCTAAAAAATAGGTTTATGTGATCCAAACTCCCTATGGTTGGTTTACTACGAACTAATTTTCATCACAAAATATTAAATATTAAATCTTTTTGACATATATAGTTTTATTTTTCATTGAAACCCTTACTTGGTTTGACATCCACACACACATAGTTCACGGGCCTACATGGTTCAAATTCGATAAATTAAATTTTTATGTCAAATTCCTCAAAAAGCGTCGAAAATTAAGCTTTTTCCCCATATAATGATTCAGTTCTCGTGGAGATAGTTATATAGCAAAATGTTCAAAAAATTACCAAATCCCATCCAAAAGCTTCAGCTATATTTAGAATGAAGAAATACTATCACTGAGCGATTTTTGTCTCGTAATTCTAAAAATTATAATATTGTTATACCTATCAGTGAATGACGGGGGTCAAGGGTGCTCATCTTGGTTTTTTTTCCTGACGTGTGTAACGCTCAAAAGGAAGCTTCAGAGACGCTATGAAGTATATATATATTCTTAATCAGCGTGAAATTTTGAGTTGATTAAGACGTGTATGTCCGTCCGTGTATATTGTCGGCATTCTTCCGGTCGCGAAAATGAAAATATCAACTTGAAATTTGGTTGAAACATTGGAAGGTTTTGCACGCAGACTGGTATTGGGAGGGAACCAAATTGGTCAGAGCAGAAGCCGCAGTGACCTGTAAACTGAACGCAAGTCCGTTTGAGGTTTTTTACTCATTACTCACAAACTTTACAAGATAGGAGGCTGAAATTTTCCATGTTTAAAGAAATCAAGAAAACGGCCACGCCCACACAAAGTTAAAAGCGGTTAAATTTTATTTTATTTTCACACTTTTAAGTTTTATTCCTATTTATCATAACGCATACAAGACAAAATTTTTAAAACTATTTAGTATATTCTCAAGTGAAGATATATTATCTGGGTTAGTTCTAAATTGAAGAATGAAAAATGCATAGCGGTGGGTATACGAGATTCGGCGTCCGCCGAATATAACTTTTTGACTTATTTTCTTATAACGACTTATCAAAGTAAGGCGTTGCCTGCTTAGTGGCCGCAAAAGTGGTCTGATTCAAACCTTATCCAGTAGCCTTCACCTTCAAGTCAAAACACGTGAGGTTTATCAAAATATCTCAAAAATTGTGGGCTGAACACAAAAATATAGGGACAAATATTAGACAGACAGGTGATAAAATAAAAGATGAGTTTATCTCAAGTACTTCTTAGAGTTACAAGCTTTCGCACAAACTTAATACATCGTCTACCGCAAACGCTGTAGGGTATAAATACGTATTTATTTTCTATTGTTGATTAATCATGTCCGCCCAAACATTTGCATGACTACCTATATATTGACATTCTCAAAGGAAGCAAAATCGGAATCAATGAAACTTGGATCAATTCCACATATAGTGGGAAAAATTTCGCTATCTTACTTCGGTAGCGATCTTACTTCCCCCTCTTTTGTTATATCAGCAAGTTTACGGTTCAATAGTTCCAAAAAGTAGGACTCGTTCCATTTTACATAAAACGCAAAATTAATGATCGTCGACATCAAAACCGAATAATCGCATCTTTAAGGCGATTCTGCATGCTTGGAATAGTAAGTAAGGTATTATGAACTATTATATTATGTGTGAATGGCATAAGTAGCATTCAGTGGTTAGATATGAGACTCCGGATTGTTCATACTATGTGGTAAGCTTCTATTTCTTTGATCTGGATTGCTTGCATCGCGACAATCAACAGATATATAAATAAATAATACCATTGAAGGCGGATTTGTAGGGAAAATGTCCACATTATGCAAAAAACTCCCGACAGATTAATTACTTAGCAAAATTTGCCCGATTGTACGAGCTGCTGCTCGATTTCTTTATTTTGCGCTTTGAAAACTCCGAATTTTTCGAAAGTTGGCAAAAATTAGTAAAGAGAAATTGATCCGCAGGTCATGAAATCGGTCAAATTTTGGAAATTTTTTAAAAATTTGTAAAATTTTTTTTTTTTAAAACGAAGGAAAACTACCTATTATTTAAAATAATCTTTTAATTGAATATCTTTATACTAATCTAAGTTATTTTATAGTAAATTAAACAGTTTTAATTTTTTTTTAATAAAAATAAGCAAAGACTAAACTACTACCTCCCTTCATACCGCTGGTTATATCGATAGAAGTAGTAGATTTATTCCCAAGGCGGGGAGACGAAGAGAAGCCCATCTTGCACCAACAGTGTTTTCACTGTTAGTAAAATAACCAGACATTTTTGTATCGCCATCCCGCAACCGTATGGTAATTAACCGTCTATAATTTTTCCAGAATTATGAACGGATGAATTCTGTTCGATAATCATAATATTAAAACCGAGCTATGATTCCCGTTTCTTTAATGTCATCAAAGGACTAGAAATTCTGAACTTAACATACTCCGGGAAATTTCTGTAAACTGAAATTGCAGTACCACCACACTGGGAAAATTGAAGCGCGTGCAAATGTAAACAAAAATTCGAATTTGCAACAACAAAATATACACGGTATAATTTTACAGCAACAAAATACACATGGTATTACTTTCACAGCAACAAAATACGTAAGTTACTATTCTTACAGCAACAAAATATATATGTAAACAATGGCACGTGCGTGGCAAATGTAAACAAAAATTACAATTTTCAACGACAACCACACGCGGTATTATTTTTACAACAAAGAAAACTGGATCTTAAACAAAGGAACAAAAAAATTCAAAAGCGGGAAACCAGAAATAGGAATGTTGCCAGCAGCAAAATGAATAATTAAAAAAATATTTTACAGCAATTCTGTTAGTTCGTTCAGTATTTATATTAGCCCCTGCATAAGGAATGTAAAGCAAAGTCAATATTATTTGAAGTCAATTTAAGTGAATTTATATCTCAGCAAACTGAAAAAATTTCAAAAATTTTTGAAATTTAAAATTTTTTTTTTTTTTTTAATAAAATTATAAAATTATTATTATATTTTATAGAAAGAAAAGTAAAGCCACATCTCGTGCTACGGACTTAAAATCTCTTTGTATACGCAATTTTACGGAAGTTTTAATTATTAAACATATTAATTTATATAAAAAACTAACCGAAAAGAATAAGCTAACTCTCTGATCCTAATGAAATTCCAACTTTTATTCTTGAAAATAGAAATATAAGATATAATATAATTTTCAGTCTCCTAGTGTATATTCCTTTCTCTAAATAAACTAAATTTTTGATTAAATATTCTAGAAACAAACTAAAATTATTGAAATCAATGATAACTTTATAACATATTGCCTATGCAAGATCCGGTTTTGCTTTGGTTTGCTTATACAGACGCAACATAACAATGTAAGAATGTAGTGTGTTAAAGTGGCCAGGTTACCACTTTATGAACATCTGGCAATGCTGCAATTTGCTATACTACAGTTTTGCATTATTACTGAAGTGAATATAATTTTCCTTTAAATTGTAAAAATTTTGCAATAGAAATTTCTTAAAAGAAACACTGATCGATTCCCGAAGACTACAAACTCAAAATCGAAACAAGCAAACATAAAGAAAACAAACTTTGGATGCTCTGGATGCTGGAAGACTAAGGAGGTGTTAAGTTCTATATTGCTTGGTAATTTTCAATGGACAATAACCCAACACCAGGAACACCAGACAATGGCGAGGATTTCCTAAGCCGTAATATACTTTTTTTACGAGAATTTGGTGCAGAACAGGTGAGAGTTGTTTTCCGAAGTGTCCTGAGAGACTTTAATCAACCAAATGAAATGCCTGTAATCAGAAGAAAACCAGATTTAAGAATATTTCGCGTAAGTACATCAGTTGAAACAAGTGAGGAAGGCAAATTGACCTAATTGTTTTAGCATACAATGATGTACAAAGAAATTAAAGCGCTATGTGGTTTGCCAGCGACCAGCAAAAAACCTAGCGAAAGCTGGTCTTTGACGCGAGCTTTAATGAAACGTGAAAATGGCATGACGGGATTTCGAACAGGGTCATTCACAGATAATCAACAACGACGCATTGCGAATCTGTTCATTCCCAACAAAAAAATCGACCGTTTGATGTCACTTGAGTCCAAAATATTTGTATGCAAGTTCAATTCAGATGGAAGCAAACTGATCACTGCCTCCCAAGATGACATTATTCGTATATTTGATGCTTCCAAAGGCACATATTACCGCATTAAACGATCCGAAATGAGAAACGTTAATTCGAGTATTTTAGATATAGATTTTAGTCCATGCAGTCGTTATTACGCATACTCTACCTGTTTAAACTATTGTGAGTGTGAAATAAAGAAATGTTTTTGAAATTTTAGTGACTAATAATATCTTAACGATTCTTCCAGTTTTTGTGGTGCCGACGGATTCAGCCTCTAATCACATTCAGTTGTATGATGTAAACATAGGCCGTAATCGGACAGCAATGTTTTCAATACGATTTTCCCCTTCCGATGGAGGACGCACCCTAGTTGGTGGTTGTGATAATTCCACAATTTTTATATGTGATCGAGAAACTAGCTCTGTGCGAGCTCTTCGAACCCAACATTTCTCATCTGTAGACATAAATGCAATCAGTTACGTTAGCGATCAAGATTCCAATCTGGTTGTCAGTGGTTGCAGTAACGGTTTTATTAAATTATGGGACTTACGATGCAATTATCGTGCAGATAAATCCGCTAGCGTTTTCGTGGGACATCTTGATGGTATCACGTACATTGATCCTCGCAACGATGGCCACTACCTATTGAGCAATGCGCGCGACCAATGCATCAAAATTTGGGATATACGCCAACCGACACCAAATAGCCAAGTACAAAAAAATCCAACTAGCCCCCTAATAGAATGGGATTATCGCTGGGGTCAACCACCACGGGAATGTATAGAATTAAATATGCAAGACCACTACTACAGATACTAATTAGTTTATATTACAGACTATAATCCAAAAGTAGTTTTAGATGGCGACGTCAGTATAATGACCTATCGAGGGCACCGGGTGTCAAAGGCTCTGTTACGTGCTAAATTTTCACCTAGACTTCAAACTGGTCAACGGTACATTTATACAGGTTGCAGTACCGGTAGGATTATTGGTAAGTGAAAAACAATTACGCAGAACATTTATCTCTTTTCATTGACACATAGCTTTCAAAGCCTTAAATATCGCGATGTAACGTGAATAAATAATTTTATTACTCTTTTAGTTTATGACGTACTCACAGGCAATATAAAGGAGGCTATCGAGAGTCATCGCAACGTGGTTAGTGATCTAGATTGGCATCCACACCGTTCGGAAATAGTCTCAGCATCGGTAAATATCTCACACTAACAGAATCGAATACAAAATTCTCAGACTTTAACAAAATCGAATGCAAAATTCCCACACTTTAACAGAATCGAATACCTATTTATCGACATTTTCATTCGAAGCGTTGCAATTTATTGAAATCAACTCTCCCTTCTGTCTCTATTTTGAACGCACTTTTTTTATAAATCCTATGGTAAAATATTTACATAGTGTTCTTGTACAAATATGTCTGATACAAAAATTATAAAAGAAAAAAAAAAAGTAGATCTATTGCACACCTGCGGTATTTGCTCACATTGGCAGCACGTATGTTTACCCTCATATTAATTTATATGGTATGATAATCGCCATTCTTCTTTTTTCTCTTTGAACGTAACGTACATTTGTAACGTAACATATATATATTTATATATAATGTATATGTTCATATATTTGTATATAATATATATATAAAATAAAATATTTTTTTTTTTTTCTTAAATCTCTTTTTAGTGGGATGGCCACGTGAAACTCAACGGATATCGTAACAAACCTAATCTTAAACGACACAATCCAGAGAAAACCAGTCGTCCGCTACGCAGATCTCGGCGTATAGCCGACAGACAAAGACAATCGTATGAAGAAAGCGATGAAGGTGACGAGGTAATATCCAAATAAGTTTCAACATTTTTTTCTTTGCTTTTAATTGAAATGTAATTTTTTATTTTTCCATCTTTTCTAGCTTAACAATTGGTAGCATGCATTTTAAGAGATTTTCGTGAGGATGCAATGCAGAGAGTACGTACAAGAACTTACCCAGTTCACATACATAAAAGTGACGTGACAGTTCAGTACAAGTCTTACAAATTTTTACAAAATGGCTGAAATACGAGTTTTCACGGAGCTTTGTGATTATTAATCTTATTTTCAGCACTTTCCAGAACTGTTGCACCAAACTTTACATATAGATTTTATTAAAATGTTAATTTTCTGTATATTTATTCTATTGTGTTTTTAAACGGTCTACATGCAAACAATTTTTGGCTTATTGTTAGTTATCAGATTGGTTGAAAGGCACTTTTCCTTTTCCAAGATTTCACGTACAATTTTGGCCGTTTTTGTTTATGTTTTTTAGCTTGTATTAGTTGTTTAACATAACTTTGGTAAGTTTTTTTTGGCTTCTCTAATTGATCGTATTTATCAAGAGTGCACTTCCACAGATTTGTTATTCGCTCTTCATCGTTTTTCTTATCTTGGACGTCCAAAATAGTGTCCGCGTTTAGCGAGTAACCTTCGACTTGTGATAGAGAAGACCCAGGAAACTTTTGTAAATCAGCGTTTCGGAATTTTTCAGCACAAAATGAAGAAATCTCGTACATATTGGATTTCTCATGTTTTTTGCATATGCTGTTAAGAGATGATTCCTTGAAACTAAACTTTTCAAGCTCATCTAAGCCTGCGTTAGCGTCACAATTTTGTACAATTAAACTATCATGGTTTATTTCGCTTTCAGATTGATGTTGAGGTTTTTTGGAGGGACAGTCCTTTCCATTTTCTTCATTCTGCACCAAAAGTCGCTTTCTTTGTTTCTTAGAATTCTTTTCTTTGTTTTTAGGTTTATTATATTCTTCTTCTGTGGGAGATGTCCAGGTATCAACAGTAGCCTCATTTACTGCAGGAACTTCTCCTGTATCTGTATTATTTTCAATTACTTCGCCTATCGCACGAACTTTTTTTTTAACAGCTTTATTCGATTCCTGAACTCCTTTGGCCTTCCGTTTCACTCTATTAACAGGTGCCGGGATAGTTTCTAGATCGACTTTCGTTAAATTACTATCGTCCGCTTCTGTATCGTTGGACTTCGATGCCGGTTTAACAATCTTTTCTTTTGAGTAGTCTGTGTTTTCCGCCAAAGCCCAACTTTTTGACACTAATTGTTCGAACATCTCTAGCTCGTGCCCAACATCGCCTAATACATGAAAATTTCTTGTATCTGCATTATTTTCAAATGTTTCGTGTACGGCATGACTTTCCCGCTTATTTGACTTCTTTTTAACATCTTTGTCTTTTCCCTGGCCCCCGATGGCAGCTTCCTTCCGTTTCAGTCGACTGGCTTCTGCCGGGACAGCTTCAATGTTGATTTTTGCTAACTTACCACTATCTGCTTCTGTATCACTAGATTTAATTACTGATTTAACAGGGTTTTTCTTTGACAAAGGCTGTGAGGAATCGGCATCGGTTGCTAAAGCGCTTTTTTCTGCATCAAATTGTTTAAAAACCTCTAACTCATCTCTAAGGTCGCTTAACGCATGCATTTCAACTGCTTCGTCGACCACATGAACTTTCTGTTTACTTGGCTTCTTTTTGACAGCTTTGTTCGATTCCTGAACTTCTATGGCGCTTTTGTTCTTTTTTTCTCCAGTGATATGTGCCACAACATTTTCTACGCTAAGTTCCGCTGAATTACTATCGTCCGTTTCTGTATCGTTGGACTTAGATAACGGTTTAACAATCTTTTTCTTTGACGAAGTCTTTGAGGGTTCTCCGCTATCCGCCAAAGCGCAACTTTTTGAATCAAATTGTTTGAACACCTCTAGCTCGTTCCCAACAACGTTCAATACATGAACTTTTTTTGCATCTGCATTATTTTCAACTCCTTCGTGTACGGCATGACCTTCCCGCTTACTTGATTTCTTTTTGACAGCTTTGTCCGCTTCCTGAACTTCTATGGCAGTTTTCTTCCGCTCTACTCTAGTGATATCCGTCGCGGCAGCTTCTATGCCGATTTTCGTTAAATTACTATTCTCTGCTTCTGTATCGCTAGTCTTTATTAAAGATCTTTCACTAGATGTAGATACTGGTTTAACAGACTTTTTCTTTGACGAAGGCTTGGAAGAATCTTCATCAGTCATTAAAGTGCTAGTTTGTGCAGCTAGTTCTTTGAACGCCTCTGACTTATCCGCAACATTATCATTAACTAGTTTTCTTTGATGCTTTAATTTTAGGATTTCTTTTTCATTTATAAGGCAATCACTATCTTTCCTTACTTTCTTTTTTTTCATATTTTCTTTATTTACATTATCTTCAATAATGTCCTCGCTTGGCATCGTATTAAAAGGATTCGTTTCATAAGTTATCGCTTTTGACGCAACGGGCGAAGTTTTTATATCCCCTTGGTTGGTAACTTCTTTTTTTTCCGTAAACGTTTTGCCAAATATATTTGCCAAATCTTTCTCGCTATATTGAGAGAGGTCTTTGCCTTTAGTAAATTTTTTATAATGAACTCGGGCCTTACTTTTTCTTGAGCGTTCCTCCAATGACATGCCACTAGTTTTTTCTTTAAGTTTCTTAGAGGTATCTGTTGCCGTTTCTATGCTTTCTCTGTTGCTTCGAAAAGGATTAATTCTAGTTGTATCACTTTCAGACATTTTTTCACAATTTGCATTCCCATCATTTAATGATTTGAGTAAACCGTTAAAGCAATCTTCATGCTGCGTCCATTGGTCATCGCGATCTTGAAAGCCCAAACCTCTGTTGTCAAGTTTGTAACGTGGCCTTACGAAATCCTGGATGCCATCTTCGTTCACACCCAGTCCTTTGCCCTTTGCCCAACCCATCTTCTCTAGCATTCTACTTCCGAAACGATTTGCATCTGAAAAATTATAAATTAAAAACTGTTTCATAAATAAAATTCATCGCCAATTTCACCTTCATAGAGTGGTTGTGCCCGTGGCGTCAAAATATAGCCCCTTTTTTGACGTGGTTCTGCCAACATATTTATCTACAATAAACAATTCTGCTTCCTTTTTTTTGTTGGTTTATAAAAGAAGAACAGATAAAGCCTACAAATTGAGAGGCCTGCACACCAGTAACGTGAAATGTAGAAATTTTTCTGATTATTCACTTTGTTAAGTCGCAATTTGAATTGCTTTAGCTCTCAATAAATACAAATTAAAAAAAAAAAAGTGCTCCACGTGTAAGATCGACATAATCTTCTCTAAAGCTAAATTAGTAAATAATGTATCGGCTCGTATTGTAGCGCGAGGTATGGTATACTTTCGTATAGTACGATAAATAACAAACAGGTCTTCTTGATACTCGCAAACACCTCCAAGTACGGAAGGTTAACAGCTGTTTTCTTTTATAAATGGAACTCTAAGCAACCAAACTAACGACTCTGGATAATCAAACTAATGCGCAACATGAGCTATTTGACTTACATTGGTCTTCATACGTATATGTAAGCGTTACCCGCACCTTTCGTGCATACGTACAGCAAACAAATTCGAAAATGAAACGTGACGAATGCAATGCATAAATGGCGCCCTTAATTGTTAACCAATAACAAAATGTTCTTGGGGAATAAACAATTTCTCTATTTTTACTATGGTTTAGAAAGTCGTATACCTACTACGCCAGATAAGCGAATTTGTCAACTAGAAAAGATAATGGAAGAAATGTTTGAAATCGTGTGTGAAAAATAAATAGTCGTCAAATCGTTGAACAAGGGAACATATTCACGAATCTTTGAACGGCCGTTTATATACACCGTTTTTTAACATATATTAATAAAAATTACAACCATGTATACACAGCTGACTGTGGTTTCTTTGAGTAACAATCAAGCGTTTTTTATACGCCTCTTCGGAACAATCGAAAGTGAAAATTTTTAACATTTAATAAAGAGAGTGAAACATTTTGTTTATGGAATACTGTTGAGAAAATTCAGAAAAAGGATCGCTAAATTGTCCTAAAAACTACTAACTTTTTTTTTTTTTTAATCACAACGGAAATGAGTATGAATAATGTCAAACTGGAGGATGTCGTTCGACAGGCTTCTGACTGGAATTTTGCTGGAGACACTGTTCTTTTACAATGGATGAAACAAATATCTCAGGCAAGTTTTATTATCATCATTCTTATCTTTGAAATGAACACTAAATTTGGTGACGCGATTTAGGAACTGCAAAAGAAAGCAAATCAGAGCTGCGAAGCTCTTCGAATGCTCGATAAGAATGTGAAATCAACAAGCGTAGCCTTAGAGAATATGGCAAACAGCTTAAGCGCTCTGCAATTCGGGGATCAATTCGTTGAGTCTCGAGTGCAGGATGACGATGACAGCTTGGTCAACCCTAGAAAAGGATCTTTACTCTTACCTAAAGTACGTTCGATTTTTTGAAAAACAAATTTCTAATTTGCTAATGCTTTTTTCATTGACAGGGTCAACCCAATAACCTTTCGTCTACTTCGTCTAAAGAAATTTGTGATCAATTTCTGAGTAATAATTTAAAAATGTTACATAGTTGCCACGAAAAGTATTCCTTGGATCTAGAAGATTCAGATAATGATACGGGCGAGAATGGTATCAACAATACGTAACTATTCCTTCATTTTCAAGAATGTAATAAGTGTTATATAAATTCTCTTTCTAGGTATATTTATCAGCCAATAAATCCATATAGTGAGAAAGCGTTGCCCTATATTTTTGGTTCTAAACAATGGCACGATTTTTGGCACGTCGGACTCTGTGAAACACAAAATAGCGAGTTCTCAGGAGATGAATTGTCGGATGAATTCTCTGAAGCTTCTGCAACGGATGAAAATGAATCCTTTGAAAGCAATACCCCGAATATTTCCCAGTGGACGTCCAGTTGCTCCTTACAAAACGAAACATCACGAACAAAATTTGAGGTTAAAAATGCCTCATCAATGAGAGGATTGCAAACCGTATTTCCTAATAAACTCTCAAACGATGCCGTAGAAAATAGATTCGAAAGTAAAGAAACCAATTCGTTAAATAGCGAATCATTGAAGAACACGAACAGTGTACCATCGAATCCGCCGTTATTTGATGATATCAAATTTGACACTCAAATCGAAACCGTTTCTCAACATTCCACCGTAAGTCATGCTGATAGCCAAACAAACAGTAACGAGAAACGCACCGCAAAACCAGACGTAGGATTTGTAGATCTTCTCACTGAACCAGAGAATATAAACGTGAAAAGTACGTCCGCAGCAGATCATCACTTTAAACGTAATCCAGTTAACCTATTTGATGATGATGATGATGATGACGATTTCAAATCCTATATGGATGAAGTTGTAAAAAAAAGCGCAGTCTGCAGATAAAAAGGTAGAAAGAGAGATTATCCTTCCAAAACAAGACATACAGGCAAATGAGTCTAAGCAGCCGACAAACAGTTTAAAAACTCAATTTTTGGGAAAATCTCTATTTGATGATGACTTTGACGAAGTCGACGATTTTTACAATATGTTCGCAAGTAAAAAGGCGGAGGTAAAAGCTACTAAGCCGTTAAGCAAATCATTGTTGTTTGACGATGGAGAACTGAGCTTACCGCTTGAAAAGAAGGATACAATGGTTAATTTGTTTGCAAACGATAATAATACAGTTTCTGAAGAAATCCCTACAGATAAGGATGCATTTGTAGAAGCAAACGCATATGTTTCCAAACAAGAACATTCTCAAACTAAAAGTGCCAATGAAGATACTTCAAAGTCTATCGAAAAGATTCCCAGTGTTGTTCCGGAAATTGCATTTAATAATTCAGGTGAAGATCGAAGCGATGATTTATTCGCAAAATCTGCAGCAATGTTAGACAGATCATCAGATGAAAAGTCGTCTCGTCCGCCAAAGGAATTGCCGTCAGAAATTAAATCAAAGGAAAAAGTGATTGGAAAGCCTGCTGAAAAGATTGTTGTAAATAATCAAGAAAATAATGATAAAGAAAATTTAAATGAATTTATAAAAGAAGAAGTTCAGAGCAAAACATCAGCATTGAATAGCAAAACAACTGTGGTAGACCGTGGTAACACGGATCAGAAAGAAGATTCTTTAATAATAACATCTAAAATCAGCGAAATTGTTGAGCCACCGGAACCATCCCAACGAGATAAGTCAACGTCGCAAGTAAACAATTATAATTTCAATGCGAGTCTTTTTCTACAGGAGCCTCCCGATGATAATGAATACATTGATTCTTTCCGTAAATCACCGCCACCTACGACCTTCAAGCATAACTCGTCTACTGATTTGGTCGATGATTTTTACGAACCTGAACTACCAAATCTGCCAGTTTCCCATGAACAAGCTCAGAAATCAATTAACGCAGAACAGTATAATGCCTACAATGCTTTACAATTTTTCAATGAAGTTCCACCAGAAGACGAAGGTGATCATTTTGTTAATACTCCGCAAAATTCGACGACTTTATCCAGCATATTCTATGATGATCTGAGTGAGACGATGAAGGCGGTAAACAAAAATCGAGATCAAGAAGTTTCCCCTTTTAGCAGCAATAACGAGAAGAAATTTAAAAGAATTGATATCGACTTTTGGGAAACAGAAGCAAATACATTAAAAGAGCCACAAGTTGATCAACAAAAATTAAAGCCTTCTAAACTAGAAATACCAAACATTCACATTAATGTGAAAGCCTTACTACCGGGTTCGAACTATCGTAAATCGTCAGAATTAAAGGAAGAGAAATATTTAGCTCAAAATGCTAACGAAGCCGATAGCAGTAATGCTTCTAAAAACAATTTAGTTCAGAAGGAACCGTTGCGAGGTATGAGCCAGCGTAATTCAGAAGAACCAGAACAGGCTGTTGAAAAATCGAATAATAAGATACCCTACCATGATGCTAAACTCAGTTTGGATACGAAAGAACAATTACCGGATAACCAATATTTACTATCGAGTATTAATAAAACTCGTGTAAGAGCGCCCCTTTCCCGTAAGCCTTCAACGAGAAAAGGTCGCCAAGAAAGCTATGAAAGGTCTTTAATGGTTGAGCAAGAAGCAAATGAAGACATTCTAGGAAATAGTGCAAGTGATAGTAGAATAGGACTAGCATACAGCGAGACCACGTCTGAAAAAACTCCACCATTCAGCAAAGGAAAACCTGTGAAAATTGACGAAGGAAGAAATAATGATTTCGAAAATCTATTCGCTTCACCTTCTATCAATAGACTTTCCTTACCGGACTCGAAAGGGGAATTAATACTAAAAAGTAATCAATCATCTTCAGGTTTATTTGCAAATATATTCGGCGAGACGTTTCAACCGAAAAAATTAACATCTGCTGATGTTGTGGCCTCTGTAAAAGAAACTATTTCAGCGAACAATAATGGAAAAGATTTATTAAGCGCAAGCGTTATTGTTGAGCGACCAGTGGCTGCAAAGCGTGAATCCCAACTAATTCATCAGCAGCTAAATCAATCCAAACCAATTGTTACCAAATCCACTAATTTATTTGATGATTCTGAAAGCGATGACGACTTCTTTGCTAATAACAAAAAATCCTTCCTATCAACGAAGAGTGACAGAGAGAGTAAAGCTAAGCAAACAGATGAAACCAATGCAAATGTTAAAAGCACCGAGCATTGGAGAGAGGCCGAGCGAAAGACGTCAATAATTAAATCGGAACCGTCTTATGCTCAAAATAAGAATGTGTCGTCGTTATTCGATGGCGATAGTGAAGACGACGATCTATTCCTCAAAACAAATCAAGTAAAACCCACAACGGGGCACAAATCACGGGATTTATTCGCTAATGACGATGATAATGATGACGATGACTTATTTTTTAAAACGAAACAGGCAAAGCAATCATGGCGACCAAAATCAAAAAATTTATTCGATAACGGTTCTGATGATGATGACGATGATGACCTCTTTAGCGGTAATTCTTTGAAAAGGGGAGGTAAGTATTGATTCCGTGCATAAATCCATCCAGTCAAGTCGTATAAATCCGAAATATAAAATGGTTCGAGAGAAAAATTTCGTGATTGTTACATGTAAAGCCATGACTCGGTTCGATCGGCAAAAATAGTAACTGGCCGAACTAAAATTATCGTAGAAATAAAAATTTCTATTATAAAATTTCGGAGATAGCTTTGGGTCTACACTTTCCTCTTTATGGACCCTGTGTTGTAGAGTTTGCAAAAAGTGGACTGCGTTGAAAATATATATCGGCAAATACATGTCGGACACTGATAGATATTTTCAAGGAATCCATGCACCAATTTTCGCTTTCACTTAAGACACTGGTGTCCGTATGTCAGACTTAAAAGTGGATTGCGTTGAAAATATATATCGGCAAATACATGTTGGACACTGATAGATATTTTCAAGGAATCCATGCACCAATTTTAGCTTTCACTTAAGACACTGGTGTCCGTATGTCTGACTTAAAAGTGGACTGCGTTGAAAGTATATATCGGCAAATACACGTCGGACACTGATAGATATTTTCAAGAAATCCTTTCACTTAAGATACTGGCGTCCGTATGTGTGACTTAGAATGTAGGAAGAATTTCGGAATTTCAACAGTATCGTTATGGTATTACTCATCCATGCATATGTTTACATATATATGTATAAATAGATAGACTATACTCTTCATATATATATTAACAAAAAAATTGTGTAAATATTTAGCATCACACTCCAATACAAAAGTGCTAGCGGCAGCTGAACCGAAGAGTCAACTCCCGAGCATCAAGACTACGACAGACAATCCTTTGGCCGATTTATTATGAATCACCTTGGACCCACCCATATAGGAAAGTGTAAAGTTTTCAAGTATTTTTTATTTATTTGCAATAATGAAATAGTTTTTCTTAACAGAAATGTAATAAAAATATTTTTAATAATAACCATTGCACGTTAAAACTAAGAAACAAACAGAAAAAACTTTTTGATTAATACACACTAAATAATTTACGTATTGCATTGAGTTTTTTTTATATATACATATATACATGTGTATTCAGTTTCTTAACTGTGAATTTTTGTTTACAAACAGGTATGTGTTTGGAATAACATCTTTTTCTCTCTCTCTCTCTCTCCCTGTTTCTCTCTCTCTCTCTCTCTCTCTCTCTCTCTCTCTCTCTCTTTCTTTCTTTCGCTGTGTGACTAAAATAAAATATAATTTATTGTTTAGGCTTGCTGGACGTTCTTGAGTTAGTATTGTTTTTCTTTGGCAGTCGTTGAAAAGCGATCTCGTCTTTAGTAGATAAATTATTACATATTTATAACTTATATATATACAACACGAACTTGTTGAGAGAAAATTACATTTCCTTTTCATTTGTGTACCTTGCTTGCTTACTTGCTTATAACACACATTGAGTCTACACACACTTCTTACAAAGCAACATCACGATATTTCCGATAATCGTCCGACTCATTGCCCAAGGATAGCTTGCTATTCGCCGTGACATACGGATTCGTATAGTTTACATATCCGAAGCCACCGTAATACTGCAATTGCTGTGAATTACGCCTGTAGATTTGTTGTTGCTGTTGTTGCCCTGGCATTGGATTTCCATTCGTCGCCCCACCATCTACACTGTTATCTTGACTTCCTGGTCTACGGTAGATTTTGCCCATATTATTTGAATACATTTTTTGTTGTTCTTGTTGCAATTGTTGATGTTGCAAATAGCCTAACATGGCCAAATAGTATTGTTGTTGTTGATTGTAGTTTTGCAATTCATTTTGTACTTTAGTAATGCCCTCCAGATTTTCTAATGAAATGCAATTACGCGACAATTTTGGAATCTGTCTGTGCTGAACTTGTTGATGACTTGGCAAAGCTAATGGCTCTCTTTGCCTCTCCTTTAAGTGATTCGTTTGCATGGGTGACGATGATTGCGGCGCATCAATAGAACAATAAATCGGATCGTTCGGCAACGATGGTGGTCTGTGGGTATCTTGCAGATTATTTTTTAGATCGTCAATAGTTATATTAAAATATTTTCCATTTTTCTCATCACTATTTTCGAGAACGTAACGCGGATTATAAAGCCCCGGAAGTGTACACCTTAAGTCCATTAAAGATTGAGCCTTGTTACCTAATGGATTAGAAATTAGAAAGAAAGTAAAAACGTTGCCCACTAATATCCGCTAAAGCAGGTAAAGACTTTATGTGCGCAAAAATTCGTATTTTGACCAATAAAAAATTGGGTTCTAACTTCCCTAACCTGAATGTCGACGTTGAAAGCCAAGAGTTAGTGAGACACGACATAGGACGATCTATTTAAAATCGGATCTAAATTGCGAATATTTACATATTAAGATAACTAGAAGTTTTTTCACGAAAGCCGGTAAAAAAGTCACACGTCGTTTTAGTTCTCACTGAAGTATCTCCATTTTTTCTCTTTTTAGTCTTTTAAGTCACTTTTTCTATTTACTGAGCATTCTACGTCGCTTCTTGCACTTCGGCGAATAGAAAACGAGAAGAAATGTACAAATACCGAATACCCAAAAAAGGAAAAACGTTTGGTGTCGTTACACATACGCTTTAGAGGGCGTTACCTATTTGTATACACATCCCTGCCTGGCACTTGGAGACTAATTACCCCCGTGGCATCGAGTTTGCCATTATGCAAGGACTAATTATCTTCGCGGCGCTGAGTATGCGTTTTCACATTCCGTGTGCTATTGAGCGCCGTGGGTTAAGCCGTCGCGGTAGTGTATCCACGTAAAATACCTAGCGATGTACATATTTGATGGTAGGTGTTGTAAACATAATAGATAGCACATTGGTAGGACATTGAGGAGGTAAGATGAAATATTTTTACGCATGGTAGTTCCCCTCATGAGACTTTCGATTTTAATAGCTTGGATCTTACGTGGCTTAAGAGGCAAGTTGTCAAAAGCAATCAAATTCTACAATTTCTTGGTATAGTAGCATTACCGAATTGCGCAGGATTATTTCGATCTAACCCCGTGGGGGTTTTTTTTTTCCATTTTTTTTTTTTTTTTTTTTTTGTAATACCGGCTACATCTGATCCGGCTACATCTGATCCTAATAATGCCATTTGTCGCAAATTTATTGAAGTTAGTGTATTATCTAAAAGAGCTAATAGTAAATGTCCTGAATTTTAGATAAAGTCATTTGTGGGCGTATCTTACAAAGATAACAGCTAGAGTGTTGTATATTCACTTTTGTCAGAAGTGTGTTCTACCATAGAGAGAGATTATAATTATGTATTGGCGAATGCCAATTTTACTTGGCTAAGTTGAATTTGGAGACACATTTTATTATACCTACAACACGACGATGATCGGAAAGAGATGTGGACAGAGAGATAGTGAATAGCCATAGCTCAACAGATGTGCTTATCGAAAGTAAATTATGGTTTACAGCAATGAGAATTGAACCGTGCGTGGCGATTCTGTAGACGCGTTTCTTGACTTGGCTTGGCAATGCGGTAAGTAATGTGTTTCGCGTTCGTTGTGCGGAGTTACTGGTCATAAGAAATACGCAAAGTTACCTTAAACAAAGTCATTGCATCACAAATTAACCGCACTACGGACGATTTTGTGATTAAGATTTTCGTATTATCCTATATGGTTTAAGACTTACATATGAACATTACGTTCGTTACTTCATAAGCCAATATGTGCTTGTAGCGTAGATCAGAACGCATATGTCAAAAATTGATCGCAATGAAATCCCTTAACCAATAAAGTCAGTTACAACAACGTCGTACACGCTTCACTACTTGAATTTGGGATCTTTTTAAAAGCCGAGGATTTTTTAAATTTGTCGATACAAAATGCTTAGAACAACGTTATGAATGTAATAAACGACAATTATGATTAAATGTCGGAGTACTTAGTGTTACTGTGGCTGTTTAGACTTGGGTGTAGTAGCGCATCCACTGCTTGTCACTCGTAAGGATTCAAATGCGCGCGCTATCCTTTGAATTCATCAAAATTGTGTGACAAGTGAAATTATTCTGTTTTGGTTAGCGAAAGTAATTTCTTACGGAGAAGACACAGTTTTATTCTATATCCTATAGTACTAACTAATTACAATCTTTCTATGGACCAATCAGACAGAAGGTGTCCCCTACTCGCTTTTACCAGCCTGAGTACTCGCTATAACGACCGCCAAGATAAACTTTACCGCATTGAGATTTGAACACGCGAAAGCAAAAAGCTTAGTAGTTGCTATTCTTACCTACTCGGCTCTTCATGAAGATAATTAGCAAAATTTTGCTAAAAAGCACCTAATTTTCGCTAAGTAAATCATAAACTCAGAAAAGAAAAACTCTGTAACAAAAATATTTTTACATAACTTCAACATCAGCAAACAAATATAAGTTGTCTGTCCTTTTGGTAAGGAGCACCTACAAATTTTTACGTACCATTTATCCCATTGGAATCGTTACTGGGTGGAGGTAGGGGAATGAACGGCATTGTAAACATACTGGCATTAAATTCATTTTGCGACCCATATAAACTAAGATTCTGAGATTGCGGACGTAGCACATCGTTATTGTTGGCGGTCTCGTTAACTTGGAAGCCGACATTTTCAAATGCGTACTGTTGCTGACTTTCTAAACGTTTGCTGGTACGCCGCGAATCATCTTGAACTATTGGTATGCTGGGTGGAGGTGTTTGCAGTTGTAGACGTGCCGCTAAATCCTGCAGTTGCATTAAAACCTGAGCTTCGCGACGCCATCTGTCATAGATTAAAATATATTTTATTAAAAATGCTTCATATGCTTATCTATCTGTGTGCACTTACTTTAGACCAGTGGGTATTACACAAATTAATGAAAAGCAATTTATCAGCAAACGTAAGAGATAAGCGACGAGTTCCGTTAAGCCGTGTATGGACTGGAGGCCCTGTTTATTTAAATTTTTCATTTTCGTTTGCTTTCACATTCAAAATTATTTCAATTGCTTTCATTCTTTCATTACTCACCCAATGTTGCGTTGTCATGATCATTACAAAGATCAATTCCGGAATAGAAAGTACGCCTATAACAACTGACCAAGCAAACAAACCGAACGGCAATCCCGTTACTAGGCCATGTATCAGTATCGTAGTGGCTACGAACACTACAAAATATTGAGTGCATAATATATAAGCTGAATACGGTAAATCTCCTCTTGCTTCAAGTATCCAAGAGACTTCACAAGAAAATGCACCCAAATAAACAATCTAAAAAGAAATATCGCATAAGTACACTCATACATTGCATGCACAATTTAAAAAGCTTAGTTAGTAGATAGATAAATATATATGTATTTGTTTCTCTTACCAAAAGTAAACCGGCAGCGACACAACATATAATGAACAGATTCGCTTTAACAAAACGCTCCATAATGTGATCATTCCAAAAGCTTGTTGCTGCATCGCTCTTTGCTTCTCCATTTGGTAAATTTTTACTGGACTTGTCATAGTTCATAGTTCTTCTTTTCTTATCTTTATTAAATAATGTTTCAAGATTTGCAGGATCGTAGAGTTGCGAAAGGGAATAAATCATGAATTTATTCTCAAAGACCTGAAAATTGCGGTTAACGATTTAAATGAAAGCAATACGATGTATGTCACCATAGCCTGATTTCTTTAGCTATGTGGAATGCGTGTGCACATAGCAAAGCGCTAATGTTCAATGTGGAGAGGAGATTATTTAATCTAAATTTTGTAAGTTGTTCTGTTGGTTTTCTTTTCTGTGGCATTATTTTGAAATTGAAAAGAAAAAAAAAAAAACAACAACACTTTTTGCATCTTTGATACGTGCAAAAAAAAGCATTCAAAATTAAATTTTTTTCCTTTTTTTTTTACATGCATATTTAATGTTTTTTTTTTTTTTTTTTTTTTTTTTTTTTTTTTTTTAACTTAACATTGATCGTAACATTATAGGCCATTATAAAGATTTCAAATAAGATTTAAATGATTGGTATTGCTTTCGATATGCATGCGCTCTGTGCTAGAAAGCATAGCTGCAAGATTTTCATACTGCATCAACATTAGTTACAATTTCACTAAAGAATACATTTTGAAAAATCCTCAACCGAAATAATTCGTAGTTAGGTATCGAAAAAGAACAAGCATATAATATTAGGTCTTCAATGCTTTTAGTGAATGTATTGAGTAATGTTAAAAGTTCTTGGTGTTTTCTTCAACGCCGTTGTTTTTTTTTTTCAATTTAATCAATCGCTTGACCGACGTATAATGCTAAAAGCGGGAAACCGTACATGACGGTGTCCGTAAACGGTGATAGTCGATGGATTTTTATTACACAAAAAAAAAAAAGAAGAGACAACAGAATATAAGCCACTACACAATACCCTACGCCTTTTGTTTAATATGCTTATTTATGGAACGAGTTTTCAAAGTAATGGCGGCAAGCGGTCGAAAGAGAACCAATTTCTAGAGCGTTTCCCCTTGGTTCAAAACCTGTCTGGTTACTAAATGCCATCAAAATAGATAAAAAATCACGGTTTGTAGATTGAATACAAGATAACAAGACGGACAGATGGACAGACAAGCTTAAATAGGTTCCGAAAGTGCTTCTGGAGAAGTCGATATAAGAAAAGGTTCTTCTGGATGTTGCATACACCCGCACAAACTTAATATACTCTTGTACCACAAGTGGTGTAGGGTAAAATATCGTGAAAATTGTGGCCGATAGGCAGGTCGTTAACAAGCTCCTACAAATTAAGAGAATTGCTGGCTACAAAGTTCCGACTTTGTGCCGTTCGAGTACAATTTGTTTCGTCTTCTCTGTGGAATTGCCTTGAAATATTCCCCGTGCTAATCTGTTAACGAGTAGATGCCATTTCCGGGATCAAAGCAGTACTCGCTAACAATATTAATAATTTAAAATAAATAATTTTTTTGTGTTAACGAGAAAAAATATATAAATATCCTCATGCCGCGTGCATCTTTTCCGGCACGCTGTTCAAAAAGTATTGCAAACTTCATTACATCACAGACAATAGTAATAAAAAAAATTAATCCTCAATTTCTAAAGTAATTTAAACAAGTGAAATCACGTATGGTGAGGCACGCCCCACCACATATTCATATAAAGGTTTTTGAAAATAAAGCGTTATATGGGAGAGTGGAGGAAAAGGTGTTTCCATTCGAACCATTCTCAATACCGTTCGTCCTTGAGCCAGAGCATGTCAATGTACAAAATTTCATCAAAATATTTCAAAAATTTGCGATCCGTTGGCTGAACACAACAACACAAGTCTGACGAACGGACAGACAAGCATCCGAAAGTGATTCAGAATCGATTGGTATAACGAAAAATGAATATATCTCAAATTCTTCTGGGTGTTGCTTACAGTCGCACCAACTTGAGACACTCTTGCACCACAAATTGGTCATCGTATAAAAAACATATATCCAATTTGAAAATCATCCAAACAAGTTAAAAAACTCGCCAGTATCGAAAAAGCACATAAAAAACCGCTCAACAGGTTCATAAGACGACATATAGATGATAGTAGCGCCGCTTTTGTTTTTGCAAATTGATGGGAAAGATCAAAATTACATGTGTAGCGTCACTAAAACAACCAACTAACTTTCAGAGAGTCATAAAATTTTGACACATTTCGCTACCATATTCTTCGCCATTAGTTATCCTGCATCTATATATCAGTCCTATGAGCTTATTGAGTGATCTGTGATAATATGAAAAAATAGGTTGGACAATATGTCTGCATGATCTGTACAAATAACTGTGAAATGCTGCCTAGCTTGAACAAATAGCTGTGCAGTGCTGCCAAGCATTGCAAAACTATGATTTAATGGCTGCATATGATACGCGATAGATAGATTAGGATCGATCGACATATCAAGCAGACATACCTTGACTTCATCTTGCTATGAGTTACTGTACGTACATTAGTGGTAAGTGTTCAGAAATTCGTATAAAGTCCGGTTTTTCTTTTTCGGTATGTATACGATATGGGAACGAGTGAGATACGATATAAGAAAGCGAAATATGAAAGCAGTCGGACGAAGAGATGGACATGATGATTACTTTAGAAAAAAACTGTCAACCTTCCGGTCAATTAATGATCTTAAAGTGAATTTTTAATATTGTAGTCGTAGTAGGGGAAATAAAGCATTTATTTAGATCACAGCAAGAAAGAAGAAATTTTTTTTTTTTCGAAAACTTAACAATGAGGACACGTTAATGTTTAAATAGATGCGCGCTTAACCTCATCAACTTCTCATATAACGTATTCTAAAGAATTTTAATATACATATATATATATATTTTTACTTTTTTTTTTTTTTTTTTTTTTACTTGAAGAAAGGTTGCAACGCCGATCGTAATATTTTCGTAATACGCTCTCTTGACGCGTATAGTTTTCTTGTTTGTTTTAAATATTAAAACTCCCTCCTTTCTGCTTTTTTATTTTTTTTTTAATTTACCATAAATCATCATCAAGAAACATGCATTGGTTTTGACTTTAGTCTTTTGTTTCCAACCACGTTAAACGCTAGGCTAGGCTTTTACATTTTATAATTCCATAATTTCCGCATATACCGCGCATACATATACTTATGTGTGCTAATTCATAAAAGAAAGAAATTAATAAACAGTTTTACTGTATTAGCGAACGAACAAGTAAACCGCAACAAACAACAGCAGCACCGTAACTGCAATACGGTGGGTAAGTGCGCTTAAAAATATATATATATATATATATTATTTTTAAAAAATATATATATAAATATATATATATATATATATATATATATATATGTATAAGCAATTAGATGCTACGCTATAATATCATACTTAAAGAAGTGCGCATGAATGTGTGGTACGGTACGATATCTGTGTGTGTTTTTGTGTCGTTTTTTTCTATCGCTTGCAATTCCTTATATTAAGAAATTTATATTTATTTTACGAAAATTATTATAAAGTGATTAATGCTTCTTCTGTTTACAGCAGAGAGCTGCCAAAATAGTAACTTTGTTCTAGACTGAGCAGCGCTCGGGGGATTTTCGTAGTAGCGCGCCCAACGAAAAAAGATGAGGTAATAATTAAAATTCGAAAATTACGAAATCCGAGTAGTAAACAAGCGGCAATGACGAGACAAGAGCAAGAAGAAGACATATTTTAGATCACGTACGGTCAACCCTTGGCCCGCGGACAGCGTTCGCTGCCCGCTACAGTTACAATTTCAAATTATTTAATTTGTTCATACACACCAATGCTGAAAATGGATTGTATTTGCGTTCGCCACCGGCTCAGCTATCAAATGTGAACTGAATTCAAACGTTTTATGCTCCTTAGACCATCAAATGTGCGATTTGAAAAGAAACAAAATTGATAGAAAATACCGCACTTTTAATAATAGTTGGACCCCCGCCGCGGTATGAAAAGTTACCCAGCCCTACGTTAAGTCAAACCTCAAGCAAGTAATTAAACATGCGGGAGAGACGTAAGGGATTAAATGATAATCATGGTTACATCATAGAATAATGATTCCAGTAGTTTTCTGCTGATTGATGGATACTCTCGTTTCTCCTGAATGTTTACTGAAGCCGTTATTTACACTTGCTTTGAGTTCTCGATTATTTAAAACAATATATTGGAATTTTGTTCTTGTTGTTGTTAATTATATACCAAAATCTGCAAAAAATTATTCAAGTTAAAATGCTATTCTCCGCCGCCGAATTTCAAAAAGAATTTTCGAAATAGACCGACCCAATCCCATTTTTGGTAGGGCTTCTCTTCAGTCAAAACATGTCAGTGAATCAAATCTCACAAGAAATAATTTGAAGATTGTGGCCTGCATATTGAACGCAAATATATATATATATATATATATATGTACTTCAATGTCAGAGGGGTAGACACCGAATCGATTGGTATGAGTCTTGCGCTCATATCTGCAAATCTAAAACCTTTGATCGTAAGATGCGACCAACAAGAAAAGCTTAAAAATGTTAATTTTTATAACAATTTCGGGCTCAGGGCATACTCTCTATGTGAGAAGTGAGAAAAGAAAAAGATATAGAGAAGTGATAGTTGCAGCCTATAGCTGGTAAGTACCTAATCCGTAAGTGCTACATATCTTTACCGACTAAGCACTCGCTATAGCTACGAGTAAAATAAACTGTATGGTACTTTGGATTTCAACCCCCGAACCGTGACTTGGTAGTTGAGATCCTTACCTATTCGTCTACTCACGCAACACGGTCCAATTAACACTTCCGATATCTACCCAATTATTTTCATTGTCAACCATTAGATCGTAGTTATGGGAATATTTTGAATAACTTCATCGTATCCCCATATGATTTTCCCATCCCATATTAAAAATAGATGGGATCGTAGCATTATTGCGACAATTTTTCATTTAACTCCCTATTTTGGAAAATTTGTTATAAGAAAAAAAAATTCCGATTAGAATATTTCTTGATAAAAGCTGGATGTAGAAAATACAGACGTGATCACACCTTTGTGCGATTCCTTCCAAGCTGAAACCCTCCTTGCCTGATGGGGTACTATAATGTGGTGTACACTGGCAGGGCACTATATTGTAGGGTGTACTAGACAATCAATATACCGTTTAATAATAAATTTTTATATGCATCTGTAGGATTTTTTATCAATCTTGTAATAATATGGCGCCGACTGAACCTTTCGGCGATCATATTCGGCATTGCAATGTTTACGGAGATGTATTTAAAGTCATTAACTAACATTGCTGGTTCGAAACGTTTGCCGCTGGTGATTATGATCTCTTTAACAGGTCTCGAAGTGGACGAGCAGTCGATTTTGTTAATGAAACTCTGAAATCTCTAATGGAAGTTAATTGAAAATGACTTATACAAGAATTATTGAGAAGCCTCGGGCCAACATGGTCGCGATACAACGACATTCACACGAAATTGGAAAAGCATGGAAGCAAAACATCATGACTACCGCATCGATTACATGAACCGAACAAAAGTATCCGTTAAGCAATTTTTCTCTTCATTGCTATACAAATTCCGTAGAGATATATTTCTGAAGAGAATCATGATCGGAAATGAAAAATGAATTCTTTCTACACATCAAACCACAATATGATGCCTGGGGGAGATTACCGATGATTAAGCTATGATTCGATATAAACTTCGGGTGCTCTCGGGTCAATATCTTTCTTGTTAGATAGTTTTATTCCTTTTGACTATCAAGTTAAGTTAAAATTAGATCGGTCAAAGCTACTGCTCATACCACCGTTCCATTGATTACTTCAAATCTGAAGAAATTCAGAGTATTAAGGAATAGTGTAACTAGACGTGCTTTCTCCTTGACGACATCTGATGATATCTCAGATTATGTTATGCGTTTTCTCGATTGTCCCTTCTTTAATTTTTTTAAAGTCAGACTTTTGCTTAGACTTTAGAACGCTATTCTACGGCAGGGACCAAAGGAGCTTTTCAACCTATTTTCTTATTGTAGATCGGTTCGCAATAATCATTTGTTGATTCCTCGAGTTACACACTCTCTTCGGCCAAATCTTTTCAGATCAGAGCTATAAGAGCTTACAACTGTTAGGGAGAGAGTTACATTCGCATGTTCTTAGCTCACCTACATATGTGAACTTTTCATATTTGCATTTCATATTTGTAATTATTTAATATTCGAACGAGAGTGTGATGCCTCATGTTTTATCTGCACTTTCCTTCTTGGCCTTCAATCTCTTTTCACTCGAATTGTTTGTGAACTTTTTGTAAAATTGTATGTAATTTTTGCGCCTTTAATAGACTTTGTATTCAATTATAATAGGGCTTATGGCTTTGATTTTGTCAATAAAATAAATAAATACATAAGCATGCAACCATCGATCGATCCTTAAGGCGGCAGTGCCTTGAATTGAGGGATTGAAAATTTGCAGGAAAGATGGTAAATAATGAGATGAATTATACACATTACACACATACATTATTATATATACGCTATTGTAATAAATTAAGAAATAAAAAGATGACTTTATTACAAAATTCCCTTTCAAAATTTCAAAATAATTGATTGCTTATGGATCCTCCTAATATATGTATATGTGTTTAGCTATAGCGATGAGTAACAAAGATAATTCGCTTACTTGGTTCATTGGCTTTGAAAGACAATTCAATATAAGCAACGTCGTTAGATCGGAATTAAGGAAATTTATAATAAAAAAAGAAGAAGAAGAAGAAGATATATTTAGTCGTACAATAGTAGATAATATAAAGAAAGAACGAAACTTTGTATTGCAGTACACATCAACATAATTATAAACATTTTGTTTTGATTACTTTACATAAAAGGTTCTTGTATCCGGTCGTAGCAGAAATGGTTGGTTGTTAAGAGTTTTGTTCTTGCAACACAAATAAACGAAAGAATTTATATATGTAAACACATAAACAAACACTGAAAAAGTATTCAAGAATTGTGTCATCATTCCGTATGTAATACTCAAAAATACGAAGCGAAGACTTTAAGGAGAATTTATATTAAAATGTACATATATATATATATATATATATATATAGTTATCTTTGTAAGTTTTTTAAGGCCAAAATAGATTTTAAGCTTTAGGTTCTACGTCTGTTTAAGTTAGCGATAATTACTGTTATTACTGCTGTTAAGACATAGACTGAATTTCTAGCCCCCGTCAGCGATTATTACTGTTATTGTCGTTCATTGTTCGCACTCACTGTACGCCCAAAGTCAATGCTAGCTCAAATCTCTTATCTATTTCTTCTTCACAGAGTATACGCTTCTTTTTCATATCTAAATAAAATATTTATTTATACGCAAATTACTTGTCGCACCCAGTCATTTTTGACATAATTATTAGTGCATTTATATAATACGTGGGCTTTTCTTTCAATGCTAATTAATGTTACCTCATTGATGAGGTTTTCAAAATATCTGCATACTATGAGAAATAGTATGAGTTTTGTACTCATAACACACAACAAATTCATCCGTCAATCTAAGTAAGTTTATATTGCACCCTACATCACTTGTTATACAAGGATATATTATGCAACATTCATGTATGCAAATCTCAGCAGATCTTGAGCACCTCTTATTAGAAAATGATTTTAAGGTTGTCGGTCCGTCCTGTTTATAGGCATGTGCAATCTACAGATCGCAATTTTCGAGATATTTTGATGACAAACGCTATTGAAAATGATTGGGACGCAACACTTTTTCAATCATTTCCCATATAATACCCGATTTGGAGAAGTCCTTATATGAATAAATGTATTAAACAAAATAGCGTAAGGTCCCGCAATAATGTTTTTTCTTGTTTTTCATTAACTATGAACGTGATGATGAAGAGTATGAATATTGTTTCCTGAGAAACATTAAGGGCAAGGCTGCGCAAAGTGCTTACATGACAAATCTATTTCTTCTTTTTTTTTTCTTTTTTTTGAGGTCAAGGAGAACAAAGTTCCAAAAATTCGATCAAAGAAACATTTACGTACACGCCTTAGTTGTTTTATTGTAAAGAAAATGCTGCAGTTCATGGCTTTTGCTGAAAGCACCAAAAGAAAGCGATGGGTGTGATAAATGCCATCGCTTTAAGGTTGAAACTAGAGATGTTAACTAAGGTTCAAAGGTTAGTTAGTTACTTTCACGATCAACTCAAGTAACTATTATTGCTCTTATTATTATTGCTATTATTGTGATTTATGTAAGCCAAAGAAATAAATTGTAGGATAAGAAAATAGATTGGGTGCCAGCAACCAGAACTAGTGGCTCTTCTTGTTAAAAGATAATTAATCTGCTCACTTTAAATAAGTCAAGTATTTTATTGACATTAATTTCTTTAGGTATTTTCAAGATGTCCGTAGTTGACAACTTGAGGAGTAGATTTCTTAAGGAACCACCAGTGTAACGAAACCGGATTTCTGCAAATCTTTTGATTTTCTTGACGTTGATTGGACTAATGGGTGGATCGAATCTAGGATTAACATGGAAGCAGTGTGGATGATAATATCGCCGATTTTTTTCGTCAAATTTCTCTATAATTTTTTCTAATATATTTGCCAAGGTCAAACTTTTCAGTGTGCTGTCCATAATTAAAAGTGCCGAAGGTGTCCTAAATTTGCTCATTCATTTCCTAAGAAACTAATATAAGTCGGTGCTCAAAAAATTCTAACCTTGTCTCCGTAAGTGGCAATGGAAGGGGATTGGAATTTTCAGGGTAACGAACAACACTTTGTGACGAACAAACGATCTTTGATGATAATATTCACTTTAAGTTAGATTTGTTGTTCTAGCCCCAAATTTTTGCTTGATTACCGAAAAGTTGTTCTATTTCGCGAATCTTTTCAAACTTACCTCAAGTTCTGAAATTGATAATAAACCAATTGTCGTTTTTCTATTTGCAAGTTTTGCAATGCGAAAGTCAGGAATGCACGCATGCATAGCTAAAAGTCCTCGAATTTGTATGTTACACAAACACACTCTTGTTTATGCCCATCGCGGAAGACTGAGGGGTATATTTACTTGGTGAAAATGTGTGTAACACACAGAAGCACGAGTCAGAACTTTATAAAATATATACATTCTTTATTCGCATCAAATTGTAATTTACGCGCGTTCGTCTGTCCATCCGTCCGTCCGTCTGTCTTTGTAGTATTTATGCTAAACACTCTGCTGGTCGCAGAAACCCAGCAATCGGCTTTGAATTTGGCAAAACGATTGAAAGTTCTTACACGAAGGTTGGTATTCAAATTGAGCCAAATCGGTCAAATGACACGCCCATAGTACAATCAATACTACCGGAGATCACCTCTTGTTTGATCGTTACCCAAAAACCACAAAAGATACAACTATAAAAATTTTGCATCTATATCCTATGGGTGGTCTTATGCAAAAATTAAAAAAAAAATTGGCCACGCCCATTCAATATAATTGAAGGTTCGAATTTCATTCAGGGCCCAAAAGGAAGCTTCACATTCATCATTTAAAGTCTATTTAGTATTGATCAGTATTAAGCGGTGGTGAGCGGAAAGTCTAGATCGTGGGCGAATGTAATTTTCTTAGTCGTTTCAACCGGAAACGAGGTTTATGAAGTGGACGCCATTTCAATCGCCATTTCCATTTACTTTATCAGCTTTGCTTAACCCATAATTACAATACTACAGACAGAGTAGAACTGAAGCTTGGAATATCTTTAAACTCAGATGGAATACAAAGCAGTAACAGGATAGTAACTCGTATCTCCGGATAGTTATAACTCTGCCCATTTAAAGCTAAATAGAATAGAAAGATGAATTGAATGAGACCTTAAGTTGACTGAATTGACAAACCGATGTATTTCAAATGATGTCAATATTGGGAACGCTTTAGAAAACATAGTGCAGGAGCTTCCTTTTGAAATGTATATAGTTTGTGAATCTCTGCAGCTAACTTTAATGAGTTGTTATTGCGTACAAATACATTAAAATATTTGAAAAAAACGCATCAATACTTTTATGTGCCAAAAGATTAAAGGTTGACTTAACCAAAAACGTATTGTATTCAACTATTTCACTCCAGCTTATCAGTTTTTCAAATTTTCTTCTCTTGCTGGAATGAAACAACCTAACAAACGCGAGAGATATTAACTAATCCAGCTATAACTAAAAATCCCATATTTGCTCTTACTACCATTGCCAAATAGTTAATTAAAATGAAAACATGACAACACCTTATATCACTTTATATCCGAAATATCATAATTGTGTCTCTCTATGATTAACCCATTCCTAAAAATGGTCCGAAATTGACTCCTACTCGCATGCCGAAAAGCGGTAAAGCGAGGAAAAGTATAAAAAGAAGAAGCATGTTTGAGCACATTTTTCAGATACTTTAATGCATTTAATTATACCCATAACCGCACGATGAAGAATATATTCATTTTGTCGAAACGTTCGTAACACGCAAGAAGAGTAAGCTTCGCAGGCTTCGCAAAATCTGTGCATCAAATTCTGAATCAATTCAAGCTCAAGCCCATCTGTCTATATGTGCAATGTCTGTTGCAAACATTCGATATTGTCCGCAAAAATGAAGTTATTGGCTTCAAATTTGTTATTGAAAATGGGTGCAATCGTTCCAATACCGAGTAAATAGAAAACGCCTCGAATTAAAATTTCGACAAAACCTATGCACAACCGTCAACTTGGAAGAAATTGACCCCGCTTACGGTATCAAATTGTAATTTTTTTCTCTAAACCTGTGTAGGGTGCAAAAACTGGATTTAAAAAACCTTACAAAGAACATAAATTCTTTACCAATGTGAAATTCAAAAGGCATCCCAGTACGTCCTTCTGTACCGTCCGACCACCTGTACCTCTCCTTAACTGCATAGCCTCTTCTGTAAACTTTCTCCCAGTCGCAAAAATGAGGATATCACCTATAATTTTGTTAAAGAAGTTGAGAATGACCCAAACCAGTCAAAAGGCATGCTTACAACGTCTACTTGTCTTGTGCAAAAGAAACTGAGAACACCTTACCTTTCGCTGTTCTTTGCTACAACAGGTTTATACTTTTTTTTTTCTAAAGTGTTGAAAAAATCAGCCACGCCCACCCAATATTATAAAGCATGAAAGTTGTTTTCCTTGTGCTTCTTATACCCAACAACACTTGTTGTACAGGGTATATTAAATTAGTGCGAACGTATGTAACAACCAAAAAGGCTTAAAATAGATCCACCTTTTATTACACCGACTGATGCAGAATCATTTACTAAATCGATCTAGGCCTAACGGTCCGTCTGCTGTCTGTCCCTGTAAAATTGTCTTCACGTTATACGTTGTAGCAAGTTCTTCGGAAAAAGGTTTAATTTTGAGTGGTAAGGAGAGAAAATCGAACCTTCCAGAATGCGGGCTTTCATGACAATTATGGCTTTGCACGAAAAAATTTTGTGTATTTCTTGGAGTACGATTAACAAAAGGAGCGAATAACTGTGCTAGGCAGAGTGGTGTATGGTGTGTACTAGTCGGCGTTGCCTGGTTATAATTTTTTGTTACTTCTTTGAAATCTCTTTTAAGATAACGGTAATAAGTATAAAAAATTCAGTCATAACCGAATATAAATTTTTTATTTATTCTTAATTAAGTTGGTTTCCTGCTTAAAACCCCTTTCCTCTCCACCTTTTCATTGCTTCACTAGTTCATATTAAATAATCAAGTAAGAAAATTTTATTCGATTTAGGAGAAATTTATAATTCATTCCAGCCATGTTAAGCCAATAGTTTGTGTTTGCTGGTCGATATCTCTTCCAGTACGTTCCTTAGAGTAGTGGAGAAAGTTCTCCTCTTTTTAGAGGAGAGGAGGTTGCGAACGATTCTCGAAAGAGCATTAGATTCCAGGTGAACATTACCAATAGTATAATGCTTATTGTGGGCGTGATTATTTGAATCATTTTCGAACTTAATTAACTAAAGGTTCACATTCCAATTTAAGGTTTATATCCAAAATTTTTAGGATGAATGAACGGTTCAAAGACGATCTCTACTGAGCATATGGTAGAGGCATGCGAACGTATTAATATAAATGAGGCGCTTATTCACTTGAAAATCGCATTTTCTAATACAACATAGATGAGCATGATTACATTAAGCGATATGCATGAAGAAATTTAAAAACATAAACGGCCTATAACAAGCAGCCAATCGCCAATGGTGTAAACCAAATTCGTTCTCAATTTTTTTCTTTTAGAAAATGCTCAGCAAGAAAAAAAAAACAAAAAAAAAAAAAAAAAAAACTGTAAACACCAAGATTTTTGCTCTAATTACATAAATACTAATTCCGGCCTTTTTGCTTTTTTCTTTATGATTACAAAACTCCGCACTCAATGGTGAGTATGTATGGTATGTATGTAGGGTATGTATGGTTAAATGATTATTACAATCATTTTTTAAAACTTCACTCGTCGTCCTTGCAAGTAATATGAAAAGAATTCGAGTTAGCAGTTAGCAGTTGGCAATTTGAGTTCGAAGCAGCTTTTAATCAATTGATAGCAAAGCATATACACACACACTCGTCCTCACCTTAAAAACTTTAAGCGATTTTGTTAAGCAGAAAAGTTTTCGTCACACACATGTACGCGAGCAATTCATTTCGCTTTTCTTTTTTTTTTTTTTTTTTTTTTTTTGTTTAAATTTTGTATCACTTTCCTTCAAGGCAAACACACGCGCACTTCACATACTTCATCTTCTTAAAAACATGAATTTTTAATCCAGAAGTAAAATCTTTTGTTTAACTTCGTTTTTATTTTTTATTTTTATTTTTTGATATATAAAGATCAAAGATATTGCCGTTTATTTTATGCTTTTTTCTTTTTTTTTTTTTTTTTTTGTTACAAAGTCGACGTTTTCCTCTTGGTCTGAAATCGTTTTGATATGGCAACAAACTGAAATAAATAAATTAAAGCATTATCCGCGACTGGGTATTGATGAGAAGACGACGCACTGGCAAAGAATAATGAAAGTAAAGTGAAAATAAACGAAAGACTTAAAAAACAAACGCGCTCTCAATACACCACATTATGTTATGACATTAAAACTCTTGTAACTCCACTTTATCTTTGCTGACATAGCCGTCTATGCATCTAAAAAAGAAACGAGAAACGAATGACTATAAAAAACGAGAGAACTAGATAGCTATGCTATCGAATTTACACTTAACCCCTCTATAAACACTTTTACAATATTTTCGTAGTAAAGAAAAAGTGCAAACTGATATTATATTCGCCACTGTATGATGGCGATAAACTCATTTTGTTTTCTCGATAACGTATGTAATAACCAAAAGGAAGCTTCAGAGCACCTATGAGTGTTTAAAACTACTTTGTACCCTCCATAAATGAAGATATATTGCGTGTCTAAAAATGGGTCAATTTTAAAGCGCGTATGGTTGATAGGGCGATGAATTTTTTATCAATAACACCAGCGATATGGGTATTAAATAATAAAAGAAGTGAGTATGAGAGATTCAGCTCCGCCGGGCTTGCTATTATAATCATTATACCCTACATCACTTGTAGTACAAGTTTATATTGAGTTTGTGCAGATGTATGCAACATTCAAAAGGACTTGAGATGGACACACCTTTTGTTATCACTTTTTGAATCTATTTAAGCTTGCCTGCCCGTCTGTCTGACTTGTTTTCTTGTGTTCAACTTACATGCCGCCATCGTGTTTAAGACAATTGGTCTTAAATAAAGTAAATCCGAACTATGTATTTATTACAAGATCTCGGGAATACCGCTTATGCAACATTTCACGTGGATTGTATACTCACCTTCAGAAACAATAGGAAGAGCAATGAATACATTAAAACAAGCCTTTGCGATGATTTCAAAGTAAGAGATATTGAAGAAGCATAATAAATTTTAGGTATAACAAAAAACAGTAACCAAGGTATGCTCACTTTGAATCAAGAATTGTATATTAAAGACCTGCTGAGAAGATTAGAAATGAATGAGTGCAATGCCGTGTCAACACCAATGGAAACGCTGTCGACAATTAGAACTAATAGGAAACTCAATGTGTCATATTAAAAAGCAATAGGCAGAGTCCGACAATGGATATGCAGTGGGGACTTTATAAAAATCCAGCAGCAACCGTGAAAAATTGAATTTTAAGCTTTCTTAAAGGTACGCTCCACGACAAATTGCAATTTAGTAATGGTCCCTTGGACGATAGAAAGTCCATCACTGGATATGTTTTTGAGTTCCAAAGATGCTCAATATCAAGGATGTCAAAAAAAAAAACCAACTATAGCTCTTCCTAGTAATGAGGCGGAACAGATGACTTTGGCTGCCGTTGTGGTCCAAAAGTTTTCTGACAGAGAACGCCACTCATCATGCCCGTTCAAAATGCATTTACATACCTCAGCACTTTGTAAGAGTATTGAACACTTGAATATTTTAAGATCGATTTCGTGGCGGCAGATGTAATGACTAAACACTACTGTTAAAGAAACATGAAAAACTTTTGGAACCATTGGTTCACGTTTTTGGAGGACTGTGAGATATACCCTGGCGTGCGTCAGCATATGCATATACACATATGATTGACCCGAACTCTGGCATGAGTAATTCCTTTTAAGTTGTTATTGTCAAGCTTTTGGTATATAGACTTTGTTGCTTCAGCTCCCTTTTTCGAAATCCTGCCTTTCATTTGAAAAAAAAAGATGAACTCTTCTATCTTTATTTGATCAATATATTGGTTATATGACTTTGATTCCGCCATTATCTAAGAAGAAGTGTAAAGAATAGTATAGTATGCTGAGAAAGACTATGACTTTCGAAAGTCCTGTCTTTAAGCTTTATGTGGCTGTAGAAATTATGAAACTAAAGCGTTTAAGACATAGTTTCTTGAAGCTTTGAATAGGCGCAGTTTTATGCTAAATGTTACTTCTTCAGCCAGCTACCGCCGCATCATTCTCGCGAGTGATGGACAGTGGACGCCTTACGATATCCAAAGTCAAACGACCACGATGCAGAGTAATCGAGTAATAACTCACTTCGACAATAAAGTTGAGTATCTATGATGGCTTTATGTGGAGGATGATATAACCATGGTGTATTATGTTCCAACCAAAAGAAACTATCACTAAGAAGTGCCACCTATAACACTGAACTGGCGCGTTACAACAATCATCTATTGGATGCTTGGGAAACTCGTTATTCGGAAAATCGCAGTGCAGACATAAATCTCTTCCGGGATTATTGTTCCGATAGATGTCATCCACAACACCCGCAAAAACGTGAATATACATGTCCTCAATATCATCACCTACATACAAACACTTGCATATATTACAGCAATACTTTTCTCATCTGTCTTTATACGCGAAAAACATTCAATTTGAAAACAAATTTCTATTGATTTATAAAAAAAAAACTAAAAAAAAAAATGAAACGAAAAAAACAAAACTTATTAAATTTTGGGGGATTATTGGCATGCTATTACAAGTTGCTGTTTTGGCGTTGTCGATCTTCATACTCTCTTAAATTAATCCACTTCTGCAGCAATTAGCAGCAGTTTTGAACGTAAACCTTGTTCATTGGGAATATAAAACTAAAATGACTTAGCATAGCATCATATTATGTAGAAAAGGTCAAATTATATATCAAAGTCTTACTTTAAATAATAATAATAAGTAACGCGTTTTTAGTACGCAAACAATTGTTTTCAGGTACATACGCAATTCTAACTAAAGGCATTTATAATTAAATGCATTTACTTCGAAAGAGGTCAAAATATATATGTTGTCATAAAAATACTTATAATAAAAGTCATTTATATTATTCGGGAAAATTCCTTGTTAAGTAATTATGAAGGCTTCACCCCTACTTCACCCATAACAGTGCTAAGCGAACCACCCAAGTTATCAATGTGTCTGATAATAAATATAACGCCACGTACTTTGTGTAAAAGATTCAGACTATATCATCACCGTTCACCGTGCGGCTGTTTTATTAAATCTAAACAATTCTTGCATTTAGACTTTCGCACTGTGTTCTTAGAAATGTGCCGTCGAGTCTGGGCCACAAGTAAGATATTTTTCATAATTTCTAACACCCTATCGCCTATCAAGGTGTTGGTTACATGTTCGTTTATGATGTCCTCCCATATTACCTCTAGTTCTAGATCATAGCTCTGTGTAAAGTTTACAATTCGTCGTTCCCTTTGTCACAATTACTCGTCCTACGCTCAAATTTTTGCATTATAAATAATATTTCACTCTATAAAGTTTGCTGATACGAAGTTTAGTAAACTCACGTGTTGTCAACTTAACATTTTCGTTTTAAAATTTATGCGGAACAAGGTAAAATGTAACACAGCATGATAAATAAATATTAAAAGAAATATATGGGGGTAAATAATTAAATTCAATACTCCTACCTAACCTAAAGTTATGAAATAATGTTTTGGTTTGATTTTTTTTTTTAAATTTATTTAAAAAATTTTTTTAAAAACAAAGATATTTGAAAACTAAGTGGTACAATTAACTTTTTGCGATTGCCGTATAATAAAATTCTGATCTCCATCAAAAGAGTTTTTGTCGTCTCTAAAGTTATAAGAGTAAGGTGACATGAATTTTGATTTTCATCGAATAATGATCTTCGCAAATTGTACATAATCGATTGAATTGCTAAGAATGCAACAATTTGGACGACTTGGTTGATGCTTCGAAAATTGTAAGTAGACTTCTTAGTGCACATTCGTGAAAAAATTTGAACGATTTGAGGTCGGTTTTGAGAATTTTTCATTAGTTTTCTCAGTACCTTTTTCGGAGAGTATTGAGTTTAGAAAAAAAACTTTGGCATACATTTACCACCTCGCGTCAGAAACCTCTATAGTGACCTTAACATGGCTCTTTTAGCTCGTCCCCGGGACCCCATTGATAGATATGTGAGATTATGGTTGGATTTGGAAGCTTAGTGCATCCAAATTATTAACTTTAAACTTTAAAACTGTTATGTGGGACCAAATTTCCTCATAATGGAAACCTAGGATATTGTGATTTTGACATATCATGTCCATTTTTATCGCAATCGCGCAAAGAATTCCGTTCATTTGATTTATGTAGTGTTACATTTTGCTAGAAACTTCTAGAGCATTTCACTCGATTCGTTTTCCAAATTCAAGAAAAATGTTGAGTACGCGTGTTCGAACTAAGTTCAAAAAGGAAAAGCTTTTTTTTTGCCCATACCAAAGGCGCCTCCATATACACTTCACAATTTTCCCAATGTTGCTTTCTGCTAACATGTCAAACTTAAGTAATTTGTTAAAACTAATTCCAAAAATAAATGTTCTGTTTTTTTTTTTCTAAACTTAGTTCCATATCGACTACAAGAGATTGCTGGTTTGGTCGCATTAAATTTGCTAAATAGGCTAGTATGCAAAGATCGATTTTCGTCGATATATTTCTCACCTATATTAGAGATGAACTCTTTCGTTGCAGTTTTGTAGACAATATGTTTGCAATTTTGATCGGAAATGTCCTACATACCCTGTTGTTGTCACCAAACATTACTTCTTCTGATTAACAAGAGTTTCATTAGAGGATATGTTTTTTGTTCGAACAATACTTCCCTTCTTATGAGGGAATCCATACCTGGATTATTTTGCGGATAGTGTTGAAAGACCAGTTGTTCTTTCCACACGCAGTTCATATTACATCTAAAAGATAACAGAATTAATGGCTACCGATGGAGAATATTTTGAATAGAGTAGAACTATTTGAAATTATGGAAACGAACGAACGTACATTTGGAAATGTATAACCAATTTTTTACCATAAAGTCTCGAATGTCTTAAGCCAGAGCAAGGTAAATGAAGTCATTCGTCTACTATGTCTATGGTAAAATGCTTCACTAACTCTATGAGACTCCGTCGTTTACCCGAAAGCCAATTTTTGTGGAAAAGTCGCAAAGCCGGCAATCTAAACAATCGTTTATATTTATCGGTTGCTTTTGGGCCAATTTTTGTTTCAGTAATACGAGCATTCCTCTGTTCCATTAGCGAAAATTAAACATTAAAAAAAAAAAAAACCCCTTGTTTGATAATTAGAAAGCGATCTATAGAATCATTCTCGTTTAAAATTGAAGGATTATTCTACATTTGGTACCTTTTGGTTTCATCTCATGTCTACGAATATGACGGAAATCGATCTCTTTTTTTTTTTGTAAAAACATTGCTCACTTAATAATCTTTAAATCACCCAAAATTGCTCCCTGTATTGCTAGTCCTTTTACACTTTTTTGTTTTTCGATGATGTCACTCACTTGCAGGAGGAGGAGAACCGCGATTTTTATTCCGAAAAAGGAAAAAACGATTTTCCAACGAACCCCAAGAAGCCGAGATGTTCTTAGTATCTCTTGAAACAGATTTGACATATGTGAATTTAGAGCACCCTAAAAAAGTAAAATAAAAGCTCTTTTAAACTATACGACTCCGAGTCGTCATAATAAATGATTGTATCACGTATACGGGACGGTTAGTGGAATGGCTTGCAAAACAATCTGGAATTAGTCCACGTCTAAAATTCTTCGATTGCTATAATTTTCGAACAATGATCCCTGGCCACCATTTTTTTTGGCTTGTTTTTCTGGAACATAATATGGACCACTAATAATCTTCAATATATAGAATTCATGGCTATTGAGAAATCATTCGCGGAAGAAGTTTTTTCTAATGCTTATCTGTTTACGCTGTTTGCTCCTCCTTCAAGTTTTTTTTTTTTTTAATTGTTTATGGATAAACACTTGTTTACCCATACACTCTTTTCTGGTGTTTGCTTTTTCCTAGCGGACGAACAGCTTTACTTACTTACTACTTTAGTATAAAAGTATTCAAGTCTTTTGACTTGAAATTAATTATGCAACGCGATCCAATTATATTGCATATCTGGAATCGTTCAACAAAAATATCCTATCCCGGATATTGATTCATATTAATTGCCCATATTCTACTAATATAAAAGAAGAAGAAAATAACAAAATTAAATTTAATCAGTAAACTTAATCAGTAAATGAATGAATGCGAAGTTCGTCTTCGATATGAACACAAGTGTAATGAAATCAGTGAATTCATGGAAATATACAGAAAAATTCATTTTTAACATAAAAAAAAAAGTAAATAAAAACCTAAAGCAAAAACAAGAAAAATGTAAGCCCTTTCTTTAATTCACTTTAGGGTGTGTCAGATGATTTCAGTAACTTTAAAATACGTTCCACATCCGGAGAATTATTGCGTATTTTAGCCAGGCATTCGTAAGCCCGATTTTTTTGATTAGATAATAAAGATCTATAAAGCGAAAGAAAATCAGAAGAAAGCTTATATCCAGCAGCGATTGCAAATTACTTACAAAAGAGCAGCTCCAGTGAGATTGCCAACGGTGCAGAAGTGATTGATCCACTGCTCGGTAATAGTATTAATTAGAGGATCTTCGGCTTGTAAATAGATGCGAGCAATAAGCAGGGCCTCCTTAAAGTATTTCTGATTAAGTAACATTTGTATGGCATCTTGATGACGATGAATAGCTAACATGTAAGTTGCTGCCTGCAAAGCATAACCACCTTGGTCAATAAGTTGTTCAGCAAAAGCTTGACAGCATTTCAACCAAAAACTGCAAAGTCAATGAGGTTAAGATGATCGAATGAAAAATTCTAGAATATATATTTATTTACCTATGCGATACGGTGGGCGCCAAAGAAACATGCCATTCATTCAATTGCTTTGCCTGAACGCATTTAAGGATTTCATCCTTAATATTATTATTTAATTGCGACATAAATAAGCCAGCAATGCCTTTGGTTTCACTGTGCTGATGATTTTTCACTATATCACAATAAGTTTCGCGATTGATTGCATGCATTTTCAAAATCACACATCACAAATCTACTTACACTCTTCTTCCAACAAATGCTTCGCGTTCATCTTGGAACCATAAAGTCGAGCAGTTAAAGATATGTTTTGATCAGACTTTTTATGGGACGGGATTGTCAGCCAATTGTACATTACATTCAAAGCATCCTTATTTAATTCTTTTGTCAGTAGGTATAGTAATGTTGGTGGATTCTGAAATCATGTTCAGTAAGTAAACTTTTCTATGTAAAATATATAATGAAGAAATTTTACCTTCAAAAACATGGAAGAATTTTGATTATGTTTTTCTAAATTTAAGTTTTCCAACATTGTAGAAACCTCTTCGCAATTATTGTTATTATGTTTAAGGTTTTCGTCGTCAGTCTGTTCGGTAATCTGTTCCACTTCTCTTTTGGCCATTTTTAACGGGCGACAATCACTTTTCTTTTCGGCAATTGCAGGTTTCGTAACCTTTCCATTATTACGCGTCAAAGCTTTTGTAGCCCATTGAACATTGTCCGTGATTCGAGAATGGCAACGTTTCGTTTTACTTTTGGTATCATCCGTTTTCTCTACACGCATATCTATCAATTCCAATGACGTGCTCTTACCACAGCATATAACAATTTTCTCATCATTGGGCAGGAACAGGCCACATGTCATCGGGCAGTGATAGTGTTTCACGAAACATTCTTCCTTGGAATCATGCGATAAATCCCAAACGCGGACAGCGCCATCGAAACCAAATGTTACAAATATGTTTGCATTATGATTACTCCATTTAACCCAAGCATTTGCCGCCTTCGGCGAATTTATTTCAATTTTTCGATATATCTTTAACTTGCCGTTTACTTCGTTAAAATCTAGCACGTAAATGCTGTTAGCATTAGCTACAGTCGCTAATCGATTGGTTGCTAAGGGACTCCAAGCTAACCCGGTAATGTAGCGAGAAGTCAATTCCAGCTGTTGTACGCTTTCGAAACTTTGCTTAGAATCGGCATCAATTCTTCGAGCGTATAAGTGAAGGTGACCTTTCTGAGTGCCAACAAATAGGTAATTATTATATACTGATAATGTCGACACACCCGATATATTAGGAATAACAAGAGCATCTACAAATCAAAATAGAAAAAAAAAAAAAGAAAAAAGATTTGAAAATATTCAATAACTGAGTTAATCGTTCAGAATATATTAAAGAATGAAATTTTCGTTTTATTACTTTAGAATTGTTTTTCCTGAAATTGTATATTTTTGAAAGAGAGTTTCGGAAACATCACTATTATGAAATCATCGAAAATAATTGCAAGAAGCTCTGTCGAATTGATAATGCAATTTATAAATGAAATTAAGCAGCGCTCTTACGAAGAAGTGGATAAAGATTTTGCAAAATATTTTTTGCTTTTATTAATTCGCGATGCTCATGATGGATTAGATCTCATTAATAAAAGCGAAGAATTAAGCGTTTGCAAAATTCAGAATTTCTTAGAGAAAGCAGTTCAAAAATATATCTGCCCATTAGATGCGACAGCATGCAGTTTAAAAATTTGTTATTTTTTTAAGCGTTGCAAGCTATTGGATTTTGAATATGTTAAAGAGCAATACGAGTCCAATCGCAAGGAGCTACTCAATCGTTTAATCGGCAGCGTACTACAGTATCCAGAAACTTGCAATGCTAAGCAATTACAGGAAATGTTTATGAAAATGCAAATCTTCATTATAACCAATTATAGCATAGGATCGCCGAAAGATCACGTGGTAAGCGAAACAATATAACAATTTGAACTCGTATTATTCGTCCCATAATTGATGATGCATTTATTTTAGCTGCTAAAGAAAACCGAAGAGAGTTTGAACAGCATTATAGGCAAAAGGGATCTAAAAAATTATATATTAAAAAAGAAATACAATCGTTTGGAATATTTGCAACGTTTGGGGGCCATTGTATGCGGTATATTAATATTCAACGATCATGCTTTTCAAGGCGATCCGGAATGTGTTCGAGACAGTATGTGTATATCATTATTATTATTTAAAGAACTAACACATTCCTATATCTATCTATATATTTCGGCTTTTAAAGTCTTCTCCGATCTAGCGATGGCTAAGAAGAATGCCAAAGAAGCTATCGAGGCAAGTATAGACCGGGCGATTAAATTGATAGCGAAAGGCAATGAATGCTTCGCGGCACTTATCGTTCTCGATGTCCACGAGCAAAAGGTTAAAAGCTTATGGCCAATTGCTAAATTGCGGGACACCAACAAGTTCGTAATGCTTTTCGAAAGCTATAGGCGCTATCTGATCCATTTGCAAACAATATTTAACAAGACTCAATACTTAATTGAAGTCAATGAGAAGAAGTTCGACTGCGTTGTAAATAAGATAAATGAAATTTTAAAATTTCGTTCTGCCGTCGAATCCGAACTGATATTCGTAAGACTCGATGCATTTTATATAGGGGCAAAATGATATTTTATCTTTAAATTTTCTATTTCCAGCCGCATTTTGTTTATCTCTCCGAACTATGGACAACGTTAGAATTGCATTTAGCTCATATAGCGGAAATTATTAAAATTAAAGATCATTTGGATGAATTGGTTAGTGAAAATTTAGAGCGCAATTATATCGAGAATTTGGAAGCGACAATAAGAGATAGTAAAAATATTAAATACCCAATCGAACCAACTTTCTCTGAGCTAATGGAATTAACAAATAAATGTGAAGGTCAATTGAATTTGATGAAGTTGGTATGTTGCCCTTATCCATTCTCTCCAATGTCAAATGTTTCTTTGACTCGAATATATTACGCATTTTACAGAAAAATAGTTTGAAAGATTTTTGCTCATTGACTATTGCCCTGACAAACGGTCTGCTGATGCCAGCATGCTTGCAGAAGAAATTATGCGAAAATTCTGATATGCTTTTTGGTTTTGCGAATATTGAGAATGCTAAATATGCCGAAAGGTATTTCGCGGAATTTTTAAAAACACTTAGAAATGCTGTTTTTACTTCTACCGATTTAATTGTATTATCTGGTATGGATGATGAAGTGTTAGAGCAATATGTGAAGCTAACTCACAAAGCTGAACCGAAAACTAAGACCTTTGAAACACAAACGGAATTCGTTATTGAAAATGATCTTTCCGTGCCAAATCAAATCAATGTTACCTGGAATGTTTGGGATTTTCATAGAGAAACAATACGCCTGGCCAATATACGTCAGCGGCAGACACATTCAACTCAGTCAAATCTTTCATATGGTAAAAGAAACGCTCAAAATCAAGCTTACCACACTCGGCAGCATAAGGGTTTTTAAACACACGCACAATTATTGTGTATATATTTATATATATATATATATATATTTTTATTAATTTTTCTATTATAAATAAATTACCTCTTGATGGCGACTCGTCGTCATAAATGGCAATGCGTTCGTTACACACAACGAAAATGTGTTTCTCTAGCCAGCAAATCGAATAGATCGGTTTGCCATAAATGGGATTGAATATTGTCGTCTGCTGTTTGCCCGACGATTCCACGTTTAGAACGCCCACCTAAAAATTCATTCATTCATTATTTATTGATAAATGATTGAGATTTTGCGTACTCACTCTACCCTCCGCAGTGCCAAAAGCGATTTTTTTACTATCTGGACTCCAAGCGAGCGACAAGACAGCCGAATCGATCCGACACGAAAAATTTTGAATATGGACCTGAGTCGACGTCATGTTTGATATGTCAGTGATACCAATACGTCGATCCGAAAAACCTAAAGCAATTCTAAAAACAGCGGACATTTTCTATAATAATCGTTCTTCCCTTTTTTTTTCGAATTTTCTCACTTATTCATATCGTCTGGGCATTCGCACATGGCACCTATATTGGTTGAAACGCAACCAAATTTTAACCTAAACTTTTCGGCCGCTATATCTTCCAGCGAGATTTCTCGACGGGATGAGACGCACCACAACAATTGCTCGCCCTGAAATGTGCTGAAACCAACTACAGACTGTTGTAGATTTTTCCGCTTATTTTCTTTAAATTTATAAATGCGTACATCGTACTTTTCGTCGATAGGTAATGGTTGTAGTTCCCAAAATTGCAATTCTCCATTTTTATTAGAAGAAAGCAAAGTGGTTGCATTCAGCCACTGTACTTGAACATGCGAATCTATATTTAAAATGTGTATAAGGTAAACAAGGATGAAATGCGGTTTCATTTTATCGTTTGTACGTACTTTTCCCACCATGAGAACTGCGAACTTTACGATTGTCGCATGAAGATCCCATGCTTGCATTCCAAACCCAAAAACTACCGTCCAAACTGGCCGACGCTAGCAGAACATCCTGCAAGCACCTATTGCCTGATTCTTCCGTTGTATTGGATTCCTTCGAATTTATTTTCGCTTCGCAAAGCAATTGGGACGCCTGTTCTGGTGACCCATCTTCCGATGCAAAATCGCATTTTTTCTTATTATGATCTAATGTTTGACTTGCATGTACTTCAACTAAAACCTGTTGTTTGGATTTGCGATCAACGCCATCCGCGTGAACGCTCTCGTCTGTAGATGAGCGGCTGAGTGCATCTAGACTTTCAGAATCATGGTCAGTCATGCTCGTGTGTTCATCATCTTCCTCGTCGCCGCATGACGAAGACAAGTCATTATGGCAAGCAGCTTGCTTACATTCCTCAAGTGTAACCGCATTTTCGTGAGAAACTTGTGGCTGATCTTCACGCATCGCGTTAATTTCCTCTTTCAAATTTTCACATGCTTCAGCGAAATCAAATTTAGCCGTTGCGGTGGTTTCCCTAGGCTTTTCAGTGCTAACATAATCTACTTCGAAACCAGACTTTTGCATCGTTTCTTGAGGAGGTGCTCCAAATTCATTGTCAAGATAATCATAATCGTAAATATCAAATATATCATCGGCATCGACTGTTTCGGAGCGAAAGAGCTTTTTTGCTGTTTTTTCCTGTTCAGTATTAGTTGCAAGTTTTGCACTTGGACATACGTCAATTCGATTCCATGACAATGATATTATTGCTGAATCGTGACCACGCAATGTATAAAGAATGATCATTTGTTGCAAATCGCATAGTAACACTAAACCGCGTCTTGTTCCAACAGCAAAGTGATTCTCATTGTAACTCGAACACTTCAAAGCCGTCAACTGGTTATTTCGCGGAGGTACAAATAGTGGCCGTCGGCAAAATGAATTGGAAGTAACACAGTAGACAACAATATCTTGATAATCAATTGACAAAATATTGCGATTACACATGTAACCCATTAAAACTACGCTGCTATAAATTTGTGGTAATGGACCATCCATGGAATGCAAATTGCTACAATGGGCTTTATGTCCCTGAATAGCACAACCCTTGTTAAAATCCCATATTTGTACACTTCTATCCTGACTCAAAATCGCAAATAATTTAATCTCATTTGGCACCTTTGTTGTCTGCTCAGCGCCATTTTGAACACTCTTGCCCCAGTATGGATCGACGTCTACGTTGAGTACAGATTGACGAGTATGAAAAGCTCGTATTAATGGTTCTTCTGTCGGGGTCTTTACTTTGCTTATAAAATTGATGCTACGATAACCCACATAAAGGAAACCTCCATCTGGAGTGCATACACAACTACCAGGAATTTTCCATTGAGGCACCAAAGGCAATTTTGTTAAAGTCATTGCAAATCTTGTAACTGTTGTCGTTAGCACATGGAAAACAATACCTTTCTTGTTTTGTTCCTTCTTCTTTCTCAACTTCCTAAAATTTTCAAATTCCGCTATGACGATTGGCAATGTCTACGGCGATTCGAATATGCGAAGCAGTTGAATAGTTGAATTTGATGTAAAATTTTCGTGAAAGCAAAACAAACCGTAAAAATTGAAAGATATGCTAAAATATCCCGATTAACATTACCAGATTTTTCTTAATCCTGCGCTAAGATGGGATGGCATTTTCCCGGGGAAAAGATTTGCATTAACGGCAGCACTGTCGGACAATTTCTGACGGGTTGCTTGTTTCTTAGATAATTGCCTGTTTTGTTTTGTAATTTTGGCGACAATAAAAAAATGGAATTTCCATTTGATAAATTTTAAATAAACAATAAATAAAAACAAAAATTTTCGAATAAAAAAAAAAATTTTCGACGGAGATAAGAAAGTCAAATTTTTTATTCAAGGAAACAAATTTATATTTTATGGCTTTTCGCAGATTCTTGAAATCTGTTTTACTTGGGATTCCTGTCGGTATAACATTTTTGGATTGCGTAGGCTATGTGGCGAGAGTGGATGGTTTGTTGTAGTTGATCGTTTTCAATTCACTAAAGTTTCTAAATCTTTATTTTTCTCTTAATATTTTTAGGAATATCTATGCAACCAGCATTAAATCCAAATTCAGATACAGATTATGTATTCTTGTCAAGATGGGATGTGAGGAGCAGGAATATAAAACGCGGTGACATTGTATCTCTTATTTCGCCTAAAGATCCTACGCAAAAAATCATAAAGCGCGTGGTAGGTCTTCAGGGGGATGTCGTATCGACGTTGGGTTATAAGCAGGATATATTACGCATTCCGGAGGGTCATTGTTGGGTCGAGGGTGATCACACTGGTCATTCCTTAGATTCGAATACTTTCGGCCCAATAGCTGTAGGTTTAATGACGGCTCGGGCATCATTGATCGTATGGCCACCAGAGCGATGGCGTGTGCTGACAAGCGAATTGCCAAAGAGACGTCAACCTCTCCACATAGCCAAACAGAGTAACTATCATTAATGTTGAGCAATTTGTCGAAATTTACGCCATCTCTATTATTACGTACGTGACTTTCTGTCCATAAAGTGACTGCTCCCTTTACATTTGTATAATAATTGTAAATAATTTCTCCGTCAAAAATTTGAAATTCTTATCAAACTATTATTAAAACCAAAAATATATATAATTTGATAAGGTCTTCAAATTTTTATTTTAGTTGCATGTAGCCAATGTAATGTAATATACAAATAGTACAAGACAAAAAAAAAAGAAAAAATTAATGTTAAAATGATTTTTCACTACTGTTAGTAATTATATACATGTACATATCATTTAATGAAATTCGACCTAGAAGCATTTAGGTTCGAGACCATACAAATGTAAAATATCCAAAGTTTGCTTTAAAGCTACACCGTCGCGTATTATTTGATAGAAGCCAGGCTGAGTCAGATCAATTACTGTCGATGCGAAACGGCTTTCCTCTGAATTGCCGATTTGACCCGCATCAAAAATGCCCCCCAACATTGGCCAAAGCTCTTTAAATTCCTGTATATTGAGACTACTGCGTTCGGAAGATCGATTCGCACTGGTCAATGCTAACGGCTGCTCATCATAAAGGCTGCATAAGTCTTGGATAAATTGAGATTTCGGAATCCGTATTCCAATCTTAATAGTGTTTGGATTTAAGAAGCGATTATTGAGATGCTCGGAACGTTGTACGATTATAGTGATAGGCCCTGGTAATAAACTTTCTAATAGAGTATCACTCAAATGATTCGCTTGGCCGTATTTCCTGAAATCGGCTATATTTTTTACGCATATTGCCACGGGTTTGTCAAAGTTGCGTCCTTTGATAGTATATAAATGTCGTATGGCTGTCTCATTATTGGCATTACAAGCGAAACCGTAAACAGTATCGGTTGGAAGACCAATAACTGAGCCGGCCATTAAACACTCTCTTGCAATTGACAAAGTTACCGGATCGTCCACATTATAAACGCATTCTGCTTTTCTACGCGCTCTTTTCATGATTTCCATACCAACAGTTGAATAGCATTTCCTTTGGAAATTGAATACAAGTTTTGTTATTGTAGACATTAGTGGAATACTTTTGGAAAATTTGTTCTCTTTAATCGCGCCAATTATGACCGCACAGTTGATTAGCGCATTTGTAAAACGTTGTCATGGGTTCGTCGGCTGAACGAGTTTGCATTTGCATGAAATACGCCTTCTTATGAGAACAAGCGGGGCAATCAGCATCTGTGGAATCTACATTCTCCCACGCTGCAGCACCGCCCATAACATGATCCACCTCCTAACGGAAAAATTGACAAATAAACATATTTATGTATTTATGTTATATCATATTTTCCATCGTCGTAAACTCACTTTTAAACGTGGAAAGGTTTTCGTTGATGTTTTCTTATTGATATTGAATATGTAGGGGCAAGTGTTACATGAAAATCGATAGTTAGAAACTCCCTGTTCCACCAATAAAATGTTACTACAATTAGGGCAAAACAGCAACATTACTCAATATAAAGGAAAATATGCGAACACGTGATTAAACCTTCAGATTCAATAAAGCTGCGTAAACTTGTAGTGATATCAACTAACTTTCTTCCAACATTATCAATTTCGAAGATTGATTACTTGCACTGATCGATCGCAGCCCTTCTTTTTCTTTTCAACAACGAATGCCGCGTAGAGAAGGCTCAATAAGTATAGGAAGATCGTTCTGAAGTTCTAAACTTTAACAAAATTTATTGTGGATGGAAAAATTTCGCAAGAGAAGAAAAGAGCGTATGTTCTATCAGAGTTTTCGCTTCAAATTACAAATAATTCATAGCGATAATCCCGAAAAAACAGCGAGACAATATGCAGTGTAAATCGTCACATTTTATGGTCATCGAAAATCGTGGACGTATGCGGTTATAGTCACAAAGAGCAATGCGTTTTGTTTAAGTTTTGCATTTTTATTAAATATCTGAACGCAAAAATTTCCTTTAATTGGCTTTAAAGTGCAAATAGTCGATTCTATAGAATACATATAGTAGAGGTATAGTAAGCCACAAAAAGAAGAGATTTATTTAATATGTCACTCAATAAGTTCGTAGGGTAACATATAGATGTCGCCACTCTTGACGAATTCATATGATTTTTAGATACTATCAACCTTGAAAACATGTCAAAAATTCATGTCGTTGCTATCATTATCATTACTTTGCAAATTCCAGTTATTCTAATGACTCGATTTTTTTAGTTTTCAAAATAATGGAAAAATCTGAATTTCGTGTATTGATAAAGCATTGCTTTTTAATGGGAAAAAACACCGTTCAAGCAAAGCAATGGCTTGACAAATGCTACTTGGACTCTGCTCCATCGAGGCAAATGGTTGAGAAGTGGTTTGCCGATTTTAAACGCGGCCGTACAAACACGGACGATGCTGAACGCTGTGGTCGCCCGAACTCGGCAGTTGTTCCAGAAAAAATAAAAAAAGTACACGAAATCGTTTTGGAAGATCGGAAAGTGAAGCTGCGTGAAATAGCTGACGCCTTGAAGATATCAGAAGGCAGTGTGTTTACTATATTGCACGAGCATTTGGCCATGAGAAAGCTCTGTTCGAAGTGGGTACCACGTTTGCTCACTATTGATCAAAAACGTCAACGTGTCCATGACTCAGAATACTGCTTGAACTTGCTAAGACGAAATAAAGAGGATTTTTTAACGCGATATGTAACGATGGATGAAACGTGGATTCATCACTGCACACGACCGGACTCAAGTCTGCAGTCAGTGATTCGCGGAAACCGTCCAAAGCGACCAAGAACACAAAAACCCTCAGGTAAAGTAATGGCGCTCGTATTTTGGGATGCGCATGGTATAATATTTATTGATTATCTTGGAAAGGCACAAAAAGTCAATAGCGATTATTACATAGCGTTGTTATTGCGTTTGAAAAACGAAATTGCAATAAAACGGCCTCAAATGAAAAAGAAAAGAATGCTCTTTCACCAAGACGATGCACCGTATCACAAGTCGACCGCAACAATGGCAAAATTGCGTGAACTACCCTTCGAATTGCTGCCGCATCCACCGCATTCTCCAGATCTAGCCCCCAGTGACTATTACTTGTTTGCGAATCTCAAAAAAATGCTCGCCGGAAAGAGATGTAGTTCCATTGAAGAAGCGATTGCCGAAACTGAGGCATATTTTGAAGGGTTAGAGAAGTCATTCTATAGGAAAGGCATAGAAATGTTAGAGAAACGTTGGAATGATTGCATCACTCTTGAAGGCGACTATGTTAATGAATAAAGTCGAACTTTATCAAAAACTTGTTGGTTTTGTTTAGCGATCCTTCGAACTTATTGAGCGAAAGATTACCTGAAGAAAGATTTTTTTCTTTTTCAAGCAAGATTAAAATAGGAATATCAACAAAACCAGGCATAACATCTAAAAGAGTTTGTTATCGCTTTTGAAGTTCGTTTGTGCTAAGCTACTAAGTTAAACTTACAGCGTTTTATAGATCTACGTGTTTACGTGCAGTCCAAGACTGAACGTTACAAGATATAATAAAGTTCCAAAAACGACGAAGTTCAAATGAAAAATTACGTAAACACAACATTTTGTAGTCTTTTTAATACTAATTATGATAATATTATGATGACGGGGCGTACAGTCAAAGCAGACATAATCTTATTGGCAACTGTCCACGGTAAGACGGGCCAACATAACACGATTTCCGCGACGTTCTCGACAAATATGAATGATTATTGATGTAGTGTAAAATGGATTTTCATCCTTAAGGTTTTTATTTTTTTTGGATGTAATCAACTTTTTGTTTGCAACATTGTTTCTATTTAAGAGTAACATTACCTTGCGCAAATCAAATAAAATACGAAAAAACATTTGTAATGAAACGATTTATTAATATTTGAATTTTTGTACATGAAGCACCGCCTAGGAGGTCTTAAAGCAAAACGAAATGTTTTTAGATTTTCAAAAAAAACAGCGGAAAAAATTATTTTTTCCTTGACTTCCCTTACCATTTTGCATATCGCAAATTTTCGCCTAAGCCAAACCAAAAAATATCATGCGATTTTTTGGAATTTTAATTAAAAAGAAAAAGCTATCGGTTTGAATTTTTTCTAGAAGTTTCTCGAAAACTGACCATATTGTCGATCGCTTTCAATTTTTCTCTAAAAATTTCATGAAGCCAGGCAATCTTATTTTAAAGTGGTAATTTCACGAGATTTGAAATCTGTTTTAGGAAAATTTCGAAAATTGCGCTTAACTTTAGGATATTGTACAGCCTAAAAAGAAGCCCGAAAAAAATGGCAAGATGCTATTATCCCTTAAGCGGTTTTGTGTTTTTTCTAATATTAAAAAAACTCAAGATACTTGACTCTATGTATGTAGCTTAAAACTTAACTTACTACCTTAGCTGGAATGAAAATATTATAATAATCTTTGGTTACTAGACTAGGTAGTAAATAACTAAAGCTGCATGCAAGCTAGGTGACAGCGGAAAGTAAATATAAAAATGGCATAAAAATTTAAAATGATTTTGTTGATCTTTTTATATTTTGAATTTAATTATTAATTACAAAAAAATTTGAAAAATACATGACTAAATGGAAATCGTTTAATTAATGAAAAACTTGAACGAAAAAAAAAAACTAATAAATGTGAACTTGTTTCTTAGCGATACGGAAATGTACACGTTGGAAATGTACGTCGCAGTTTTTTTCCTTTATGTGAGCATGTTTATAACTCGGTTTTCTTAGGTTTACCACTGCGATCATAACTCTCTAACTCGTTGGTTGCATGCTTGGCAATGAATTTAATAAAATCATCAAGCTCGCGACCTTCGCTGTAAGACACAGGCTTCTCTTTATCGTCTTTGGGTAACCAAAATATTGTTGGAAACCCGCGAACATTAAAGTCCGGTGGCACGTCATTGGCTGTAGCATCCATTTTAACAATTGCAATTTCTTCATTTTGAAGTTTTTCAGCTAATTCATCATAAATGGGTGCCAATTTCTTGCAATGTCCACACCAAGGGGCATAGAACTCAATAAGCGTATCTTTACCATTATTTAAAACAACTTCGTCAAAATTTTTAGCTACAGCAACTTTGACATGGGCGTCGTTATTCTCGGGAATTGGTTCCGATTTCACATACGGTTCCAATTCGCCCTTTAACAACTTATAAGCAAAATTGCTTAAATTCTCAACAGAAAATTCCTCCTTCATAGCATATTTTAGATTTTTTTCATCACGAGCCAATATAACTGGTTTATCCCCAACAAAATCATAGCCGTATTCATTCAACTCGTGCTGGAAATCATCTTTCGCACTAATGGCGAAATTGAGTTTATCAACATATTGATAAGCGACCTTTAGAATGCGATTACGCCAGTAATTAGTACCTTTCGTATTTTTCACATAATCGACAGTGAAGTAAGCAGTTATTAGTGGGTTTTGGAAGTCACGCAAGTTCTCCTGAGTGCGATGACCGACCAAGCCATGACTATAATAAAAAGCAAAAAAAAAAAGAAATAAATAAATAAAACTTGAAAGTTTTATTTAATAAATTCATATATAACTTACTAGTTATCTTTGATAAAAGAACTCAAGTCTGGTTCCGTTTCTCCTTCGAATTTAATGACAGATTCTTCAAATTTGTTAGTTAAATGGGGAGCACGTATGAGCACGATAACGTCGCTTTAATTAAGCACAAATGTAATTAATTTTAATATACATTTTCTTAAGCTACTTACAAGTAACCAACTTTATCCAATACGTCAGCACTTGTCGTATGGCCAAAACGATATTTCTCACGGTTTTTGTCAGCGAACTTTAAGAAAAGTTTAGCCAACTTGGAATCTGATGATACAAAGTACCCAAACAAGGTTGTTTCTTTGGCGCTTAAGAACTTCTCATACTCATCGATTTCAGTCAAATGTTTCGAAGCTGGCCCCACTTGTGCTCGCATATATTTAACAATACCATTCGCTTCACGTGGACCATTGTAGTCCTGTGACAACTCACTTCCCTTAAATATTTTCAAAGTTGGATACCCCGTAACGGAATATTTATTGCAAGTTTCTTTGCCGGCTTCAGTACAATCCACCTTAATAAAAATCAACACAAATTAGTTAACCATGAAGCGCCAATGTAGCTTTTATTATATACTTTGGCCAAAGAGATTTTAGGATCATCATCACGCACTAATTCAGCTGCTTTAGAATATTCAGGTTTTAATCGTTTGCAATGACCGCACCTACAATACAAATTATTATTATAATTTGCTAAACTCAATCTATATTTTGAAATAAATTCTGAAACGAGCAGCAAGACGTATTAACTTCTAAATGAAGAAAAGATACAGTGATTACTTCAATTATTTCTTTGTTGTTAGGTTCGGCAAATTCTCTTCATCGATCAAATTTATTGTGCCAAATATGCTTATTGGAACTCAAGACCATGCGCCCAGTCCATCACATATTATGTGTTTTCTTAAAAGGTTTTGCTCAAAATCAGAGACTGAAAGACTTGATTCTTTGGAAATCTATAGACAAGACAAAAACTGACCCAATCCTTCACAGTAACTTTTATAAACAACATTGTAGCAGTCCGCGAGATAAAAACAATTCTAGTTTCCTCACATTATTTTTGCTCTGATAAGTGACAATAATGATTTTCTTTCTACACACAACCACAATTTATTTGCGAAACGGCTCAGCCCCCAAGAGTAAAATTTGGAGAATAACCAATCGAAATTGGTTTCTCTATATGTTAGTGTTACCAACTCATTTGTTTCATTAAATAATAACATTTCTATCCTATGCATAATTTTGATTTTTACTTTCATTGCGCTCAAGTATTAAGTGTCTGCTTTTAGAACAGTCAAGAAAAAAAAGACCCCTTCATTATCGCAAGGTTGTAATTAAATTTTAAGGAAAAAATATCGTAATTTTAATGAAATCTGGCACGGGGCATTGTAATGAGTAAAACTATCCATAACAGAATGTCAATGATGACGTGTATAAATTGTCTTTAAATGCTTCCGCTTTACATGTGTCATCTAATTGGTAACTTAAGGGAATTAGTAAAAAATTGGAACTTATTTACTTACCAAGGAGCATAGAACATTACCAATGTGGTGTCTCGTTCGGATAGTGTTGTTGAGAAGTTGTCATCCGTCAATTCTAATACCTGATCCTCAGCTCTGCATACCAAAGCTAGAGCCAAACAAAATAAGACTATTTTGTACATTTTGTTCTACGGCTTTTCTAAAACTATATTATGATTTGTAAACAATTTTATGATAAATTTTTATATCTCCACACGAAATTCACACTCCCTGGTAAACCGGCAAACAAATTGATTTTTTCACATTTCTACAATGAGCATTTTTACGGCCACGTCACTCAGGCGAAATTTGCGAGACAACGTTACCATAAGCAAAAATATTTTAATCAACGCATTAAACAGTAAACAGCGGTGATTATTTGACTACATTCTTGCTTTCTTGCAAATGAAAAATAATTATCAATGTACAAGCTGGTAGTGTAAAATTGATCAACTTACTTAGCCTTTTAAGTACACTTAGCCTTTTGAGTGCAATAACTAAAATTAAATTAAAAAAGTGTTTTAATATTTTATAGGTTTTGGCCCTTCTTATTTTAAAATAAAATGTTATAGCGTAAATGGTCAAGATGATTTGCATTGCTTTAAAATAATTAGACATGTTATTTTAATTAGCATATTGTAATATCATCTACAAAATATAAGCGAATATTTTAGCGAATATTTTAACGAATATTTAGCGAATTTTTATATTGTAACCCAGAAGTCAAGCCTGCTTGCAGTGCATGTTGTCTTGTAGGCGTGCCATTAGCCCGATTTGGTCAGTTTTCAATAATAAACCGCGAGCAGGATCTTCCATTCTTAGTAAAATATTTGAAGCCGATGTATTAGTTTTTGCAAGCGGGGTTGCACTTTTCATAGGCATTAGATAAGCGAACAGACTTTGATTCAGAATTTAATTCGATCAAGAAGTATACGCTTTACTGGGTTTCTGAAGATTCTTTCCAGATTTTGCAGACGTCCTAATTTTTCGATGGTGAGTACAGAGAGAGTAATATAGCCGAGCTAATTTGGCAGATTATTTTGTAGAACACTTTTAAATTGATTAACTCGATTACGATTAAATTTAGTAACTGAAAAAATTTACCAATTTTTCAACAAACATTTGTAAAAAATCTGAAATGTAGTAACTTAAAAATATTTTTGAAATATTTGTGTTTGAACGGCTTACTTTACTAAATCTCTTTGTGTTGGCAGTTCTCTTGCGATACAGCTGATTGGTTTGTTGCTGTAAGAATAGTTTCATGTGTGTTTATTGCTGGAAAAAAGCACAGTAGATGTCCGATAACCGATATTTTAGACATGTTCTTCTCTAAGGTGGCTTTTTCATATAATTAATTCACTTGGACTTTCTGCAAAATTGTTGTAAAAAGTTATTTTGTAGAATATTTTCTCCACCACATTACAATTTTGAAGTGAATATTAATAACTAAATGTCTGCTTCTATAGAAATCCCTCTAAGGGATACTGACGAGGTAAGTTTGATTAAAATAAAAGCTTATACAATGTTTTTCACTTATGGTTTAATGAAAATTGAAGGTAATAGAGGTTCATCCTGACCAGTTACCAGAATGCCAAGAAGTTTTGGGTATTCTGCGTCAAGAACGTTCCCAATTAAATACTTGGGTAAATGTGGCGGTAAGATGGGCTTTGTATAAGTACAATAAACTTAATTTACTATAAAGACTTCTGTTTTAGTTGGCGTATTATAAACAGAACAAAACTGAGGATTTTATTCGCCTGCTGGAAACTGCCCGAATGGAAGGCAACACCGATTATCGTGACTTTGAGAAAGATCAAATGCGATGTTTCGACATGTTAGCTGCCCATTATGTACAAGAGGCCAACCGCGAAAAGTCGAAGGATAAAAAGCGCGAACTTTTCATGAAAGCCACGAATTTTTATACCACCGCTGACAAGATAATTATGTATGATCAAAATCATTTATTGGGCAGAGCTTATTTCTGCCTCTTAGAGGGCGATAAAATGGAGCAGGCCGACGTTCAATTCAATTTCGTACTCAATCAATCGCCTTCAAATATTCCTTCACTTTTGGGAAAGGCATGTATAGCTTTTAATAAGAAGGATTATCGAGGAGCTTTGGCATTTTACAAAAAAGCTTTACGTACCAATCCAAACTGTCCGGCTAATGTACGCATTGGCATGGGTCACTGTTTTCTAAAAATGAACAATCAAGAGAAAGCGAAGCTAGCCTTTCAAAGAGCTCATGATCTTGATCCGAATTGTGTAGGAGCTTTGATTGGCTTGTCAATACTTAAATTGAATCTGCATGAACCCGAATCCAACAGAACGGGCGTACAAATGTTATCGAAAGCCTACACAATTGATTCAACAAGTCCGATGGTCTTAAATCATTTAGCTAATCATTTTTTTTTTAAAAAAGACTACCAAAAAGTACAACATCTGGCTTTACATGCCTTTCATAATACAGAAAATGAGGCAATGCGCGCTGAAAGTTGTTATCAATTAGCTAGAAGTTTTCATGCTCAATGCGATTATGATCAAGCTTTTCAGTACTATTATCAGTCAACCCAAATAGCTCCTGCAAGCTTTGTGTTACCACATTACGGCTTAGGTCAAATGTATATTTACAGAGGTGATACGGAGAATGTAAGTAATGTACTTTACTATATTTTTAATGGATTACTTTTATAAGTAAACTTTATACCAGGCCGCTCAATGTTTTGAAAAAGTTTTGAAGATTCAGCCCGGCAATTATGAAACTATGAAAATCTTGGGTTCACTGTATGCAAATTCAAATTCGCAGACTAAACGGGATATGGCTAAGAATCACTTAAAAAAGGTCACCGAACAGTTTCCAGACGATGTAGAAGCGTGGATTGAATTGGCTCAAATTCTGGAGCAGAATGACTTACATGCTTCGTTAAATGCTTATGGTACTGCCTCCAATATTTTAACAGAAAAAGTGAAAGTGGAAATTCCAGCAGAAATTCTTAACAATGTGGCCGCTCTGCAATATCGTTTAGGAAATCTTAAAATAGCCGAAAAACGATTATCGGAGGCCTTAGAGAGAGCTGAAAACGAAGCGCATAATGATGCTCAATATTATGAGGCGATTTCGGTGACGATGACCTATAATTTGGCCCGTCTCAAAGAGGCCATGTGCAGCTTCGATGAGGCGGATAAATTATATAAGGACATATTAAAAAAACATCCTAACTATATCGATTGCTATTTGCGTTTGGGTTGTATGGCGCGTGATAAAGGGTTAATATTTGTTGCTTCCGATTTTTTTAAAGATGCCTTAAATATTAATAACGATAATCCTGACGCCAGGTTGGTCAAAAATTCTGAAAACATTATCTTCATATAAACTAATACTTTTGCTTTTAACTTCAGATCTTTATTAGGTAATTTGCATTTAGCTAAAATGCAATTTGCTTTGGGTCAGAAGAACTTTGAAACCATCTTGAAAAACCCCGCCACAGCTAATGACGCATATTCTCTCATAGCTTTGGGCAATTTTTCTCTACAAACCCTACACCAACCGATGAGAGATAAGGACAAGGAGAGAAAGCATCAAGAAAAAGCTTTAGCTATATACAAACAGGTAGGTTTTTATAAATCGTCTTAAGTGCATATGTATGACACACATCAGCTGAGTGTTGCGATCCGATCCGATTTATTCTGCGATACCAGCCTATTAATACGGTTTCTTTCGTCCGAAATGTGCATTTTATTTTTGAAATCAAAACGCTGACCATTAAAGGTATGAACCAACTTTTAGTGGCTTCACGGATTTGCTTACCACTATCGAGGCGCGTTACTTAAACTTTGGAACTATAAAACATATATAAAAGTACAGCCGTATAATGGGCATGCTAGTTATTAGGCAAATAGTTCTTGTTTCATTGATGTTTTAGGTGTACTTTCCAAGATTCACATTTATATATTAGCCTTGGTACCGTACAAGGGACGACAAGCGGACGAATAATCTTAAATTTTACGCCGATTAAGAGAATATGTATTCGACAATACTTCAGTGGATGACATAAAAGGTTTGAATGATAATTTCTCAAATATTTTAGGTTTTACGCAACGATCCTCGTAATATTTGGGCTACAAATGGCATCGGAGCCGTTTTAGCTCATAAAGGTTGTGTAATTGAGGCACGTGACATATTTGCTCAAGTACGTGAAGCAACTGCCGACTTTTGCGATGTTTGGCTTAATATCGCCCACATCTATGTGGAGCAGAAGCAATACATTAGTGCCATACAAATGTACGAAAACTGTATGAAGAAATTCTTTAAACATCACAATGTAGAAGTGATGCAATACCTGGCGCGTGCATATTTTCGCGCTAATAAATTGAAAGAAGCAAAAATGGTATTACTGAAGGCTAGACGCGTAGCACCGCAAGATACGGTAAGTTCACTTGCCTTTCCTGTATTTCAAGTGTTCTTTTATTCTTGCGATTTGGTAGGTTTTATTATTTAATATTGCTGTAGTTTTACAACGTCTCGCTATGGCCATACTGAAGGATGAAAAATCCACTTTGGAAATTGTTTTACAAGCTGTTCACGAATTGGAATTAGCCCAAAAGTACGTATCATAATTAAGGATCACCAGACATGCTTTTAATTCTCATTATTCTTACATATAGATACTTCCAATATTTGTCGATATATGGTGATAAGGCACGCTTCAATATCGAAGTAGCCGGAATGGAAGCAAGTCAATGCCAGGATCTTCTATCACAAGCGCAATATCATGTATCACGAGCTCGTCGTATCGATGAGGAAGAGAAAGCCTTCAAACGCAAACAAGAAGAGGAACGTCTAGCTTTTAGATTACGTCAAGAAGAGGACCGTAAGCGTCGAGAAGAGAAAGAGAAAATTGAACGGGAGCAAATGCTGGCCAAACGCCAAGAGTATGTGGAAAAAACTAAAAATTTAATATTGACTTTAGAAGTGCCACAAGAAAAGGAAAGGAAGAAAGGTAACTTCTGGCATATTTACTTATATTAGCGGAATGCTTACATTAATTAATATTTGTCTGGCATCTCAGGTAGTGGTCGACCGCGCAAGGATGATTACATGTCCGACTCGGAGGGTAGTGATGTTGGGCCTAATGAAGGCCCTGAAAAATCGGTGAAGAAGAAAAGTAAAAGTGATCGTAAAAAATCGGGTGGAAGCCGTAAGCGAAAGTCCACAGGTGATAATTACGACAGCGACAGCGAGACCGGCCTTCCTAAGGAAAAACGTAGGAAAAAACAGAAGTCTTTGAAAAAGAATCAAGAGGATAAGCTTTCCGCTAAGCAACGCATGAAAATTGTTTCGAAAGCTACTATTTCCACAAGCGAGTCAGATAGCGACGGCAGTGGAAAGGGCAGCAGAAGTCGGAAACGTAGCCATAGCGGAAGTCGGAGCGTAAGTCGCAGCGCCAGTCGCAGTGTTAGTCGTAGCGCCAGTGGCAGCGATTCTGAGACAAGTGAGGGTAGTGCTAAGCGGGCTCGTAAGCGCAACACGTCGGGCAGCGATTCAGACCGTTCTAAATCTGCCTCGCGATCCCGCTCTCGATCTCACTCCAGATCGCGATCACGCACGCGTTCGCGGTCAGGCTCCCGGTCACCTTCACGTTCTCGCTCCCGCTCTCGTTCCCGTTCCCGCTCTAGATCCAGTACCCGTTCGAAATCCGTTAGTCGTTCACGTAGTCGTAGCGCATCCGGCTCGAAATCCAGATCTCCAAGTCGATCTAGATTGACACACGGCAGCCGATCGAGATCAAAATCAAGCTCCCGTTCACGATCCCGTTCACCTTCAAGATCGCCTTCTGAGCGTAGCACTTCGGTTCCGCCCGCAACTAACTAATAGGGCGATAAAATAGTTATCATGTATTTTTCTTTCTTTGATCATAATTTTAAGCGAATATTTGTCTCTTTAAAATATTGAAGTATATTAAATGAAGATTCATTTCATTATTTACAATATTAGTTCGGATCCATAAACCTTTTCACAAATTAAAAAAATATAGCAACGTCTGACAGCATTATTAACTTGTTGTTATACCTAGAATTTCGGAATTATCTATAATAAAGTCTCCTACAATGCACGCCATAGGTTTCGAATAACGCAACACAAAGGAATGATCGATTTTTTTAACATCCAAATCGGCATCTATATCCGGGAATTGCTCTTTCAGTTGTGTGAAATACTTTATAGGCACCCATCTAAAATAAATGGCACATAATACAAAATACAAAATTAAAATGCATGAAAATGCAAAGGTAACAAGGTAAAAAGTACCCATCTGTTGTGCCATAATAAAATTTCAATAAATGCATATTTTCTTGTATAATGTCTCTCTGCAAAGCACGTACACGGGCCATTTCATCTTCCGCGAGAAATACTACTTTCTCAACAACCGATGGCTTTGCATACTTCAGTGCAGTACCAATTAAATAATTTGGTATTGCGGCAAACCAAAAGTAGATTTGCACAAGAAAAACTTTCAAAATTTCGGGTAAACGATTGAGCAAACTAATGATAAATCCAAAAACTGAATACAGTGGCAAAGCAATTTTTGTAAAAACCCAGCCATTGGGTGATTCAATCATCCGCTCAATGGTTGGAAATAGCAGATAACATTTCTTTATGCGTTTGTGCACGGATTCATTGCGCAGTATTTGCAGAACCATCCATGCTCCTATCGAGTGACCAATTAAATGTATTTTAGTATGCTCTGGTACATATTTTTCAATAAATTCAATCTTATGACGCACTTGGCTATCTAAGTCGAAGAGCTCTTCGTTACCCTTAAGCTGAGGTACCTCACGTAAGCTAGTTTCAGGGGGATTGTCGTGACCTAAATGACCTGAATAGATTAAAAAAAAGCATATAATACAATAATCGTACATTAATGACTTAATAAGCAATCACTTGCCCACGACCCATACTGGCATTTTTTTCTCTAAGCGCTCATGCAATGCATTACAGAATTCCGTATAGAATCCAGGTAATCCAGGATTACCTGTTATACATATCGCTACTTCTTTCACGTCATCTAGAGTCTCTTCGACCCATCCACCGCAAGTTATTATGTGCGTAGGTATGTTGCAAATATTTACAAATGCTTCTTTCATATTTCTAGACGTTATTCGAAAGACTAATTTTAATATTTTATATAGTTTAAACTAATGGTATCCGGAAACAACAAAAAAAAATCGTACTTTTCTCGCTGATACGAAACGAGAATATTTCTTAATGTCAAGATCATGTTGTTTGAATGAACCACTTTGATGTCCGCTAAGATAGCAGCAAATGAAAAATGAACAAAACAGTAATTATATGAACATGTAGGTGGTTCTAGCACTTTCTTAAAAATATATTCACGGGATCGAAAGCTATATATAAAAATTTAAAAAAAAATGTCGAAATAGTTTATTTTCTTCATTTTTGGCCTGTATGTGAACAGATCACGCCCATTTTTTAATACTTTCAATCGATCAGGTAAGGTTTTTGTCAAACTTCACCCTTTTATCTTCATTTTTGCGATTGTAACGATTTGCAAAACTTACGTCTAACGGATTTCAATAAAAATAGGTGTACCGCATCTAGGAATAGGAAAATGGGTGTATTCCAAAAACAGGTGACATATATGCAGGCTGCATTACATCATTAAAAACTAATATATATTATGTGAAGATGTCTACTTCCTTGTGCAGAATTTTTTTAGCCTGAAATCAAGCGGGCGGGATAAGCATACGTGTTAAATAACCTTTGACAGTTTGGTCTGTTTCATAAGAGAAAAACTTTTACATTATACTGTTTCATTACCATTTTGTTCTTCTGCGTAGTAAACAAATGTTGCAAAGTTTAAGTCGAAAGCATAAAGGCAAAGCAAATTGTGAAGTCATTATTCGATAATAAAGAAATTTTTTGGAAAATGCTTCAATTAAAAGGAGGTAAAAAATCACTGGACTTGAATGGTTATACTGTCATCGTTCCTAGCATATGTGTTGGCAATGCGGCTCAGTTGGCGTGTGATCTTTTGATATCCTCAAAGCAATTAAAAAAAATCGGTAATATACATCATTCAACTTTGATACCAATTTTCGGGCCCTGTGCTTTTGAGCACGAACCTAAAGAAGAAAAAGCAGCAGCGTGTGAATTATATGAAAATGCCGAAGATAAATTGTTGGTTTTACAATTTCGTGCCCCATTCATATCCAAGCACATCAAAGATTTCCATCAAAAATTAGCGCAACTTCTTAAAGAAGCTCAAAGTGTTATCATACTAAGTGGGAATTTTGGTTATGAAAAGCGCATTATAGATGGGTCATCTTATGAGTACAAAGCTAATGAGCAATTTAAGGAGCAGTATAAGGAGTCATTAAGTCTTGTTAAATGGAGGGAATTTTCGGGTGAGACAATTTTTGGAGGAGGCAATGCTTTACAATTATTTCGAGTGCTAGAAAGCCTTCATATTCCGGTAATGGTTTTGTTCCGGTATTTGCTTGATGGTGACAACTCAATTGATGCTACGCTTATTGTTGCGGAATTAAACGAGTTGTGCAAGGGATTTTTGAAACATAGCGAAGGAAGTCAAGATGTTAAGTTGGTTATACCATCATCCTGGAAACTTTTATTTGGCAACGATTTCCCCGAACTGATATTTTGAAGCTATTCCCGCTTCAGCTTAATTGACACAAATTGTGCGAATACTTATTAATTTATCAATGTCTCTTTTTACAAATGTGTAATATATATATATCGGAATACGGGAAGTATATAGAACTTAAAAAGTTATTTATACCACACGTTGTTTGGAAGAAAAAAAATGATCAGTGACATCAAGTAAGTGCTAATTAACATATCACGATTAATGCAAATACATGGCCGAATATTTTGTAAATAAATTTTCCAAGAATGTTATGAGTAAGTTTGGTTAGGTAAACTAGATAGTACGTAGTGTAAATATATATGCAGCGGATTTCATTGTTTGTTTTGTACAAAGCGGACATAATTTTTTAAATTAACTTAAATGTAATGCATCAAAAAATTCGCAATTCATTACGCATAGACTAATGGAACAAAAATATTGTCCGGATTCGCTTGTAAATTTTCATCATATCTTCAATAAAGATAATAAATAATTTTAAAATGATAAGTGCGATATTTTGCAAAAAAATTAAAGAAAAAAAAAATGTTAAAATCGTCTTTTGTACTATCACTCCAGCTATCTCGGTATTATTTACCTATCTGGTTAATTAGGTAGATAGATGAAAAATGGGTGAGGCTTTATTACTTTTAATATCAATTATATTACATAAATTTAACAATAAATAAAGGGATTTTTTAAACGATGCGTTTCAGTTCATCGAGAAGTATTCAATCAGAACAATTAATAAATCGGTGGATATTTTTAAATTACTTATAATACGAACTCAAGTTTATTATTATTATATATTGTGTTAGTTAGTATGGATTTTGAAAAGTCTTTCAATGCAATTGAAATAATTCATAATAATAAAAAGATTACGAAGCGTAAGTGACATAAATTTCATAGGCTTGCGTGTTTTAAGGGAATTTTACGCATGTGCATTATGTGTTTGTGCAACGCAACAAATAGCAACGACGTATAAAGAACAGTTATGTTGATGTTGATTTATGTTAATGTTAGCAGTGCCGCTTATACATATTAAGTGTTTGCAAAAATGTTGGTCACTTTTTCGGTTGAAAAATGCATTTATTGTGGAAAATTGGTGCAACATACATTAATCAAGATAGTTTCTATCATTTTCTACAACATGTTAAAATGCTTTTGGCAACGTGGCGATATCATGTGGAAAGAATTTATATCTGGTTCGCAGCGATCCGTCCACCGCTCCATTTTCGCACTTCTTCAAACTTGCGGACTCGCGTACCAGCCGAGCCATTCTTTCCCGATTTAGGCAAGAGATAATCAAGAGGCGCCATATCTGGTGAGTACGCTGGATGTGGTAGAACTTCCCACGCTCAATGATGAGCAGCGTACGCTGAATTAATCAATCAGTTATTTTATGTGGAGGAATGTCAAAACCATCAGATTTAACCGTATTGTGCAACGGTATTTCCCATTTTTTAAACATTTTTACTTATAAAATTCGATGATCAAAATTTTTGGAAACGCGTCATTAAGGAAATCGTGCATATACTTGCTTGAATTGGTTTTTATCTAAAAAAAATTTTTTTTTTTAATCTAAAAATCCAAATTAATTGGACCAAGTGAGAAAATAATATTCCGCCGCGACCGAATTTTTTATTACCATCATGGTAATCATAAGAAAGATTAAGCAAACGAAATTTTCTCTATTAGCGGCCATCTTTTTCCTTTTTTAGAACGAAATCGGAAATTTACATCGTCAATCTTTCATAATTTGCGATTAACGAGCAAAAACATGGAAAACAAACGCGTTCTCAGGTTTAGTTGCATAGGCACGTCCTTTGACTAGTTTAAATCATTTTCAAATTATTTCGCAACTTTCTCGCTGATATCTTCATTTTGATGGATGTCTATTTGATGTCTATCACTGATACTACACAGTAGATCAGAAGGACAGATGACCAGATGAAAGATAAACATTTCATTCAAAAATAGGTCACACTTTATATTGAAAGTTTATTAATTTATTAATAATTAATAATAGGCTGCAATAAACGCTTGTCGCGCCAATAAGACTCTAAGCGTCTTCTTCAATATAGTTAAACAATCGCTTAAATATTGAAAATATTGAACAGTTTTACATATGTGTTATTATTGTTTTATTTATAACTAATAGAAAAAGGACTATAAATGCAAATATACAGTTTCAGTATCGAATCCAAAGGCTGGAAAATGAGGTCCTCAAGTAATTGGCCACAGCTGAATTGTTTTGCCTTCTTTTTGTGCTGGATTATCAGCTATTAGCCAATTTTCATTGGAGTTTCAGTTTTTTACCTACCGCGGAAAATATAGGTGTTGTATTGGGCTAGGGTTTATTCTTTATTTACACGTGCGATTCAGCTACAATAACAACCGAATGGGGTATAGTCTTCAAAATAAATATTAAGCTAAACGTTAGGACTAACTTTTACTAAGTGAAAACAAGTAAAAAACCTTGTAGACGGGCAAAGCCGACCATTAGATACCGTACCCCACTTTGCCTAATGCAGATAGTCACCTTTTTTGGCAATCATATACCAAAAGTTACACATTATCTTTATGCAAAGGCGTACTTTCCACGAAAGCATATCATTCAAAAAATAGATGTACTTGGTCTAAATTCGATTAGGTTGATTTCTATGTCTATTTACTTTTATGAAATAATTTTCGCTGTGAACAGTAAAAATTATACCTCTTTCATAAAAATTCACCTTTTGCAGGAACGGTTATATAGGAAAGGAATTAAAAAAATCATCCCAGCCGATCAAAATTTAGGTTGTCCAAATATCCTTACAGAACAACGTTTGTCGAAAAACTTCGAAATTTACAGTTTTTTTTCCATATAACGACTTTTGAACATGTGGCGTCAGTCTATCACATTTCACTAAAATATCCCCAAAATTGTGACATGTGCTTGGACATAAATTTAAGTGGGTAGGCAGATAGAAGGACAATCAGGGCTAGAATCAATTGTTGCATCGATCGATAGAATAAAAACTGGGTCTATCTTAAGCCCTTCTGGATGTTATATACGTTAATGTACACCGTACCACAAGTGGGGTAGGGTATAAGAAGACAAAATGGTTGGACAGTTCTAGCTTAGCGGCAGACCCGCAGTCAGGGTAAGTCCCAGCTAGGAGTGACGCGACGCAACGTACGAAAACTTGGGAACCAAAAAATAGTGAATTCAGGTTCAATTTACGAATCGTATGAAGATTTAAACATTAGAAATTAATTATAAGTCCTTCGTAGTCAAGGTCTTATGAATATAACAGGTTAGGAACAGTTAATCTCTCCTAATAAGATTAATCAAACCTCCGTCATGCCCATTTTAAGGGATTGTTGCTATGAAGCATTTTCTTTTCTTTCCTTCGCTTGTCCTACATGTTGTTGGTTCTTAAGCTCAAAACGTTTTTTAAGTTGTAAAGTAACACTTTCTTTCCCTGCCATTTGTATCAAATAAGACGAGTTGGGATGCAATAGGTTATTGCCTATAATTTAAGATGTACTCGTTAAAATACAAATCATACAAAATCAAAATGAAATGAAATGAAAAAGCTAAAAAAGCAGAAATTAGTTGCAATGCCATATGAATATATATATATATATATATGCATATGTAACCGCCGAGCTCTTATCTTTTACTGCTTCTACTATTATTCCTATTGTATATGTATGTAAAAGTAGTCCATCATCTGAAATGTATACAAGCTAAACCTTGATTGGAGGGCAAATAGAGTGTAAGAAGCAAAAATACATCATAATATTGAAAATACAATAATAGGTATGAGTTTATTAGTGCAGATCAGTTTATAAAATTGAAACGGTAAAGTCTTACTCAAGCGCATAGTTTAACGCGATATGGTTCAACATAAACTTGGGGAAACGCTTCCCTTATTACATAAATACAATGTGGAGAAAGGACTTCATTTTACAAAAAGTTAATTTCGTTCACACTTGTAAATACGTATATAGCAGTGATGTAATTTTTTTTTTAATCTTAAAGATGTTATATGCATAACATAACACACATAACATCAGGCGTCATTCGAATAAGTTCTTGTAATTTTTTATAAGCGACGACTCTCCATTTTGCGCTTTTCAAGTGCTGTCTGTCAGCCTTATAGAGTCTTCATTTAAGGCAGCTAGCTTGGAGTAGTTAAATCAACAAAGGACAGCTGATGCTAAAAATGATGACATTACGATTTTGTTTTTTTTTTGGGAAGCTTGTACTCCTGTGTGAAGCTTGGCTTGGACAACTGAAATGTGCTACCATTGCTTGTGGCCTGACTAGAGCTTAGATGCTTATGTAGTTATCTGAGAAATGCGGCTCATGTGGATAGCACAAAAGAACAGTTGCCCTTTCGCCACACAATATATGCCTGACAATAGATAATGCTTTCAATAACACATCTTTTGTCGGTCTTTGGAAATAAGAACTTTCTTCAGAAGACATTATTATTATTAGTGATTTAGCCAGAGAAAACATTTTTTTTTTTTTTTTTTTTTGGTTTGGTGGTTGGTTGGCGATGGACTAAGCCAAAAGATTTGTGGCTTATATATCCAGATAATAAACTGTCCTAATTTTTGGTCAGAAATATATATATAAAACGGGACAAAAAAAGAAAAAGAGACGCCGTAATAAGTGGACCCGGTATGTTAACTGTAATTGAGTTTGTGTGTGTGGGTGTGTATATATAACAGTGCTGGTTGAGCTGTTAAAACTCAAAGAGCTTTGCAAACCTTGGCTGAAAACAAAAAAGGACTGCTATAGTAATAGAAAATGATTGAAAGAAAAAATAAATTAAAACGCTTTTCAAATGAAGCAAATTAATTCCCCGAGATAAGGTATCTTTTTTGCTGCAAAGAGATCGAAGAGACTATCCTCTATCTTAAAGAAGCTAAAAGAATCTCTAATGCCATCAAGTCTGCGACATATAAAGATTAGATGCTCAGCAGACTCGCAAACATCACATGGAATAGCGCGAACTATTTTTAAATAACCTTTACCATAAGTGTGCCAACTCATGACTCTATAAAGAATTTTCCCAGGAATTAAAAGAAGCCATAGAAAAGGGTTTGAATTGAAATGTGGGATTAAAGGCAATTGGATTTAACACGCGCGATCCCTTTACATTCGCCATTTAGCTATTGGAGGATGTGGTTGCGAATTGCCCGAATTGCTTCATGGGGAGTGTATTTGGTGGACAAAATTGTCTCATCAACTGCTTAATTTCTGACTAGAATGTCGATGACCATTGATGTAATTCCACAAAAAGCGCGGATTGCCATCACAACATTACTTTTTACTCGTGATAGCTCTATGTGTCCTTTTCGCTTTTCTAACTGCAGACCTCTTTATTGGCAGTTTCATCGTCGTCCTTACTCGAAATAGAAGACGCGTTCCCCAATCGAGGGAAATTGTCATCGTAGAAGATGTTGTCAAGACACTCGAAGTAGTTTTAGGAAAACTTCTCTTTTACTTCTGTATAGGAGAGGTTTTTAATGGCCATGATCTTATTGATGTTTAATTCCAGCTCCCTGTTCCGGCAACACTTGTGGAGAGTGTTGTGCTGAATTGACCCACAGGACAAGCACTCCATCTTCTCACAGTTCACACACTTCGGAGACTTCCCACAGTTCAGGCATCTGCTCTGCTTAGCTTTACAGAATTTGAAACGTGACCGTACAAAATACTCCACCGGCAGATGACAATAAATAAATTTGATTGACTTAGGGAGGGCTTTACTTTTGAAGCCGATTTTGATGCTGGTTGTGGGAATCTACCCATCCTTGTTTGTGGGGTTCCTTCTTTGAAAACGGACAACGGACTTGATCGGAATGTCGCACACGGCGTTGTTAATTATCAGAAGATACATTACTCGAATTTTAAATTAAGCACACCATCAATGGTCGCGGTTACAAATCTCAAGTGCGGTAGAATTTTTAATAAAGCCGATAGACTCAGAGTGCTTTCAGACTACAGTCTTTGATTTTATTTCTCTGGCTAAATTAATAAGACTAACAATAATAATAATATATGTCTGTAGCATCTAACGCTGGGGCCATCTTGAAGATATCTGGAGAATTTAACATCAAGTTCTGTGGCTGTAATAGAGCTGCTAAACTAACTATCAAATCTATCTTAAAAAAAAAAGAAGTCTTACCCGCTTGTGGTCATTCTACTCTTTACTTGTAGAGTTCGTTTCTTTGGTCTAAATAATCTGTCTGTATATACAAGAGGCATAATTGTGTTTTATAATTGTAACATAAATTTTGCAGCAAATAACTTCGGAGCACGACATGTTCAGGCTTTGCTTATGTTCTTTGGCGTATGTTTCAGTTATTTTCTACGGGTGAACATATCAGCCGCAATTGTACCAATGACCCAGTTCAATGCCGGATATGCAAGTTACGAATATTGGGATTCTCGTATAAAGAGCTTAATATTAAGCAGCTTCTTTTGGGGTTATGTGTTGGCCCAAGTACCAGCTAGTATGTTGGCAAGGCGTTTTGGCGGCAAAATTATCTTAGGTGGAGCTACAGCCGTAAGTGCCGTAATTACTGTGTTCCATCCTTTAGCGGTCGTTAAAGGCGACTGGCAATTGCTTTGCTTTTTACGGGTGCTAGTAGGTTTAATGCAAGGTGTAGTTTATCCATGCCTACATACACTACTAGCTAGGTGGGTGCCGCACAGTGAACGTGGGTTTCTGTGTACATTTGTTTATTCTGGTGCACAGCTTGGAACGGCCATTTTATTGGTTATAAGCGGAAGTATATTTAATTCAAATATGAGATGGCCGGGAATATTTTATATATCCGGTTCTATTGCCCTGCTATGGTCTTTAATATTTCTTTTATTTGGTTGTGATTCACCCCGTAATTCAAATAATATTTCAAAGGCTGAAAGAAACTACATAGAAGCATCAACTGGCGCTACTGAACAAAGTGAGGTTAGTAAAATAAAATCTGAAAGCTTTAAAAGAATATAAATGAAATTCATATAACAAAATATCCCTTATAGGATGTGGATGTTCCCTGGAGATCTATATTCACTTCCGTGCCATTTTTTGCCTTGATTGCAGCTCATTGTGGCTTCACCTGGGGATTTTATACCCTTTTAACTGAAGTACCTACCTACTTAAATAGTGCATTAAACTTGGATATGAAATCTAATGCTCTATTATCTGCTCTTCCATATTTTGTCATGTGGATATTGTGTTTAATTTTAAGTCCCATAGCCGATCTCTTAATCCGACGTCATATTACCAGCGTGACCGTTTCAAGGAAACTATTCAATTCGATTGGTCAATGGATTCCGATGATGTGTCTCATTGCACTCAGTTACATAAACCAAACTGCAATAACATTATCTGTAGTTTTACTTACTGTCGCCATTGGATTTAATGCTGCTTCCTTCTGTGGTTATTTGGTAAATCATATGGACTTGTCACCGAATTTTGCAGGTCCATTGATGGGAATTACAAATGGAATTTCGAATCTATTATCGATTTTCGCTCCATTGGTCGCAGGCGTTGTAATTCACAACGAAGAGGATCCGGAAGAATGGCGTAAAGTATTCTTAATAACTGCCACCGTTTATTTTTTATGTAATCTATTATTCGTGGTGTTTGGAAAAGCAAGCGTTCAGCCTTGGAACTATAAATTAAGAAATGTTGCATCGACCTCAACCAACAACGGTTCAACACTAACGTCAATTAGCACGATAGCCTACGAAAACAATTTGACATCATCAACGCCTGGCTGATTCATAATTATTATTGCGTTTGTTTGCGATCCATTACTAATTAGTATATAGTTGCAAATAAAAGCCCGATTACTTTAGCTGCTAGCAAAAATATCTTGCCAAGAAGATAACTTTAAAAATACTCAGACTACTTTAGCTGCTAGTAAATATGATATCAAGCCAAGAAAATAACTTTGATAAGATTTTTGGAAAAAAAAGTATTGAAATTCGTAACCAAAATATGTAACTTTTATTATATGCTAACTTGCTCCGTGAGTATTTGCGTTATTTTCATATTGTTTTTATAACTTGTACTTGACGCTTTCAATTTTGCGGAAAATGTAGAACACACTCCATAACGTAGCAAACCAACTAATGGCAATGGTGCCGTACAAGACCGATGTGTACGCGTTTTTGTTGCCTACCGGTATATTAGCCGTCAGGGAAGATTTGGAATGATAAACTTGCTGTAATAGCATCCAATTGCAGCTGTCGTCATTAATAGTTTCGTTTGTTTGCGGATTTATAGTCAATTGATCAAAGTTTAAACAATATTTGGTGATGGAATCAAGTTTCGTATACTTTTCTAATAAGACTTCCTCATTTCGTCGACAATTGATGTACATTATTGGCTTTGGTAGCTGCACAGATGCAAAGCGGCTACGAAAAATTATTGTTAAAACTTGAGACTCTATTTTGCTATTAAGTCTTTGTACTTGACACGATGAGGGGCATGGTAACGATAATGTATAGGTAAAATTGCATTATCTTCAAATTTAGGTACGCCTCGTAGGAAAATATCGAAAGAATTTGCTTTTTCCGTAGGTACTTCAATGTCCACAAATCTTGGAAAAATACTGTTTAACTGGAAATCAAGATATTTAAGTGGACGTGATATATATATAGTGCATATAAATATGTACATTTCTAGCTAACCTTTTTCAGTCTTCTCAAGTCTTTTAATTCATCAGTACTGACATACATAGTAGCCGGTAGACGTTGTTTTAAAACGTATTCACATTTGCTGCCCACCATTGAATCGTTGAAGTGAACTGTGTACACAATTTTTCTATCAAATATCCAGACAAGTAACGGTTTTTCATTTATTTATTTCCTTAGTAATACGAAGACTACCTGTGCAATCCTGAACCAAGCAACTCAATCTCCACTATTGGCATTTTTAAATCGCTACTTTGCGAGGAATCCAGCAAAATATACATTATAATTACGAAAATGCGCATAACTTTCTTAATAATTTAGCCTAGAACAGAAAAATAAAATTTTTAAGTACTTAAACCGAATTATTATTATTATTATATTACTTAAAGTTAATGATGTTAACTAATGTAAATATTATTAGAAATGAGCGCTTTGTCCTTAAAAAAATTTTAAAAAAGCGCTAACAACAAAAATATGTTTAACAATCAACTTTGCACTAAAGTTATTTACAAACCTTCAGAATTTAAGAACACTCGTATTGTATATTGTACACGCATTCAGATCTGCAGAGGAATGTTTTGTTCTTGTTATTATTGTCAACGAATTATTGCAGACTCGTTGCATGCAAATTTTCGCATAGCGTTCGAAATTCTCAGATTATTCTGACATTACCTGTTTACTGCTGATAACACAAACGAAAACTAAAAATGACTACTATAAGTCCGCGCCAGGGAAATTTTATCTAAAATGTGATACGGGCTTTTAGTTTTACTAACAAAATAATCGAAAAGAGAAAAAGTATAATATGACGAGCAAGTGTGCTACAGTCCGGCACAACAGACCATTATATTTTATTATTTTTTTTCTCAAGTCATACACGCGAAAACGACATATGTGTACTGCATAGTACATTCATCCCGAAACATGCAACATCGTATATCCAGATACCATAATTCATAGCTGTAGCTAGTAGTACAGATATTTACAATAATGACGAAATAGCAGGGTGTGAAAAGTTAACATAAGTGTATACAAATCTTAAACTTACAAAGATGGAATTTATTGAGGGTTAATAGAAGAGTAATGCTGATGATGGTATTGTAGATTTCCTTCTATAATTTCTTCTTTAACGTTTCTTCCAATGCATTTTTGAAGCTGCAACCTTTCCATGACATCATCCATATTCGGTATAGCTTTTAATACAGACAAACTATCAGTAACACGGGCTGTTTTGAGTTTGTCTTTATGGGAAAGGTTCGCAGCGTGAAGGATAGCTCTGGCTTCGGTTGTGACAGTTGAAGCACTTTCGTGACTTTAAAATAAATAATGATTAGTTAAAAAATTGGATAAGCACAATTATATTATGGCTACCGTTACAAAATATTTTCAATTCGACTTTGGATACCACAACTAGTTTGAAAATAAATTGATTGTCATTTTTTTTCACGTCTTTGAAACTTCTACTATCCGCGAACGTGTTCATTAATAATATATTTGCATAAAAAAAGTTGACAAAATGAGGCATCATTTTCGTCTTCGGTTTAAAAACTCCCAAATGGTAAAACCACACTTGGCAGCCACGCTAGAACCAAAATTACGAAATCAATGTAAGCGTCACTGAGAGATATAACTTTCTGAAGAAAGGAAAGAATCATTATCTTGACCTTAATGAACTCCTTAGCCGGCCATTCACCAGAAGTGACATTGAGAATACGTTGAGGTCAGTCCAGTACATTCTTTTAACATTCTATTTGCAAATGTTTGTATACGTTTCTCAACATATTTTGGAAAATTACAAGTTGTAGAATGTGCAAACTCAATCTTGGACCTAAAGCTTTGTACACAGTTAAAATTTTTCTGGGAGGCAAGCCTGACCGATTGTTAGTCATGACTTTGATGATATTGCATCCAGATTGACAGTCTTTGAAGGCTTTCTCATAACGCCCACGAAGAGTTAGGCTGTCATACAAAGTTCTATAAGGAAATCGATGGGTTTTCACCTGATCACTTTAGTTTCTTTGATAAAGGGCCTTAGAACCATTGGCAAAATAAATAGCATTTATTTTGCTGGGATTAAAATGTAAATTAAGATCGGCACATGCATCGCAGCAAAAAAGGTTACCTTTTATCGAGAGATTATTCCCGCCCACTGAAAAGGATAAAACCGCATATACAGTTAGGAAATCATCTGCATATTGAAAAATATGAGTTTGTTCATCTTGACGATCATACTAAGTAGCTGTATATACGTTGAAGAGTATGGGACTCAAATAACTGCTTTGTGGAATGTCACCATACACAACAACTTTTTCTGTACCCATTACCAAAACACGCTTAAATAAAAAGTTTAGTATTCACGGACGTACTTGAAGAGAAATTGAAAAGTTTAGGAGAATTCTGCCAAGCTTAATGAAGTTGACGCAATCATAGGCTTTGCTAATACCCAGGGAAAACGTTACAACCATTTTGCCAGCTTTTAAATTAGCGAAAAAAAAATATAATCCATTAACGCACATATTCGTGGATTTGCGTTTTTGATCGCCATTAGAACGAGCTGGAACAATGTTCCCAGTTTTTAAGATATCCATTAGTCTCTTCTTGACCATGCAATTTGCTTAAATCATTTAAGTCTTGACCTGCTTTAGGAGTGGGAACTATTTTGATACAGACAGTGCTCTGACCATATCGTACTTAACTCCATCACAACCTGTAACGGTAGCCCTCTTCTGGAATGTAAAACATTCATGTACGTTTGTGTGTATTGTTACTAAAAGGAATTGAAGTTATTGTAATCGGTTTGACACATGAAATCTAGCTCTTGAGGATATCCAAGTATCTTTTATTATCATGGTCATTCCACACAGCATAACTGTTTAATTTTCGACAGTAATGTCGATGACCATGGATGTAGTTCCAGAAAAAACGCGAGCTACAACTACCACATTACTCTTTAATCGGGATAATTGTGTGTGTATATTCAGTGAAGTTGCCTGGATTGATATATTTACTTTTTTTTTGTTTGTACTTTCACCAAGGTACAGGTGTGAAGGAATTCAATATCAGAAAGGTTGGTTCTAGCAAACTTGTTCTCAGGCTGAAAACCACTTTGAATTGATGGTAAATCAGACGGAAAATTAACTTAAGAAATAAAATTTTCTATTTTCATAACGGAATTGTTGCAACTGTGGAATAAAATGCGAGAGTGCTGACTTCTGCCAATTGAACCATTGGACGTGTTCCAGTTGAATGATAAAATAGTGCAATTAGAAAAGGTTAGATCTAAGACACTGCTTGCCGCGCGACCACCCCGATTACAGGGAAAGGTAGTTATCGTTATTTAAGACATTTAAACTGATGGCATTAATGGCATTTATGAGGATCTTGTCTTTGTTGGTCGAGACTCGATCGCCATATAAGCAATGTGTTGCATTGAAATCTCCAGCTAGAATCGCATTTTGTAGGCAGTCAAGAAAGTCACATAATCTCTGAATCTCATCACGAAAGGTTTGTACGTCGAGAGTAGGTGGAAAGTAGCATGTTGCTATGAAAAGATTCGCTTAAAGGTTCATGGTTTTCATGATGATAACGTAAACAGCAGAGTTGCAGGGAATATGTTTGAAATTGACGCTTTTCTTAACTAATATACTAAAGCCACTATAGTCGTCAACTCGGCATTTGGTGGTTGAAGTATAATTGGAAACTTTAACTTCAAAAAAAATGTCATGCCTCAAAAAAACTTCACGTAAGATGCAGAAATTAATGTTCTTCGAGCTAAGTTAAAAATCCAAAAATGGTAGGTTACGCCGAACACTTTGGACATTATATTGTAAAAACGAGACCATGCTTTAAATAAGAACGGAACACGCTTGATCGTAGCTTGCACAATGTGATATTTTTCTTCAAATTCCTTAACAAGATTCAGAAGAATCATTGGACGGATACATTCTTTAATCGCAGAGACTAATCCGTTAAGAACGCAAATTGTTGTTCGAAATTATTGTCCGCTGAGATCTTGGGGGTGAACTGGAAGAAGACAGATTTCCTTTTAACGATCGTAATAAATTTTTTCTTTGTTAGCATCTTATTAACGTTCTCATTATCATCCTTGGCCAATTGGCGGACGAGTTCCGCAAAGGAGGGGAATTCTCATCGTAGGAATTATCATCCAGACATTCAAAGTAGTTTGAGGAAAACTTCTCTTTCACTTTTTTGTAGGAAAAATTGTTAATGGCCATAATCTTGTTGATATTTATTTCCTGCTCTCTGTTCGGGCAACACATGTTTCGAGTGTTGTGTTCACCTGAACCACAGAATAAACACCTCATCGCTTGGTAGTGTTCGGTACATTTAGGAGACTTACCACAGAACTTCGACACATGCCCATATGGCCCCATTTAAAGTATTGCTTTAAGGCGCGTACGATATACTCCACGGAAAGTTTGCAAAAATTGAATTTGATCGGTTTGGGGAGGGCCTTTAAAACCAATTTTAATATTTGTTGTGAGCATAAAATCGTCCTTGTCGTTGGGATTTGTTCTTCGAAGCCCGGCAGCAGACTTAATGGAAGTATCGGACACTGCTTTTACAATGATCCCATTTACATCCCACATACATACATAGGAATATTGCGAATAAATTCGATCCTTCCGTGAAAGATCTCGGTATATGCGCTTTTACATTTTTTTGATTAAACTGATTGTTTTTAACGAAGTAGTTAGCATTAAAAGCAGAGCTGAACAGCAATTTGGCTCCACCCTTGCTTACCAAGTTTAATTGTTTTAAACCGTTAGTGTTGAAAATAATCATAAAAGAAAAGATCCGAATTGACGTTCGTCGCTCACACAATATATCACAAATGAGAATTTGTCGCAGGAACAGTCTTTGCATTCATGAGACCCCCTATATATGGTGTCGTGTAAAAAGCATATGGCCAAAATTCTATTTGGTTGATTTACCAATTACAGATTTTTATCATAAAATATTAAGAACTAGATTTTTTTGACGTAAAAATCTTACTTTTCATTAGACCGAATTTTTCTTGTAACGACTTGTCAAAATAAGGCTTTTAATTTCATCAAAATATTTTTTGATTTAAATATTGCGGTATGACGTATCAAGCTATATATTACAAATATTTTGCTTTTATCTTTATACTAAAATTTCTTTCGTATTTTAAATATCTAACTTTTTCTGACCTGCAAAACACCCATTTCTTTATGGCTTCGTATTGGTAAAAACTTAAATGAAAAATAATTTATTTTTTCCGCTCTTTCTTTCGTTTCCCCGATTAATAAGCATTATCTATTCTTCATCCATTACATATCAATACCTGCACAATTTTTTTATTTATAAAAAAGTTTGTAAAATGTAATGTTTTTCCCAATTTTCACGCGCTTATTCAGTTTTGAGGCCGCTGAAATAGCCACACGGTTTTTATGTAAACAAACAAGTAACAACAAGCAGCATATGTTAAGATTTCGAAATAATTAAGATTAATGTACATTTCAAAGCATTGAGAATTTAGCCTTTTAATAGTATTGTTAGGAGCAGAAAAAAAACAAATAAAACAAAACAAAAATGCCTCTAATAATTACATTTTGCCAAGAAATACACGCTTATAAATTTCTGCACCAGTTTTGGCCAGCTTGTCCGCCATCTCGTTACCTTTAATGCCTTTATGCGCCTTAACGTAGTTCTACATTGAATTCAAAATATTTACACAAACGATAAAATTCATTTTGATATTTATAACTTACCCACTTAACATCTAAACTCTGATCCTGCAATAAGTTGTCTAACTCTTTAAAGTCGACTTCGTTTTTAACACGGTCTCCACTCTTTAAATGCCAATTTTTCGCTTTCCACCCTTTTATCCAAAGTGTTACTGCATTAATAAGAAATTGAGAGTCTGTGCTAATGCATAGTTTATTTATCCCCAGTTTCTGCGCCGTTTTCACAGCATATATTGCTGCTTGTATTTCTCCTACATTATTAGTTACTCTACCTGTTACAGGTTCAGCAACATTCCTAAAGCATAGCCATGCTTCAGTTACACAATAATTTAGTAATTCCATATATTTTTTACTTACAACGGGTGATTATCACCAAAATAAACGCCAAAACCCGCAGAAGCATTTTTGCCTCCATTGTTAAAGCAAGACCCGTCGGTGTAAGCCAAAATATAGCCTTCCTCATTAATTTGAAATTCATAGGGTCCTACTTGTTTGATGCCGATTGGTTCAATTTTTCGAATTTTCGCAGAGCCGGACTCATTACCCGATTTTCGCTTTAGTCGATTTGGAGACTTTGAAGTCCCTTCCACTTCGGCTAAAGCATATAACTAAGGAATATGTTATTACTTTATTGTAAATATTATGTTAATGCGTAGTTACCAGATCGTTCTCAGTTATATCTCCTTCATCGTCATGGTTAATTGGCCAAAATTCTTTGTCCGTTTTTGCTGCCGATGTCGTGACATCTCCTATACAACCTTTCAAAAATTTTTTTTTTGAACTTTGAAAGTTGCAAATTTCATTTTCAATAGCTTCACCGCCGCGAATGAAGTCTTCAGCAGCTGAACGGGTAGGGAACTTCTTATATTTTGCTCCTTTAAATCCTTTCACTTGTTCCTCGCATTCTTTCCTTTGAGAAAAAATCCTTTTTAAAAAAACGAACACAACTGAGAGAAGCTCAAAAAGCTTACCAAGAATTATAAACACCTATTGCGCGTCCACAGGCTACGGCATAGAAAGACATCATACGCGTAATGCGTGCATTACTGAAAACGGTTCTCTGAAATAGCATATTTTGTTCAGAATACAAATAAATTTGAACAGTATTGCCAAGGTTGGAAACACAAAAATTTTTCCTTTCGAACGCAAAAAAAACTAAAAAATAAAGAACTAAAATATTGAAAGAAAAATCGACGAAACATTATTAAATTTTTTTACACACAAGAGGTACGTTGTAAAAAACACTGTGTTTATTTCTAGGCAGCAACTACGCTCTTTTATCAAGTACATTTCTTGCTCCAACAATCTTTTTCGAAAATTTTAGCATGGAGGATAAATTATGTTATTGCAATTGGCAGTGTTTTCAAACTGTTATTAAAATGAACCCTAAAGCAGTTAGGAGTTAGAGCTGCGTTGTCGCTAAAGACAGGCAGCAGAGAAGAGCAAATCTTTAAATTAAAGACATATTTGAACGACATTGAAAAATATATAAAAAGCGATATATTAAGCGCAGATGTCAAAATTCGCTGGGCTGACCAAGAAAGATAAAATAGTGCAGATCCATTTTGACGAGGTGTACACCAACCACGCGACGGTGTACTCTCGAGAAGATGATGAACTGCGGGGCTGCGGCTATAAGACCAAGGGAAAAAAAAAACAATGGAACATTACGGTGTGATAGTCTTCGCAGCACGAAGCCTCCTCACCTCTTTCAACATAGTGCTGGATAGCTATCCCCGCGTAAAAGGCCAAAATAACATGGGATGGGCCTTAGAAAAAAGCATAAAAGCGGCTGAAGAATTGGGGTTGGACGTGAGAGCAGTCGTCTGCGACCGAAATGTATCAAATGTGCAATATATAAAAAAATTTGGGAAGAACAAAATATACAATAGAAAGCGGGCAGACGGCAGCACACACTGCATCCGGGTATTGTACGATTATCCGCACCTACTAGAAACAATTCATAAAAATATAGAAACGAACAAAGACTACTATAATCTTGATGTAATCTCTGCAGTGGCAAATATGCGGCCGAAAAATTGTGCTATCTCCAATCAAAGAGGCTGGATGCCGGCCTACAGCAAGAGATGGAACATGGCCTTTTCGATGCAGGTAATGAGCGACGCGCAAATCGCAACGCTAGCTGTTGCATGATATTTGTTGGCATAGATTTTGGTTTAAAGATGTCATTATTTCAATAATATTGTTACTACCGTTGCTGTTTAACATAAAAGGCACTTTTGCCTTTTGTCTGCTTAAATGATTCAAATACAAAAATGTGCTCCTAAGACTGAATATAACTATGAAACTGAAGATAACATTTTCAGAAGAAAGACATATATTGGATGTCGATCACATCTTCAATATCAAATATATATATAGTTGGCGACCCCAGTCGTATAAGAATAAATTTTTGATATATGTGTCATTTGGTAAACGTACAAAAAACATAACAGAAGCAAAAACTAAATCATCCCAAAAATACGCGCATGTACAATGCTTTCTAGCTAAGATTTGACAGTGTTAGATACAACTTGCTTCGCATTTATACTATGAATTATGGTTCAGATATGAAATTCACAGAAAGGAAACTTCATAGCTCTTTTGGAACGGTCACCTTGTACTATTTAAAGGGAGAATTTGGAGGATAATACAGAAATCGAATTACATTTGGGTTACTCTAACAAAAAAACTAAATTCAAAATTTCGACATAGACATTTATTGCCGTAATGTGCTTGTATATTTAAAAAATTCACAAATATAGTTTTGCAACTCTCTTATAAAACATATCGCATATTGTTTCATTATTAATTATGAACTCGTCGTCTCCACAAAATTGCATAATTCCGGCGACCACGATTGCAAGGCATCCATGTGACTTAATTCTTCAGTCAAGAGGTTTTTATTAAATCTGCAATATCCTTTAATTCCATCCTCATTTAACACATCCATATGCTACCGTATATGTTCTGCCCGCTCAGCTAAATTAAATGAAACAACAAATTGCGACCACGACAGAATTTTGAATATTTATTGCATTTCAAAGAGGATTCAGTCAAAAATTTCGGTTTGCACATGAATAATAATTCATTAATTCATTAATGTGCTGTTGTATGTAACCAAAAACGGCTTGATAATATGATCGCCGTATGATCGCCAGTGTAAGGAGTTTGAAAGCGCACTTCTCTGGTGCAGTTAATTTCACGTGCCCAACATGGGCCGCCCTCTTGGCCCTTCATATAACCATATAGTAGTAGTCGGTACATTATAAATGTGTTTTGCTTTCATGAGATACATGTATTCGCTAGCCAAAGGCAGAAACTTTCTCAATAAATTTTTTCGTCATCCAAAAGTCTTTTATTAGTTTCTCTTGCTTTCTTTTATTGGAAGATTTTAAAATTATACTTTTCTTACTTCAAAGTTACTTAAGCTTACTTGTAAGGAATAGTAGTCCTATATTGAAATGGCAAAAGGTGTTAATAACATAAGATTCTAGACAAGGTCTTAAAAATTGCTACCTATAAGTTGAACTTCAACTAAATAATACTAAAGGGTGGAACTATCTGAAGCACTTGTGGATGTTGCATATAGCCGCGCAAATTTGACAAAAACCCTACCCGATGAATTGTGGGTAAAGAGGATGACAAGACTGTATAAACGCGGATAATCAACACACGAATGTTGGAAAAGGGTCCTAATACGTGAAGGCCGTAATTATTGGTTTGAAGACATTGATACCTAATGTTTTTGATATATATTACATCAAACAGAAATTATCCCGAAAAGCTAACTAACACAAGCGGAAAATTTTTTAAATTCTTTTATATGCACTGTATTAATATAACACTATGTTTCTACAGCATGCCCGATAAAATAAGAAACTCTAAACGGGGTGCGACGAATTCACTTTTTGCAGATGTGAGTGTCGTGGATGCCAGAAAAAAGATTGGGGAAAGCACCGTCATATTTGCGGAAAACCCAAACGAGTACACAATAAGCGTGGCGGAAACTGGTACGTATGCTATACTTACTTTGTGCACTATAGTTAAAAATTTTATTATTTGATTATTTTTATAATATAAAGTAGATCATTGCTAGCAAGCGCATCACAACAAACAAAAGTATGATATTGATGTTAGTTATGCTTCATTAAACAGAATCCTTGAAGAACAGAAAAAATCTGAGAACTCTTAGCTAATTGAACATTGAATTGCCGCGTTATCGTATCGAGAAAGAAGACGTTGATGTTGCCTACATTGATTATAGAAATTTTCACACTGGACTGAACTTGAAAGATTTCTTTTGGGCACCCAACGAGTACACTGTTAGTGGAGGCGCAAAAGAGCTGGTTGGACATGAAAACTATTCTTCATAATCGAAAAATGAAATTACAAGAGATAGTTGACATCTTAAAGAACATGCATTCACTAATTTTGCAAGAAAATTTGTGGTAGAAAAGTGCGTTCACGAAATTTATTTCACGTTCACCTACAGCCGAATAAATACTGATGACAAAATTCCACGTATTGCAGGTCTAGCCCCTAGTAATTACCTATTTGCAATTTCTAAAGGGATGCTCAACTGAATTCGCTTGAAACTGAATTTCCTTGAAGTATTGATCAGTGCATTAGCCGGCAAAAGCAAATCATTGAATCATTTACCTTTATTAATTTCCATAACATCTTTGATTTTCCATTATTAATGAGGTAGGATCTATTTTTTTTTTTTTCACATATTTGCTTTTCGTAACAATGGTTTACTTTCTTTTTCCTTTAAATATATTTCTAGATTGCAAGTTTTTGCTCTTGAAACAATCTACGAGAATCGTTATCGAAAAAAAATAAGTATGTGTTAACGAATGCGGTCATTCAACTGCTCGCTGCATGTTGTTCGATATCAAAAACCATTAACATTGAAAATCACGGTCGATGATGCTCGATATTAAATGAGTAAACTCGTTCCCAGGTTCGCATAAAGTGTACTAAAATTAAGGTTTAGTATTACGATTATTATGGGTATATTCAATTTGCTACTACTTCTACTGCTTTATTTATTACACATGCGCTGAAGAAAATTCACTATTATCATCTTTTTTATGCTTGGCCGTATAAAGATTTTCACTTGTTTTTATCTTGTCACCAAGGTGGTAATCTGCTCCCACAAACGAAGAAAAACCGCCTTTATAGCCGAAGTTACTCTCTTAATGACGGGAGCAGTGTTTGCCGCTTTTTGTGTAAATTCATGAAAAACTAATCGAATTCGAAAAGAATAGACATCTTCGTAATTTTTGATTGCAGGGTTGTTATTTCATTATCCTTTAGGAGAAAAATATTTAAACAAAATTTGGAGAAAACCGATTCGATATCGCGTTGGGGCTACATTTGCTTTTTAAATTTGAAATAATCGAAAATTTATGTGAACTTAGGAAGTCGGGAGAATTTAATTTAGTAAAATCAAGACGATACGCATTTTATCTTCTGTGTTATTTGTGATTAATTTGTTTTTGCTTTAGAGTTAATATGTGTGAGTGTGTGTGTGTGTGTGTGTCTGTCATAGAATCATTAAACTGTAGTTCAACAGTATGAAGTTATAAGCTAAATAAAAGTTATATAAAATTTTTTTTATAATTATAAGTGCCATAAAATCATAATAAGTTTCAGTTGGTATTTTTGGTTGGTATTGCGTGCCGTAGCAAACAATTCAAACTGATACACCGATAAGGTGATGGCGATGCATTTAGACTTCATTAGTAATCAAGTAAATAAAATTCATTGTGGTTTCAATGTAGCAAGGAGTGCTCTGAACAAACGGATAAACCAAGAGTGTAACCAGTAAGTGAAAGAGTGATAATTCTTTTGGTAACTTGCTTATACGTGTGGTATTTGACATTATAGATTCAGAACTACGTCAGCGGCCGAGCATTCTATAGGCAACAAAAACGGAGTTACTACACCGCCCAATCTTAATTTGAATATTATCGTACCAAATGGTAAAATTGACAAAGAAGTCATCTGAGACGGTGCAACAATTGCCGCTTAGTCGCGACGTAGCCAATAGAAGCAAAAAAGATTTTCAAAAATAAAAAGATACAATTTCATATGCCATTGTGGAGGGCCTCAGAAAATTCAAAATTCAGCTACCCAGTTTAATACATTCGCATAGGATACGGAGATTAGCTGCAATGCGAACAAAACATTTTATTGTGATACTATGTTGTGTTATAATTACCACAATTTTGTTTATTGCTTTGGGACCAGCAAGCGAAACTAACGATTCCTTAAAAAATATCGTTTCCCAGACTCATCAACAATTTAATAAATTACAGGTAAGTTTCGAAATTTGTATTCGAAAACAACTTTTGTGATGAGACAATAGAAAATATATTAAAGAAAGCTTCTAGAAATTTTGGATTGAAACAATTACAAAAGTATCATTCAAAAGCTCCTACAATATATAGAAGAGATAAAAATGACAATTTCTGATTTATAGGCAATTGAGTTTGGATCTAAAATCAAAAAAAAAAAAAATCCCGTGTTCAAACGCTCAAGTTAATTTTTATCTATCTAGGTTTTGTGTGGACTGATTTGCGTCCAACAATCTTCGCAAAAATAAACTCATTGCTCTTTTGCTCTTTAGTTCAATATTCTACAGTTGTCATTTTGCATTCGTTTTATATTTGTAGGTAAAGTACACAGACTTTGACTTCCTATGATAGTGGTTTCGATCACTATCTCTTAACCAGGTGGACTTCTGTCAAATTCTACATTTTTCATAACTTCAGTTTGAACGAATTTCAATTAAATTTCTCTTTAAGCGTCGTTTATAGCAATATTTAAGAAATCCTTTCTCTTTAATGTCGGCCAACTACTGTTAGTAATGAATATTTTAGCATTTTATTGTACCCGTCGTTGAAGGATGGGGATACACTCACTTCGTTTTTTTTCATAATGTATGTAACACTCAAAAGGAAGCTTCGGAGACACTATAAAGGATAAATATTGTTGTTCAGCGTGAAATTTTGAAATGATTAAGTCATGTATGTCCGTCTGCGTTGTGTTCTTTGTTGTCACTCTCCTGGCCGCCAAACTGAAGATATCGTTTTTAAATTTGGTAGAAAATTTGAAAGTTTTTGCACGCTGGTTGGCTTTGAAAATGGGACAAATTGGTTAAAGCAAATTGATTGCAGCTACGGTTTTCTTAACAACAATTTGTGGGCTTTTGCACGTTGCACGCAAATTACAAAAGTTAAAGGCTCGAAATTTTCTACTTTTACTTCACCAAACACCCTCCTCGAATGAAGATATATTATCTGCCTAAAAGTGGGTTAACCTGAAATGAATATGATAGACACCGCGAATTAATTTTTTCTTCAGTATCAAATAAAAGAATTTGGAGAATAGAGTTAGCAAAGTATAGTGGTGAAGCTTTTCCCGCCATTCTTCGAATGGAACGTCGCTAAAATAATCGTTAAAATCGCTAATACTGTCTTCAATAATTTTTATTTTTTTGGTTCGATCGAATAAGATGAAGAAAATCAAATGTAATTCATTTAAAAGCAATTGCTCTGACTCTTATTACTAAATTCCATAATTCCAATTAAATTCTCGATTTACTCAATCAGAGCCATCACCAGCAGGCATCTTCTTACCTCGAGTTAGGTCTTGATAAGCCGGCGAAGTAGTCTTGAGGTACCTTATGTGATGTTATATTTCATTTATGTGTTTTGCTACGCCAAAAAAAAAACAAGTCTATTGGTTCACCAATAGCTCTATAACACACTCAAAGCCGAAAGAAAGCTAAGGGACTTCATATGCTATTTTCTTAACTAAAATAAAGTTTGAATTTGATTCAATATCGAAAAATAATTTGTAGAATATGACCTCGTATGTATGATGAAAATTTACATACTACTCTACCGTTACTTGCCGGTACATTTTTAGTCCCAAAACAGATGTCATCTTTTTATTTGTTTTTTACTGAATAAGTGTTTATACTGAATAGTCCAGCCTGGAGTGTTTTTTAATGTGGCTGTTAATTGACAATACTCTGCCACGTGTTTTCTGCATGCACATATGAAAATAAGTGTAATAATCGTATTGCAAGCACGGCTTCCCAAAAAAACTAAAAGGCTTTTCTGCATATTTCTAAAAAAGTGTAGTAATTTTAAAATTTATAGTGTTTTGGCTAAAAACTGCTTAAATGAGAAACAGTTGCTTGGGCAGCGCACATCTGGCGTGAGGTAGTTTAAAGCATTTTTTTTTTTTGTTGGTTGATTCCGGGTTGATGGTTTTTCAGGATGACGACTACAGCGAGAAATAATATTGGAATACTCTCATTTACTTATATACTACGGATTTTATCATTATTATTGTTATTAATGCATACAGAAAATTCAATACTTGTATGATATACTTACATAACAGGTTTGTTTTTCAAAATTATTTACAGGAGAATTTGCGAGTGTCTGAGCGAAAGAAGTTGGAAATTGATGCAAAGTATTTGACCATTTTGGGTTTTCCATCACAAATTAATTATCCCAAGAAAGGATCGGAATTCTATAAATACGAGCTGAATGAAGGCATTACAGAATCTCTTAAATTTAAAAATAACAAAATTGAATCACCAAAGAATGATTTCAAAAAGACGGTCGAGCTAACTTATAAGCCGCTGCAACATGAAACAATTGCGCAAACCAACTTGACGTCGGCGCAATTATTCAATGAAAGCAAGGCTAACTTTAGTATAGTCACCTACGTTCAAGAAGGTCAATCTCCTTTAGCAATACTAATGTTACAAAATATTGCCAGCAAATTGCCTAACGAGTTTCTACTAATTTATGATCTGGGTTTGTCTGAGGAAGATGCACGAGCCTTGAACGCTTATTGCAATAGTACACGATGCTCTGTGATATCATATGATTTGTCGGTATTTCCTACTTATGTAGCTGATCAGCGTATGCACGCGTATCGACCGATCGTAATAAAAGACGCTTTAATGCGTTCTAAGTATATATTGTTTGCTGAGAATTACATGCGTATCCGTGGTTCCGCCCATGATTTTCGTTACCTTCAGAACAAGGTAGTCCAGTCTGGCGTATTAGGTTGGAATACACCCATAGCCGTATCAGCGCGCACCCATCCAAAAATGTTTGATTACTTTCAAACGGATATCGACGATTTTTTCTTTCTGCGCATGGTTGACATGGATACGGTTTTCTTCGCTGACAATTTGTTTGTAATCGAGAAAATAATGTTGCCTTGGATTAAGTGTGCACTCACTTTAGAATGCATTGATCCAATAGGTAAGTAAACAATCGATTAGCACATTTAAACTCTACTAACTCTAAAATGTTAATATTCTCAGTAATTCTTAGACTTTGATAGTTAGATATTTTATTTATTTTTTTTTTTATTAAAAAAAATTTGCATATACTTTAATACGTAAAACATTAAGGAAGCGATTCCAAAAAAAAATATACAAAAAGTGTTCGGCACATGTGTGAACGATTTCGTAAACTATTTTTTACCGCCAACTAAGGTCAAGACAAACAAGAAGATACGCACCACATCCATATAAAGATTTAGTGCAGCAAAAATGTACTCCTCAGGACTGATACTGTATTTGTGATCTCCACCCATCATCAACTGGGTGTCGTAAATAAGAAGAAGGCAGGCCACAAAGGCACCCAAACAAGCGTACGTTGTGCGCAAAATATAATCGTTCCAAAAAATGGTGATAAAACCAAAGATTACCACGCACACTAGAGCTGTTAATAAGATGCCACCGCAAGCGGTAAAATCATATTTGCTCTGCATCGCAAATATTGTCAATACTAAGCACAAGAAAGCAGTAATGCCTACAGCCATCAGTACCTAAATAATATTGCGGAAAGAAAATATAAATGAGATTAAATGGCTTGTGAACGAACCACATTTGTAAATACCGTCTGCGAATTGAAACGACCAGCTATGGCGGCTACTACAAATGATTCTGCGAAAGTAAAAATACTCAAACATATAAAGTTTGTAGGATAGGTACGGCGGGCAGAGTCACAGCAAGCCATAGCAAGAACCACAACAAGCAAAGTGACTAGTGCAATCGTTACCAAAAACGAATTGCGTTGAATAAATTTAAGCGTTGGTTCGTGAAATAGAACAAAGGCTACCATTCCGAAAGTGAAACATAATTGACCCTGGCAGAAAGAAACGACAATAAGAATACCTTATTTCAGAATTTCTAGAATTACAATTAAAGAACTCACCATTAATATAAGATACACTTTACGTATGAATGCTCTACGTACGCTTTGGTCATTAAATGAAAAGTTTTTAGGTTCCAAATCTTCAGGGTCTATGACTGGTACTGATGGTGAAGTAGGAATAATTGAAGGCACATAGCCGGAATTATCTAATTTGTGATTGTAAACTAAAAAAATCAGTTTAGAGTTAGTAATTGTTGCCACCGCATTTCGAATTCCAAGAAAATTTAAAGTTTTATTTTGCACATTTTATATTACCTTCTTCATAATTACTAGGAGGGACGGTTTGTGGTTTCGTTAAATTGTCCTGTTGAAACATAATTTGTGTCCGTTTGATTTAAAGCAGACCGTAGAAAATCTGATATAAATATTTGGATGAGGAAGTGTCGCGAATTCTTTTCTGTATCTAATTTTTACTGTCCTCTATATTTTTTAATTGTTTGTATCCCTACAATTGTGAAATCCACGGTATTGCCATACATAATTACTTCACCAATAAACTTAGAAGACGAAGTGTAACGATTTAATATAACTTTGCTTTTATATCGTAAATATTTTAGGTGCACAGTCAAATGGTTGTAAATATAATAAAAAGCCGCAATATCGTTATTCCGGTTGTCACAGTTATGATGCTTCAGCCTTTAACATTGTCTTGGGCCTGACCTGGTTTTTAGATGACACAAAATACTCACTGCCAAGTGACAACTATAACATTTTCTATAAAGAAACTCTGGAACAGGCGACAAAAATTCTCGAAAATCGACGACGCAACAGTAGTGAAATATCGGAGCATCCAATTACGGAAGACTAATCCAAGCTTAATTAGTTTTTCTTAAAACCATATAATAACCGAAAAGTAAGTTCTTAAGACAAAAATTAAAAAAAAACAGATCTTTCGCGCTTCTAGATATATCGTTATCATTTACGCATGACTAGGCACATACTTAGATTTTCTTAACAACAACATTGAAAGATGTTATTGCTGAAATAACTCAGTCTTTGTCACATTTATAGCTTATTTAAGTTACTCTAAGCCAAAAAAAAAAATTGTGATTTTCTAAAATTATAATTGTTTGTATGTTTCCAAAGCAATGAACATTCTAAAATATATGTAAACAAAAGTAAATAAAAAGTACGAAGAGAAATTCTTTTGCATTACTTGGCCTAAGTCATTTATCCAGATTATTCAACGCGATCGATAAAGCATTCTATAAACGAATCCGACTTATTTTTGATCCCTGAATGTGAAATTATAGTTTCGAAGTATCACCGGTACTGAGTAAAATACATTCTATCATTATTATTGTAAATTTATTTACACCAAAGAATTAACTTCTAGGATTAAAAGTAGGATGAGCACTAGTAGTCACGATTGTCGGTTCTATAATGAAAGGAATTACATATGGTACCTCGTCAACACACCCATGTATGATAGAAGTGAAGAAATATTACTGGAGTATGCTTAGGCATATATAAGACAACTTATGCATAGCAGTGTACTTATACATTTCCTTAATAAAATGAAAGACGGGGTCGAATTCAAAAACAATATGCATATGCGCATAGATCATTTATATCGTGCATCATGCACCTACATATCAAAATAACAGTTGATTGTACTTTGTGCAGTTGACACGTAGCTTGCACTGAATTACTCCAGTTGTGCCAGTAAATTGGAGAGGATTAATTTTGCTGTATACATTTGCCCTGGCATGCGGAGCAGTGACGTTGAATCACTCAATGCTTTTAAACTGGTTGTTTGCATTTTTTACATTTTGTAATCAATTGTTATGCTTCTGCTCAAAAAATCCACTTTCGGAGAAACTGCACTCTGCATTAATGCTAAAACATTATCATGTAGCTACTCTTTTAGACCATAGTACAAGGATGCAAGATGCAAATGCATTCATTTCGTTCACTCATTTTGTAACGTTTTTGTATGCGTATTAAATAAAATCGTTTAATAAAACAATTAGGAAATGTTTTTTAACTTGTAGGCCTTAAACTTACGTTATTTATAACCCTACAGCGTTATGATCTGCTAGCTTTATGGTGTATCTTCCTATTCACGTTTTTTAGTAGCTCTAGTTTCCTGATGCGCATAAATAAATTAATTGCCATGACCACTCGAACCTAGGACAGATTGAGACACGAACTTTGTATCTTTGTTAATACCTTCTTTTCATAGCAAAATAAGCAACTGGCAATACTCCTCAAGCAAAATTTATTTCAAAATTGTAATTGTAATTGACGTTTAGTAAATCAGCTGTCATAAATTTTTTTCTTTCGATGTGGGTATTGAATTGTTTTAGTATGATTTTTTAGACAAAAAAACCAAAAATTGAAATTGTTAATATATTTAAATCTAAAAATAAATCCTATAAAATAAAAGTTTTCTCTCTATTATAATTGCCTTGGTTTGTAATAATTATCCAAATGCATATGCGAATATTAGGAAGATTTGCGACAAAATGGCACAGGTAGGTGACAGCGGTCTCTGAAAATGCAATCATAACAATCTTTTACATATATGTTATATCTTATTGGATGTATACGTACATGTTTCTATACAATTTTTTTGTAATAGTATATCGAGAGGCTTTGCTACAAAACCTTCAGTGCCACGAATTGACGAAGTGGGAAGTGGCACGGGTATTGGAAAAATTACGGGTGGCTTAAGAAATAATCTTGACGGATCTTATACTATTAACACGCCTTCTACAGAAATTGTAACTAAGCTGCCTCCTTTGACGGATGCCTTACCTGATTTACCTGAAGTTGAATACGCGCAACCTTTGGTGGAAAGTAATTCGGCGACCGTGACCACTTTAAAAAATGGTTTGCGCGTGGCTTCAGAAGCAAGGTTTGGACAATTTTGTACAGTGGGTTTGGTAATAGACTCAGGGCCGCGATATGAGGTCACTTATCCCGGTGGTATTTCGCATTTCCTGGAAAAATTGGCTTTTAACGTGAGTTTAATTATAGCGGCAGTGGGCACTTATTTGTATAATGCCTATTTTTAGTCTACCAAAAATTTTCCTGATAAAGATGCCATACTAAAGGAGTTGGAGAGAAATGGTGGCATTTGTGATTGCCAATGTTCTCGGGATACATTGATATATGCAGCCAGCATTGATAGTCGTGCCATCGAATCGGTAACTCGCCTTTTAGCTGATGTTACTTTGCGTCCAACTCTTCAGGAAGAAGAAGTATCGTTAGCTCGGCGAGCCATACAATTCGAATTGGAGACATTGGGAATGCGTCCAGAGCAAGAGTCTATTCTTATGGATATGATTCATGCGGCTGCCTATAGAGAAAACACATTGGGATTGCCTAAGCTTTGTCCCGTGAAAAATCTTGGTGCCATAAATCGTGACGTTATAGTAAATTATTTGAAGAATCATCACACCCCTGAACGTATGGTTATTGCGGGAGTTGGCGTAAGCTACACACCAAATGGGGTAATTTACTACTCAGCTTATTAAAATGCATATTTTTGGAAAATAGGTTGACCACGAAGAGCTGGTTGAAAATGTTGAAAATTTTTTTGTAAAAGAACCCGCTGTATGGGAAAGTGAGGAAGGAGAATATGGCGCAGAGGTTGATAAGTCGGTGGCTCAGTACACTGGCGGTCTTTGCAAGGAGCAATGCGAAATACCTATTTACGCCGCTGCAGGTCTACCTGAGCTAGCTCATGTGGTAATCGGTCTGGAAGGGTGCTCCCATCAAGATCCTGACTTTGTGCCATTATGCGTTCTGAATATAATGATGGGAGGGGGCGGATCCTTTTCTGCCGGTGGTCCCGGTAAAGGCATGTACTCCCGACTATACACAAATGTGCTTAATCGTTACCACTGGATGTATAGTGCTACGGCTTATAACCATTCATATATCGATTCCGGTCTGTTTTGCATACATGCAAGCGCGCCCCCCAACAATGTCAAGGACATGGTTGAAGTGGTGACACGAGAAATGGTTAACATGGCCTCTAGTCCAGGACGCGAAGAATTGAGTCGTTCAAAAATACAATTACAGTCCATGCTGTTAATGAATTTAGAATCGCGACCAGTGGTATTTGAAGATGTTGGTCGACAAGTCTTGGCCACCGGACATCGTAAACGCCCAGATCATTTTATCGATGAGATAGGTGAGTAAGAGTTCTTCTTTTATCTAACTTCAATATAAGACAAAATTTTTCTTATTTGTGATACTAACTTTTTAGAAAGAGTCAAAGCCAGTGATATTCAACGTGTAGCCAAACGCGTACTAGCAACCCCCGTCTCTGTAGCTGCACGGGGTGACATTGGAAGTTTGCCCGAAATTAAAGAAATACAAAATGCATTACTTCAAGACGGTCGGCTGTCTAACCGCAGATTATCCCTATTTAAATAATTTTTTATTCAGTATAGCGCTTTGTGCCGCTGTATGATGCTCGATTAAATACTTTTACGAAGTGTAGTTTAGTGAATTGTAGTATGAGCTGTCACTTCCTGTATATATTGATGGCTTTTCAAATTTAAGTTCGACATAACCTTTTCAGTTTTTTGTATAAGCAAACTTTTATTCTTAGTTGCTTTATTTGGAATTTTTTATATGGGGCAAATCCTGCATCATCAATAAATTAGAGTTGTAATCTTGATTAATTATAATCAGTTGCATAATTCTCCAGGTTCCAAGTCAGATGACGAGGATATGTCTTCAACAAGATCTTTCAGATCGGTAAGAGTGCAGTTTTGCATTCCTTGTGTCATTGCTGATGTTTTCAACAACGGAGAGCTGCTATTCGGCTTGGGAAGAAGCACAACCGTAGAGGATTTTGACGTTCCAAAAACCTCTTCGTCGCTACTTACATCTTCGCATATGTCCACTTTTTGTATATTTTGCGAGGTTTTCCCAACGGTAGGCTTAAAAGGTTCAGATGAATACTTCGGTTTTTTTTTAGGTATATCGACACTTGCAAGGGATGAAACACTTTCGGAATCGGACAACGCTTTTGTCGAGAAGATCCCGAAACAATACTTGCCGTCGTTTTCTTCGACGTCGATATCATTGTCTTCTGGTAGTTCATCACTGGAAATATCTTCTCGTAAACGATATTGCTTCGGCAAATGCGATTCATCTTCCATCGGATTAATGTTTGAAGACTTTCGAATTTTGACTTTTTTGGATCGCTCAACTTCCAAGCACAACTCGCCTCCTGTCTGCTTTTTAATACTTTTTGCTATAACTCTTTTTTGATGATCCAACTGCGGGAACAGATCCCGGGAATTTTCTAAAGCTTGCTTAGCAGCATTCATTTCTGCCTGCTGTATGGACGAACCGGTGGCAGTGGCCAAGCGTTTATTTCGAAAATAGACAGCTACTGTGTAGACTCTTGTATTCGTCGGCCCTGAAGATTCTATCACTTTGTAAATAGGTATATCAGGCTCGCCACCGTCCATGGTTCGCAAAGTTAGACAACACTGTTGTAATTTCGATTTTGGGTCGTTCCAATCTTGATTCATAATAAAAATTTGTAAACGGGGAAAAAGGCAAACGTGACAGAATTGCTCGCAATAAAGCAAACCCTTGTCTACGTACAAAGCACCCAGAAATGCTTCCAGAAGATCAGCTCTATCCTTGGTTTTGAGCTCTGCTTTTGGGTTTGAATAAACGGCGTATGTCGTCATGCCTAAATCATCGCAAACTACAGCTTGAGTGCGATTGTTGACGAGAGAGGAACGTAATAAAGACAAATGACCTTCGTGATGTTCGGGGAAGTGTCTATATAAATACTCTGAACAAATTAGCTGAAGAACAGTGTCTCCAAGAAATTCTAAACGTTGGTTTGAACCAAGTGTTAAGTGAGTGAACCCAATCGAACGATCTGTAAACGCTCTCGCTAACAATCGAATATGCTTGAATTTAATTCCAATAGAGTCTTCGAATTTGGTTAGTTCTTGTAGGACTGGATAAGATGCTATATACGCGCGATCACCGAGAGGTTCTTGCTCTTGCAATGGATGCTCAGGATAGTTTTTCCAGATCTCACGAAGCTGATTGTTCTCCATGAAAAGTGCATTCATAAACACTTCGTCTGCAATTGATATGCCACCATCTAGGAGCAGAGCCCCCATCAATGCCTCAAAACAATTTGCCATAGCATGACGAAGCTCGAGTTCATGGCATAAATCTGATCCATGAGCATATAGCATATATTCTTCAAGGTGTAATTTCTTTGCTAGTAAAGCTAAATGTTGGTTTTGAACAATTGCCGCTCTGTAGGTAGCCAAACCTCCTTCCTCGAGTTCAGGAAACATAAAAAATAGATGAATAGAACTAAGAAATTCTACAACAGCATCACCCAGAAACTCTAACCGTTCATTGTGCGTGATATTGGACATCGTTTCGTATTCTTTTCCAAAACGTGACATTATGTTAATCAAGGTATTTATACCTCTTTTACGCGTATTCATATAATGAATTTTCCGATCGCCGTACTCTGGCTGACGAATACCGCAATTTGTTAGAGAATTACGAGCGTGATCCGGATTAGTTCCATAGTTTTCCTTGTATGAGGGATGCGTCAATGCCAGCTGCAATAAATATCTAAAAAAGAAAAGCAGCAAATTAATGTCACAGATAAATTTAACCCTTTTCATCGACCAACCGGTTTTTGAATTTATAAGCGATAGTTTTCTCTAATAAATCCAATGACTTATGAAATCTTAAATGGCCTGTTAAAACTGGGGCGAATAACGCATGCTGTACAATATCGCACATTATACCAGTACGATGATAGCCTTTCGAGTTAACCGCAACCGTGACATTGCGTTTCATCCTTCCCTGCGTTCGCATTTCTTGGAGCCGGGCCTCTTTTTCTTCAAGTTTGCGTTTATCTTTGAATGATGGCTTGGACATGTTCGCCATTAAATGACGAAATTTCACATATTCCCTCCACGCTTTTTGGTACTCTGGATTACCAGCGTAGCTAAGCTGTGGCGGTCGTATGCCAAAATGTACAATAGCTGGATGAGTTAAACCGCTTTCCGTATCGCGACATTCCGGCAAGTCGCTGACATTTCGATCTAGCTGATCAACTCGCACGGAGCAGGGTTTGTAACCCGGTTTAGTCACCAACATCCCTCTAAAATCATCAACATAATCTTGCCATTCATGCTGCGAGATTGAATTCAAACAACGTAAACGTCTGTCGTCCACCAAAGGACCTGCGTTATCGAGCAAGTACCTGAGCACTTCACACATCGCTAGAACTTCTTTACCATTGTCAGGTAAGTCACGTACAAAGCGGGGCATAAAGTGAAATGCCGGACAACTTGTTTCTACTTCTGCTAAAGTTGACAATTTGGGCAATAAAGAAAAATCGACCAATTCTAACAGCTCATGAAACAGATATTTGACTACAATGGGCTTGGATAAGTAAATATGTATACACTAAAGAAGATAAACTTACAAAACAAATCCAGCTCACGTATGGTAAAGTTTTCGGGCATTCTTTCGGGGATATAAAGTATCGTATATTCAATGTTGAATCGAATCACTTTACATGTGGGCAAGTCGACTAGAGGAAAGTGGGAGAAAAGTGAAAAGCCTTCGAATAGAAATTCGTGTTCGTCATGCTTGATGATCGTTGGGGTCTTCGTGAGAAAGTTGGTAGGAGGTGAAATGGTGATCCGGTAGTGATACAATTGCTTGGCGTTGTTAGAATTCAAATCACATTTTGGGTAGCCGTTTTCTCCTGGATAAATTCCGTGACGAATGCCAATACGCCTCGACTTTGCCGAACACCTACATAGGGGTCCATCGTTCATTTCTCCAGGATCGTTGTGCCATAAATCGGGATGTATGCGGTAGGGGTGCTGCAATTTTCGAGAAAGTTCTTCCATGGAACAATCCTGCTCGATTTGGTATTCGTCGTTATCAGAAGAGCCTGTGTCAGAGGAAGAGCAAACTTCAGACTTATGTTTGCATAGCCGCCTACGAGGCTTGCGGTTTGGCGGTTTATAAGGTGGCAACGCATTTCGAATACGAGAGGCCCTTTGAATTAAAGCTTCATCAAAAATTTTACATAATTCTTGAAGCCTTGGTGTAGCGGTCACAGAGTACAAAGTTTCAGTTTTTCGGTAATAAGGTTCAGCTGGTGAATAACGGATCCATATTTCAGATGAATGCTCATCTAACTCTGCTAATTCATTCAATTTGCGTTGTATTTCTTCGGGTGTTTCACAATAGTTAGAGCGCCAGGTCTTCAACAGACGTTCGCGTTCAGTTTCCGGTTTAACGCTACGATCATCTCGTTCTTTTTCCTGATCTAAATCCCTCCTCGCGTAACAGCTTGATTTGAAATATTTCTCAGCTCCTTGGCGTCCAAAAGGGGCACTACAACGGCCTTGCTGCGGTGGGATGTCACGTGGCCTGCGAGCTCTAAAATATGCATTGTCTGAACTGTAATGACGACTTTGAGCATAAGTTCCCGACCAATAATCTAAATCTGCGCTTTCAGAATAATGTTGATAAGTAGCATTTTCATTGGTCTTTACAGCTGGAGTAGGATATCTATAACGAGGATCGTAATTAAAATTTGCTGTTGCATGTAATGTTGGTGGAGGAGTCGCATAGTAATTGTAATATTCGGAATGTACACTTTCAGCGTTTGTGCCATGAACTAAAGTGTGGTGAGAGGTGCAGCTTTTTTTAGGGTGCTCTGACATTGGTGGTGGATTGCAAAAGCTTGTTTGGATTGGTAGATTTTTGGTAACGTTCGTTGAGGGAGGTGGCCTTGGAGGCGGAAAGTTGGTTACTATGCCGTAACTGAAAGTCTCCTGTGTAGTGTTAGTGTTAACAACTGGCGTTGGAGGCGGTGGATATGCATAGCAGTTGTCTGTTGCATTCGCATTGCTGTTTGGTAAAGACGGAGGAAAACTCATTTCTTGCTTCAGAAATGAAGAAAATCAATGTAGAATTTTTTACTTAAAAAATATTACAAACACAATTAATTGATTCCAAGTGCCATAAACTTTTATCGCGAAAGGATTATATTTTTTCTTTGCAAACGTGAAAGTCTAAAGAACTAATGATAGGCTTACCAAAAACATCTGTTAAAGTCGTGAACGTATGTTAAAACTGAAACATATGTTTTTTTTTTTGGTGTTGCCATAAGTATCTGTTTTTTTGTTTTTCTTTTTTTTAATTGATATGACACAATTCGACATTAAAACTCGAAAACATAAAAAGTAACATAAAAATATAATAAGGAATAAAATATTATTATTATTATTATAAATTTAGTCAGAGAATAAATTCTAAGACTAATGTCTTAAAGCACTAACATCTAAGGCTATCGGCTTTTATTAAAAACTCTACCGCACTTGAGATTCAAACCCACGACCATTGAGTTGCTAGTCAAGACTCTTGCCTACTCGGCCACTCAGGTGGATTTAGGAATAAAATAAAATGAAGAAAAAATTCTAAATATCAGGCTCTGCGACGATAAATTGCACCGCAGCGCGTACATTGCGATATTTAATTTTAAACTATCACTAATCGAAATGTAAAAGTTATGGTTTTTTTTGATAAGTCTACGAAATTTGAACGTACATTCTGTGGGTGATGTTGTACTGTCTTTGTGAAAATGGAAAAAAATTGACGACACCTACGCAGCGTTATATGGTATCAAAACTTAATTTCTTTTTAATATCTTTATAATACACAGGAGTATGCTTTAAAAGCTTCACAATATATGTAAGTCCTTGGCCGCTTTCAAATTTGCAATACACCTAAGCATGCTCATCTGTCCGTCTGCAACTATTCATTGGGACTAGCCTCTCACGATCACAAGTTATAGAGAGCATGACGTCAGTCTGAACAAAAATTTGATTAGCGCATTCATACTGCCGACAGCTGGCCGTCATGTGCTTCTTGGTGAGTGGAGGGCCCCCAGTGCAGATTGGGAATCTGCTTCACACTTCCTCTTTTCCTGACTTTGAATAATAGTTCGCCAACATTACTCATTATTCGTCTTACGTTTACTGCCATTGATGTTTCTATGTGCTGCTAGTGGTCTTGATTTCAAATCGCCCTTTGACTAATGAGATTGAGACGATCGTGGTTCGCAGATGCTTCTTTTGATGGTATTAACACTCCTCTTCCTATCGTGAAATAACTCTCAATTTTACTTTATGAGACTGTTATCGAAGGCCGTTTGCCGGCCAGAATTGGCTAGGAAGAATGCTGATCTGTTCTTACAGTTTTAGCGTCATCAGAGCAATACGATCCACTTGCAAGAATATGTTTGATCAGATATTAACCCCAGCATGCCAAACTAACGTCAAAATTCTTTGGATTTCCTTCCATATTGGGAATGAGCGGGCGTATGAGATTGCCGGGCGCGGCCTCTATCAGACTCATATATCTGAACCGCCTTGTCTTATTCAGGCGATCACTTCACCTTATACGTCCGTTAGCGACGCTATGAGTCGCGATCACTGGAATAATTCCGACGTGTTTCTGCAACCAATCAACCCTTCTATTAATAGGCCTCGCTACAATAATCTTTTTGCCTGTCGAAGTCGAATGCATTCTCTTAGACTAACTACCTTAGAGTAAATAAGGTCTTATTCAATACTAAACATTATTAAGAACGAACTGAACCTCCCAGATGTGTTTTTTGTGATTTCTCCCTTTCTGTCGGCCATATCTTCTCCGAATTTCCTTCATGAAAATTTAGAGAACACCTTGAGAGGATGCTTGACATGATTTCCAGTAATCGCCTTTCTCTCCGAACGCAGATGTCTCTCGGCATTCAGATTAGGATTATCTCAAGTCCTCTACTACTGAATTTCTCTACCTCTATGATTATTTACTTATCCTTTTTGACTTTACACTACCTTTGCTACTTAACACCTATTCACATGGCGCCTTTTAAACCATGTTTTGTAAATAAATTTATAAGTAAATAAATGTTCAGCAATGATAATTGTAATAACAACAATACTTCGTCCATGCCTTTTGAGACTACACAAGCGGACACAATAATGGATGTATGCTGTTTTGTGTACGTTGTTGAAACTTTAGTTGTTGCACGCTCTTGCAACAATTCCTGGCCATTGCTACTATTAGTTGATTTCTTAGATGTCGTTGATATTGTGGAAAATCTACAAACAACACTTCATGCATAAGTACATACATCTCAACATACATATGAACATACATATTGTAATCATAGCCGATTGATTTCTTTTTATATCAGTACTTTTTTTCGCTAAAATCTTAAAACGTAAAAAAACTCGTATCGCAAGCTTCCGTTGGAGAAGAACGATGAGTTTAGCCGGAAGCAAAATTAAAGATAATTTTGAACGGATTCGAGTTGAAGCTTTACTCATGAGAAATGATAAATGAAAATGCCTTAATGGAAGTATCCCCAACCCTATATATATATGTACATTTATAGATAAATGAAGCGACATTTCAATCATATTAGCCATATAAACGATTATTTTGTCGAATTGAAGCCAACTCATTAGATTAGATTCATTAATTAATCATGCGTTCGTAAATGAAAAGACGTATTCATTATTCATGAGAATATTTAGAATTAATAGCAACAATAACAAGAATATTCATTTACGTGCATATATGATATGCGATGAATGGCAGGCATAAACTGATATTGAAATTTTCATTTTTTTTTTTTTTTTTTTTTGATTTTATGACCTTAACGTCTATGCTGTTATTCAGCGCGGACTTAGTTAATTGTCTGCCACTTGTACTTTGCTTGCTTTATGACGAGCTAACTAATGTTAAAACCACAGGTGGCGTGGTCAAATCAAAGACATGAAATATGCTTCAAGTTCGTTTATATTTATGACATGTATTTCTTTGGCAAATTACTGGCGTCAAGAGCTTTTTTTTTTCTGTGTGAACGGGTAAATTGCACTTTGATTTTTTCTAATTTAACTAGATTTGATGTGTATGATGAATATCTATCTGTGCATCCATTGTAGATGAAGATTTGTATATATCACTATCGATGCGCGGTGAACGCATTCTATCATTTTTGGAGTATAGTTTATAGTGCGTATGCCATGAACAGGTGAAAATAGGTAGAAAAGCTACCGAGAACGACTTCCGGTCATAAGGTATAAGCAGTACACGTTCGCTAGCTTCTTATACCATTTTGCTGTAATATTAGTTTGTTATTTTTATATCCTATACGACTTGTGGGATACGCGTATATTAAATTTGTGCGTATGTATGCGACACCCAGAAGGAGTTGAGAGAGACCTGTGTTTTATTATACCATTCAGATTCACAATTACTTTCTGACTCGATTTAAAGCTTGTCTGTCCATCTTGTTCAGCATCACTTTTTAAATCGATCTGAGCTTATCTGTGCATCTGTTCCTATTGTTTTATTTTGTTCAACCTGCAGGACGCAATTTTTGACGTACTTTGGTGAAGTTTAATGTATCGACTCAAGAACAAATTTTATTGAAATTCGTTCGAGCCGACATGCTTTTTCGGCTACTTCCCGTATATAGGTTTATTTTGAAAAGGTATTATATGAATGTGAACTATAATATAGTGTAAGGTATTTTATGATGGGCCGTGATCAACTATAGTCTTCTTACTTTCGCCTTTTGTTGCTTCAACTGCATATGATATCAGCCGATATCGGACCGTAGTCAACATTTTTTAAAAAGTATTTCAAAGCGATGCCCAGATTATCATATCAGGCTCGAATCTTAGCGCGGTAAATAGTAACTTACCACAAGTAAGAAAATTATGTATGGCCGCGTTCAAGTCTTTTACACCCACCGCCATCATATAAAAGGAAGAAACTATACTTCCATGCTCGTGGCTGAAAATTTATACCGTATGGATGTTGTAGCTTATAAGCAAAAAACCCTTTTCTATCCGTATCTACTCTCTAGGTGCTTTATTTGATACCCTTATCGAAGGGATTGTAAAGCAAAAATGATGTCGTGATGTCCACGATTTAGTATTAACACAGTTACAGCGCACAAGGCGGCTTGGCGCATTGCACTCTCCGATTCCTTTTATTTGATACCCAGTTTATTATACTCCTAAGAATACTATGAGAATCATCCACGGGATGGAATCCACAATATTCAGATAATGAACAGATAATATATCTTTATGTGAGGAACGTGTAGGAATGTGTTTTTAACACTCTGCCTTGTTTACCTTATGAGTAATAAGTAGGAAAGCATCAAGAAAGTGAAAAGAATAAAAATTTGATCACTTGTAGCTTTTCTGGCTTTTTCCCATTTTTCTATGTCTGTTACAGGGACCACCCACAGAATATAAATGCAAATTTGTATTGCTCTATTTACTATAATTTATAAGCAAAAAATGAAATTGTCTTTATTTTTAAAAGCAAAGGGAGTCGCAGATTATGTTGTACTGTGATCGCGTCCATTTTCCAACACCAACTTTCGTGTAAGAACTTCCAGAGTTTCGAGCGGTGGCTGTTTATTGCGACTAGGAGAATGTCTACAACATACATTGCATTGACGGACAGACGGACATGCTTAAATCGTCTTAGAACTCGATGCTGATCAAAAGTATGTACACTTTATATGATCTCTGAAGCTTGCTTCTGGGTATTTGCAGACATTTTGATAAAACGAACATACCTCTCATTCTGCAGTGCGTTCGTTCTTGGGCCTAAAGCACGTCATTGGACCAAGGAATTGCGACCTGCAGTTTTAACATAAGAATGAATGTTTGGACATCGTACAAGCGGATAAGCGGATGGACAGACAAGCTCGATCAATGTAATTGAAATCTTTTTACGATAAATGGTAAACGTATGCAGAAGAAACGCTTGCTGCTTGCTACGCAATTCTGCATGAAATTTATATGCGCTTACCGCAGGTGCGGCGAGATGTGTAAAATATATATCCAAATTAAATTATTTTGGATATTCCTTTGATATAAAGATTCTCATAAAATTAAATTTTAATTTTGAATACAAAAATCTCTTAAGTCGTTCGGGATATCATCATACTATCAACAAATGATAAGCATTACAGGCTGCTAAATACACGCTATAGTGTTTATCAATGGAGTAGAGTGCAATAATAAAACTGGTTGAGGTCATTAGAGGTTACAAACAAA